ACAAAACAAAAAAAAAACATTAGTAGACGTAAAAAAAAACGTGTGTGTGACGTAAAAAGCATGTGTTATTTAAAATACTTCATTCTTGTTACAGATGAAGAATGTCAGAAGACGTGGAGCTGCCTTCGTAACAATTATAGAAAAGCCTTAAAAAACAGGGTGTCCAAAAGCGGTGACGCTGCCAAAAAGAGGCGACCAATTAAATTTGAAAAGGAACTTGAATTTCTGCAAAAGTTTTTTCAAGATAGACCTCAGCTTTCAAATTTAGACTCTTCTTCCGACGATACACAGCTTTCCGAAGATACGCAGAATATCGAAAATACACAACCTCCCGAAACAGCAGCAACTGTTAATTTTCCTGAAGAACAATCGCCTGTATCTCAAATGTCATGTTCATCCCATGCATCGCATGCATCAGATTCTAGACCAGCTAGACATGTTCGTCAGCGATCATACATGTCATCGCAAACACAGTATACGGAAACAACAGCAGAAATATTAAAAAAATACATTGAAAACCAAAAGAAAGAACAACATCCTATGGAGATATTTTTTCAAGCAATGGCGGCAACAGCGAAGACTTTGTCACCAAAATTACAAGCTGAAATAAAACGCGATGTCTTACGTATTGTTACTGATGCAGAAATAAAGCATTTGGAAAATGTGGAGTTAAGTTCAGTTGTGCAGCGAAGTCGTCCTTCAACATCAAGTTCAGGATTCGATATTTCAAATGAATTTCATTCATCTCAGCAATACGCACCAACTTCTGTTGCCAGAACCCATAATACAATAATCGAAAGAAGAAGTCCTTTACACAATTTTTCTTCATTTAATAAGCCCGAACAACAATATAACACCGAACAAAACTATGGTACTACTCATATAGAATACATACCTACTCCTATATCCAGACATCAAAATAATAGTGATATATATAACAATAATTCCAATATTCAATTACCGGACTATGAAAACTAAATTTTTTATAATACTTTCGCTTTTTATCATACTGTACTGTAGGTACATTTGTGATCATAGATAGCTGATTATAAAAATAAACAATTACCAAATAAATCAAGACTTTTATTTTAATATTAGTAAATGCTCTGTGGTGTCACACACTGCTCAAAAATTTGTTAGGTTATTCTGCTAAACTGTTTCAACCGAAGTGGTTAAGTTTAGTATGTGTCAGGATGGCTCACCAAAATGGAATATTGAAATATAACTAAACGCATTGGGTAGTATCTATTTTATATCATTTGGTACCTTTAACACGACATCTAGTACCTATGCGGTTTCAAAGAAATCAATAGACAAAGATGGTCAGCCATACTGACGTCAGGTTGGCTGACCACTTTAATTTATTCCAAAACCAGTAGGTCCTACCAACTTTTTACTATCGAAAATATTTTGTACCTTGACATGCAAAAATAACAAAATGTTCCGTAGCTTTGTTTAATTATTATTTAAGTATGTATGAAACGCCTGAAAAAAGTTTAATCGTTTGCATACAGAAGTGTAATTGCTCAGAAAATATTTGAAGGGCTTAAATTATCATGAAATTTTCTTTATTTACTAGGTACCTACTGTAACGTTGTAAACGTTAACATTTAATTATTTTTAAATTTTTTATAAACGTAGCTTAGTTTTCAAATAACATTACACACTAAATTAGCATAGCTTTGGAATATAAAATATGTATCTCCTAGCCGAAATAAAATGTACACCCGCAGTTCTAACATTAGAATGGCGGGTGTACATATTTTATTATATATATATTTATCGAGAGAGGTACTCTAGATTTCGTTTTTGGTACAGTGAGGTACATCGATAGTACCATCTTTCTGAAGAAAAGTTCAATTCCGTGATGTACACCCGCGGTCCCAACGTACATGTGTTAAAGGCACCAAATGGTATAAAATAGGTACTACCCAATGCGTTTAGTTATATTTAAATATTCCGTTTTGGTCAGCCATCCTGACACATACTTCGTTGCCTAATTCTATGCCTCATCGCATGTAATGTAATATGTAATATGCACTAACCTTAAACATACAGACAATCTCTCTGTAACAGGTATAGGCGATCGAAAATTAGTTTTGATTTTCTTTATATGCGATTTTAGCAAATCACTTAACTTTTCAAATTTTTCATAGTCCATTCTGTAATAATCATAGAATTTTCGGATGTCGTATCTCAAATCATTAAATAAGTTGCTGAATTCACCATTTGTAGATCTTGTTTTCCATAAATTATGCACCCAGAATTGTCTGTTCGTCAAATTAGCAGTTCTTATTTGTCTCTCTTCATCTTCAGCTAGAAGTGCTATTAACACTAAATCCCAGTCAACCATAACGACACAACAAAATGTTCTTTAGCGACACAACCAACTTAGAATACGCGCGGAGCAAAACTAAGCCAGAGTGGCTGGGCTTTCAGCAGGATGCGGAACGCCGCGGCATGCCGCAGCACGCAGCGGCATGCCATTGCACGCCGCGGGATGCCACTGCACGCCGCGGGATGCCATTGCATGCCGCGAGATGCTCTGCCGTGCCATGCCGTGCCGTGCCGGCCCTTAATGATGTCTTTAATTTTAATCTAGTGTGTGTTATATAATCCATGTATATTAATTAAGTGCTTAAGTATGAAGGTACCTACATACTTACTTGAGTTTTCATGGTACCTAGGTAATGTACGTAGGTACTTTCTATTGATTTTCTTTATACCTACTAAGTAAAACGAAACATGACGCCAAGTGACCAAAAATTGACCATAATGAAGTGTAAAAACATAGTTCTTTTATTTTTGTATGCCAGTTTTCAACCGTTTAAAACGATTGATTTGGGGTTTAAAACGGCCACATTTTGTTTAAAACGTTTTAAATCGGTTGTTTTACATCTATAGGTTAGACCCGCTTAACAATCTCTTCAAATAGCAAGTATTGAGACTCATGCACTCTTCTTATATGCTGTTTTACATTGTTTAGGCTCGATATATGGGCTTTTATTTTTGTTTCTTTTGGTAAGAATTTTACGCACTCAAAAAGTATCTGCTCTCCGGATCGAGATAGAAACCTAATATAGTCACTTAAATGTGGCCACGGATTTTCGCCCGTAGAGGAACGGACGAATCCATGATAATAAGTATCATTGTGGTTTTAATTTACACAGTAAGTTCTTACATTCTTTCCTTATAAATACATACACTGCACAAAAGCAAACAATCGAGGACGGTACACAAAATCCAAAAAGTACGTAGTATTTGTATACTTCACTAAAAACACCCAAAACACTCAATCGCTAGTAATGAATTGAAAAAAGATCACACGCGCCGCTAATACATGCGTATATAGTTACGGGCATGCGTAGGCGACGCCCTGCACTTGTCGTTGTTTGTCGGCCCGGCCGAACGCACTTGTCGGAACGCGTTTTTCATGCCCGAGGTATACTTTTGATAAACAGTAGCTACTGGATTAACGGACTTAGGATAATTTAACGGAAGTTAACGAGTCCGTTAACATTTTTTAAAGTAAATCCGTTAATAGAAATTTTAACTTCGTTAATCAACGAATGCTATGATTATACTTCGCACCTTTGTTAACTGTTACCTGCCAAAGCCACCATAAAAAACACCACCCACAGTGAACCACCATTCTTACCTGTGCTGTGCTCGAGGCATGCGTTGAAAAACTTTCAGCTTTTAAAAAATAACGAAGGTCTGGCGGCCACAGCCTCTTAGGCTACTAGTTTATGACTTAGCTTCCATTCCATTCCGTGGCAGTATAAATAGACTCAAATTCTTGTTAGAAATAAGAAGGTATTTCAATAAATAAAATTAAATGCCACAAAACAATTTATTATATAATATTTTATGACTTCTCTAATTCACTATACAATTACATCAACTTTGTGTAAATATTAAATGTTTATGGTATATACAAATTCAATAGGTGTTTATTCACAAAAGCTTTGGAGAATTCAATAATGTTTTCTATAATAAAGTACAAATTGTTTTAAAACCTTAATAAATCTAATGCTTGACTTTACTTTATTTGCTTGACTTGTTTTTTTTTCGCTTTGTAAAAAAATACTTTGTTATTTATTAATATTTTCTGATTTGTATTACGAGTTCTTAATACTAGTTATCAGTTAATCATAATACAGTCGCAGAGTAAAGAACCTGCTAAATAACATTACGTCTAGCCATATTAAAGAATGTGAAACGTTCTACACAATGCGGCGTCTTGCTTTGAACTGTATAATGCATTCCTGCATATCGTCTGCAAGCCACAATGCCAATCGTCTCAGCTAACCGGAGCGTATTATTGCGAAATCTAAAATAACCTGAGGCTCAATATTGCACGAATATTGACAACTCCGTAATCGTATCCCATCGTCCAAGTTTCTATGAAAACAAAGCAGTGCCCCTACCGGGCGTAAGAACAAACTGGCTCCTTGCATACAAAATTTGACAATGACATTGATTACGGAGCTGACAAAATTTGTGTTTGCGCCTCAGGCATTATCATACAGTTTCAAGCAGAAATTGTTCGCACATAACGACACGCACTTCAGAGTCAATAGCGGGAGGTTCGGGTAATGTTTTTTCGAGGATGGCAGGAGCCGTCCTTTTAGCTACTTTCTATTTTGTGATATCTCAATTAACTCAATATTTCAAAAACAGCCTCAAAACTAACATAAAATGAATGTACTCTTAATAATGCTATATATAATAAAAAGCAATTATCAGTTTCTTATCATAAATGCAAATGTGCCTTTGAGATTTTTTTTCTTAGCAGAAATAATAAATGTTATTTCTCTGACATAACCTGATAAATTCAAATAAATCAAATCCTTAGAGTACATGTACGCGCAAACACATGCTTGTTTCTCGAATACATTATAATACAAAAAAAATACTTATTATTAAATAACACAAGGAATAATGCAAAATATGGAATCATAAAACTATCCTTAATTAGATATCTATAATTATAAAAAGTCTGTTGATGTTATAAAAAGAAGCTTTCAATTAGCCTTTATTCTTTCAAAATTACCCCGCACTCACAAACGGATTTCCTTTATTCTTTCACCGGTTTAATAAAAAAAAATATATAACAGAAATCATATTGCATTCATTTGTTTCATGCTACCAAACATATTTATACATAGTATACAAATATGTTTTTAGTGACTGTAGATCCTAAGATGTTTTTCGTTTGTTCGAATTGCCTTGTGCCCAATTTTTTTATATACAGAAGTTATATAAAATAACGGAAAGCTGCTTAGTCTCAATGGTAAAATAGATTAAAGCCCACTTGCAACAACATTCTTAAATCCAACTCTGGCACAATCCTGTATAAAGCATAACCTCATTTTTGTCAGTTGAAAAAAGTTATAAAATAAGGTTAAAACAAGATTTTGTTTCAGATTATATTTAAGAATTTTGGTGCGAGCGGGGGTAAGGATACGAGTGTGATTTAATACTAGAAAAAGGAAAATATTAAATGATCCACAAAGAAATAGTAAATTATTACCTAAAAATATAATTGGTAACTTATACATACATATAAATGTTTGGTTGGGTTACCTATTGTACTTTTTTGAGGATCATTTACTATTTTTTTGATGATCATTTAAATATGAGCCCTTGAAAAATACTTTTCACCAACAACGGAAACTAATCTTCGAGAGTGACGTTCTTGAAGAGGTATGACATAGATTCTTTGTTGTGGATGCGCCTGATCGCTTCGCTGAGTAAGACGGATATGTCTATGGTCTTGATCTTGTTGCACTGCATCTTCTGTAGCTCGTGAGGCACGGTGTTAGTGACCACCACTTCGTCTATGGGCGAGTCTTCTATGAGCCGAGGGGCATCAGATGATAAGAGTCCGTGTGTAGCTAATACGTATATTTTGTACGCACCGCACTCTTTCAGTACTTCCGCAGCGGCGACGAACGATTGGACGTCGTCAATCATGTCGTCCTGTGAAGTAAACAATGACCTCATCGTCATCATCAGCCTATTAATATCACCACTGCAGGGGCACAGGGCAGGGGCCATGACCCACCACGCGGGCCCATTGCGCATTGGTGGGTGCTAACGACTAAAGATGCAGCCGGGACCAACGGCTTGACGTGTCTTCTGATACACAGAGGAGCTCGAGGTAATAAGTTTTTGGTCACCTATCCACTGCCGGATTCAGGGGAGGGCAACCGGGGCGAAAGCCCCGAAAGTGGGGGCCCCTACAATAGAGACTTGGGAAAAAAAATCTTTCAAATTCCAACTAGTAAACACTAGTAAACATCTTTTCCTTTGATATTATTTTTTTGCTCTTTTACCTTTACCTACAGCCTACAGTACTTTGTACATCTAACATACATGATTATTTGATTATATTAATCTTAAATAACAGAAATCATTGATCTATATTTGTTCACTCCAATCAGGCAATCAGTGAAATATCAAAATCTTAAATGGCCCTGATAAGCATTTTTCCAATTCACTACCCATCTTGAGGGAGTACCCCAATCGCTTAATGGCTGAGTGGGGTGGTACTTGCCCGCAGGACCGAATTTAAGGCAGGGCAGGTGGGGCTGTGGCCCAGGGCCCTATACAACAGCTTAAGAAATAACAACATTTCGATGGGTTAACAGGAATACAAATTCTAAGTGGCCCGGGGCCTCCACAATCCTAAATCCGGCCCTGCACCTATCCAATGACAGACCAATGCGAAAGTTGCTTAACTTCTACGTCTGGGTGTTATAATGATTTTTTTATAAATTTCATAATAACACTCCTTCGCTTTTCTCTCCCTTCCGCGCCAAGGGCTTACAATTTTAACTGCTGAATGCGTGGTATTATGAATTTCCAAAAATGAACAGTCATTCACGCACGCTTCACTACCTCAACGCCTATATTTCATGAATTTTAATTTCTTAGACCACCCCATGGTGTCAGAATCTTTTATAGAGAATTCATATCATGGGTGTTGATAAAGTCTTTTATGCAACTGTTATAATTAGGTATTAAGACACTCATGTGATACTATTATCACAGTCGGCTTCGCCTCATGTGATAAACCCACCTTAGTGTTTTAATGCCCCACATTATATAACAGTTGCATAAGTAACTATTAATTCATATGTTGATAAGTGCCTTCTAATGGGCCTCATGCGGAAACGTAAGCATCCCCCATTAGGTAGCGGCAAACCATAGACAAACTTGTGCAGTAGACGTTTTTGTATGTAAAATTGCTACTGCGCAGGCTTCCATATCTATGGTCATTGCTCAAAAAGTTTGCCGGGGTGTATATAAAGATTGGATGCAAATAAATATTAGAATGTTTCTTACCACCATAATGGCTATTCTTCCTCCCACGTCACCGACAACGTTGATTGGCGGCTTTTCTTTCGCTGGGTGCACTGGAACTCCCACAGATACATCCATTGTACGAGATCTGTCCACACTGAACACCAAACATTCATTATTTTAGACAACCAATAAAATCAAAGACAGAAAAATAACGGAAAAACTCCGATATTTTTATAATGGGTAGTAAATAATTGGTAAGCATGAATTTTAAAATTTGTTCGCAAAAAGACACCCAATAAATCCTTTGACCAGCATACAAAGATTTTGTTAGCAATAATAAAAATCAAGCTGCAATTCTTGATATGTTATTAAAATGCTTTATTACTGGAAAACGAAAATTCTTATACTTTAGATAAAACAAATCGAGATTTGGTAGACCACAACTAACTAACCTAACAGTTTACCATGTTAAAAGAAAATCATAGCTTATGTCTTTATTGACTATGTTTTTACAAATTCTTGTTCTTGTTTACTTTAGGCTGTTGCTTGCGACAGATTGTAACATCATTATTGCTCTATTAATGCTTCCACTACAGGGGCACAGGCCTTGCCCATGGATGGCATAGGGAGTCTGGGACGCCGGCCCAGTGCGGATTGGTGTGTGCTAACGAGTGCAGATGCAGCCGGGACCAACGGCTTAACGTGCCATCCGAAGCACGGAGGAGCTAGTGATAATAAGTGTTTAGTCACCCATCCAATGACCAACCATTGCAAAAGTAGCTCAACTTTCACGATCGCAGGCCGAATGCGCGAACCACCTGCGGAATCTAGCTCCTCAGCAAAGACCTACTTCTTTATTTTGATTTAGTGACCCGCCCTCGCTTTTATGTATACGTCGCAGTAAGGTAGATAAAACATATAATAATATAGTTATATCCCCAGGGTATATAAATATATACCGTAACATAGTTATACGAAAGCGATTCATTACTATCTTACTAGGAATATGATCAGAAAACGGTTCAAGTTTAGTGATATAATTATATTACTTGATTCAGTTTAGTGAAATAATTGTATTCATTCGAGGTCTTGTCAGAACAAAAAGGCTCAAATCCTCTGATTTTAAGTAGTTTTGAGTATTTTACAAACACCAAAGTTTTTTATTAATATTTTTTTGCAATTGTAATGCTATTCTTTAAGAGTTTAACAAAATACGATCGGAATATGTTTTATTCATAATTATAATTACTTTATGTTACAATATAGGTATAATTGCTAAATAATTGCAAGTAACAAAAAGTTATTTTTCAAAAAAAATCATTGCTTTATTTGATTCTATGGTAACTTATAATTATTTAACCAGATTAGTTATATTTTTCTTTTTAAGCTGATGAGATAAAAATGAATGAGATGGCGTTGCCTTGTGGAATAAAAAAATACTAGAGAAAAATCGACACGGCCATCAGTGCCGCGGTAGCATAATGGTCACTGTATTAGCCAGGATAGCGAAGGGTGCGGGTTCGACGAATCCCGTCTGTTGCCTTATCCGCGTGGATTTTTTTTCTAGTCAAATTTTATTCAGATTAGTTTAGTCTTAAAAACATATTACTAATTGCAACCGTAAGACCGTAATTCATAGTAATGAATCGCTTTCATATAACTATGTTACGGTTTTATCTATCTTACTGCGAATAGATTTTATTTGCAGGCTTGTCCCCTGCACCGTATAGCATTATAGCAATTACCTAGGTATACACGGTGGGGAATACCGTCCATCAACTTCGTCGCTCTCAGCTTCCTTCTGCTCCCCGTGAATCACAGCTATGGCCAGCCGCAGACGCTCAGCATAAGAAGTAGCTTTCTTAGCCGATCCAGGGTTACGAGCTACAATCACCGAATTTCGGTAGTCTGGAATCTACAAACATTAATACGACATTCTATAAACATAATTAAGCACCATGGCCCACTTGTAGCAAATTTGCTAAATCTGGATTCAAATTAAACTAGATCTATCCTATAGAAAAATGTCAAAACGTCAACGTCAATTTGACATTATTTTTTGGTCTAAATCTCGATTCCACCAAAACTAGATTTAATCCATAGAAAAATGTCAAAACAATAATGTCAATTTCACATTATAGTATGGGCTAAATCTAGTTCTAGTTAAATTAGCGAGTCTTAAATATTCCTACTTACACTTTCTTGAATATATTGTAACAAAAAGGGCGAAGCCCTGAGATTATCCACTGGGCAATCATAGAAGCCCTGGATCTCTTTTTGATGTAGATCCATGGTTATAATGTGGGTGAGCCCAGACTTGCACATCATCTTAGCAAGAAGCTTTGTGACTATGCACCCGCGTTTCCTCATTTTGCATTGTTTGCTGTATGGAAGGTATGGAATAACTCCAACGATTGAACGTGCAGATGATGTCTTGCACGCATAAGCCATTATTAATAGTTCCATGATGTTGTTGTTCACATCTCTGAAAGAAATGACAGAAATGTGTTTATAGGAAAAATAAATCAATTCCCTTTTATGTTCTCCTTAGACATATCTTTTTTGGCACAACGACGACGCTCGAAAACGCTAGTGGGGGGGGGGGGGGGGGGTCTCTAAAATACGAATAACGGAATTTACAATGTAAGTTTAATAAAGGGAGTAATTCTGGAACTGTAGTCTCCGTCACGAAGTGCTGGTCACCCACGTGGAGAGAAGGGAGATTGAGGTTGAGGCCGCTAAGACGACAGCGCCGAATAGCAGAAACGGCGGAGTCGTGGGTGATGTGCAATCTTTGTTTCTGAAATGCCACCAAATATCCAAAAAAGGTTAAAGAATAGAATGTGATAAAATTCAAGAAACGTGATTTAAATTCCTGCCCTTGAATCCTCCAAGAGGAACTTGGAAGATGTACTTCTTGGGCATGATTTACTTTAAACATTCTTTTTGATTATTATTAAATGAAAACAGAATACCTACTGCGTGTACAGTTTTTTAATGTGTGTATAAATTCAAATAATCATATCTGTTATTGCAATAGTTATCCATAGTTCACATGCTATAAGAATTGATTTCAAACGCTACATTATTATTACCGAATGACTCATATTTTATATGAAGCCTCCTGTTCAGTTAGGTGAACAAAGTACGAGCCACGGATGTACTTTGAATAGGCATATAGGTACGACAACGCACTCTCATCCGCGTAACCGTGCTGGTGAGCCATACAGACTAACAACGATTTGCGACTTGTGCATGGGTAGCACTTAAATTCAATTTCTCAATAATACGACTGACGCTAAGAACTCACGTCGCGATCTTGTCCCACGCCCGCCGCGGCTGCGGAACACAGCTCTGCGGCCGCAGCGGGTGCAGGGAGGAACAGCTCCGTGAGTTATTAGCCTAAAGGAGAACAACCACTTTGTATAGGGGGTTGGTACAGATACCAAGGTTTTTGTACAGGAGCAAAATATAATACCATTGTAAAGCTTATTGTTAAGGTCTACTGCCAGTCTAGCTAACTAGCTAAATTCTAATCGAAATATTTCGTTAACCCAACTGGGTTAACGAAATATTTCGATTAGAATTTAATTAAAAATAAAAAATATTTTAAGTATTAAAAACGGGTTTCCTGGTGTAATCTACGTAATAAACATCATTTTTAAACTGATTTGGAATAATTAAATGTCTACAAAGACAATGCAGTCAAAAATATTCAATAATAGCAAGCATGCATGCTATTATGTTGACACAAATATCTACAATCAACATAAGGATGGTTGACCAGATGGAGAGTGAAGCTGTTTATATTTTTTTATGATTCATCAGAAATTATTACCAGAATATGCTGAGGGCCAATAAAAGAAACATAATTACTATCATCATAGTTTTCATTAATTTGTAACTTTTATGTGTACACTCTCACAAGTATATCGTTAAAAAATGTGGCTGGAGCAATTACATTTTGGTGCTGCGCCCATCATAAAAATAATTTTACGGTCATCCGAATAGGCTAGTTGATTCATGTCAAATTGCACTATACAAATGTTTATTTCTTATCATGTTTGGTATAAGGAACCTAAAAACATCGATTTCACTTTATAAAATTATAGGAGATGGCTGTAGTATTTTAATTTGAAAAATGGTTTTTTAGCCTATTCTTTTTAAACACTCAAAACGCTGTCCACCATGATTGTGACGTCAACAAGTTAGTAAACAACTAAACGTCATTTTCGTGTTACTGTGGTGTCTTTCGTCTGATTAAATGTATCTAAAAACTCTTACACCTTGTAGAAAAAATTCCGTTTATTGGTTTTGTTGACTAAATTAATGCTGGACGCCGGATTTGTGAAGCAGAAACGACAAAGCTCTTTGGACTTAGTAGGTACATTCATAACCTTAAAAATTGTATTTTTAAATTTTAATATTCAATGAGTACTCACATAAAAGTGATCTTTGCTAAAAGAAAAGACTCAGGCGGTAAAATTACAGGATTTAGCAAGTTTTAAACATGACTGTATTCATGTGTAAGTATGTGTATTTAAACTAAACTATGTAGGGAATTTAAACAACAACTTTTCTGGAGTCTTTAACGATATGTTTATACATTCTCGTAGGTATATTACAATCATGATAATTATTATATTTATCATGAAATCTATTAGAAAGTATGGTTTTATAATATAAATTTAGATTCAGGTTATTTCCTACGTGCTGCCGAATTTTTGTTTACGATTTTGTTGACGTCATAGCATGGATAATCTATAGACTAAAATGGCCGACAGCGTTTTTGTATGTCCATGAGAAATCTATTTTAAAATTAAAATTTTGTAGCTTTCTAGGTAAAAAAGTACAATATTTTTTTTACGGTCTAATAGAACAATTAACAACCATTTAAAACACATTTCCAAAAAGTGTCAAGTAGCCTATTGTTAGGATTTGGTAAACATATAACAACGACGTCTGTGTGATGAACTGATGACAACCCACACACACAAACTACGACACTCTTGCCTCTCTCAATATGCGCAAGTTAAAGAGGTACTCGTTAACAAACCCCACCTTCACTGTTTTAATGTTTAATTGATAACAGATTATTTCGAACATTCGATTATTTCGAATATAATAGCAAACTACGTTCTTTTATACGTTAAAGGTTTTATAATATTTTTTGAGTTTCGCCACTAGCTAAAAAAATGATTTTTATCTTATATTACTTACTTTTTAATGCTTAACATAATATCAAAAAATTATGTTTGTACAAGATCAGTACCAAAATGGTTGTTCTCTTTGTGGGTGATCGATGACTTTGTCTGTATAGAATGATTGGTTTCCGATACATTTTCTTGTACGACAAAAACTAGTCAGTATATTCATCAAAATCCTATTTTATAGGTGTAATAATGTAACAAATACATAGACAGTTACTATCGCATTTATATTATTTACACGTATAGATTGATAAGGTAATATTTATACGTGTCGACAGCTATTATTACTCTCAATCGATAACAAGCAACGTATGATAAGAAATATAAAAAACGGGGAATCCTCGAGCACGCGTCATACCGCGTAATGTATCGGTTTATCGGAAAACTGCTTACAAATACCAACAATGTCACCAAATTAACTGTCAATGTCACAAAATCTAATATATAAAATTCTCGTGTCGCGGTGTTTGTGGTTAAACTCCTCCGAAACGGCACGACCGATTCGAAGGAGTTTTTTTTTTTGGTTTCATTTGTGTATCGATCGTAGCAGTAACTTAACGTATTATTTTAATTTTTCTGTATTAACGTAATAGATGCAACGTTAATTTTACTCTCATCGTGAATTTATTATTAATTTCCAGTGCAATAATTATTTTTTCACATTTTATTAATAACTGATAAAGACAGTTTTAACTATTAGCCGAAACGGCTCGACCGATTTTCGTGAAATTTAGGTCTGAGAATCGGACAACATCTATTTTTCATCCCCCTAAATGTTAAAGGTGGTCCACACTTAAACAATTTTTTTTGGACTATCATCATACAAAAATACATACAACCCTAAATTTTCACCCTTCTACCACCAACCCCTATTTTTTATACCGGTACGAAGTTCGCTGGGACAGCTATATAGTAGATATTTCTATAGATATTCAATATACGGATGGAGACATTGTAATGCTCCATACCTATATAAATAATTATAAAAAAGTGGCTTCAGACTTTCTCATTTTGGAATCAATACAATAAAAAAAAAGAACAAGCGCAAGACACAATAGAACGTGACGTAAGCAGTATTCGAAAATTGAATGCCGTAGAATGAAAACCGAGGTTCCCTAAGCGATGCGTGTGGAACTGAATTTTCTTTCATTGAATTTACATCCTTACACAAATACATACAACCCTAAATTTTCACCCTTCTACCACCAACCCCTATTTTTTTATGGCGGTATGAAGTTCGCTGGGACAGCTAGTGTTTATATAATAATGATATTGGTGTAGATTCCAGTATGATTCTCTTCTTCGTAAAACTTAATTTAGCATCCCTCTCGTTTTATAGTACAGTAAAAGTTCCTTATTCGCGGGGTATACGTTCCAGAAATATGCCGCGAATACAGAAACCGTGAATATGGAGTGGTAATTTATATGAAATTATAGGGGATACGTTCCAAGGCGGCAAAAAAACAACAATATTTTTAACTAATCAATGAATTGTAATTAATTTTTGTCAGGCTTAAGCAAGCGTTCAAAGAACTGTTAATGTAAACGGTAAAACTGATATTTATCACGTCGAAACTAATTTTATCTTTGTCGAAATTATAATTTAGGAGCACAGCGGAAGAGACGAGTTACTCGATCACAATTTTTGGAATGAATGAAAAGAGGAGTGAGTAAGCCACGCAAAGCGGACATGGCGGAGCGTTTAACTAACATATGTGATATTATCATATGATATGATACTAATACATATAACAATATATTTTAGGCATATAATAATTAAATTGTTTTACATAAACATTATTCTGATTGTTTACTATCTCAAACAACGTCTCATATCAAAAGAAAAGGCGAAACCATCTTATGCACCGGCGATAGCATTTGACAACGTACCGTAGACTGAGTTAAAATAAGGTATATTTTATATATTTTGTAATTACTCCATCTGCCGATGCGTTAAAAAAGGTAACCAAATCCTTTATATTTTGATTACATAGATCCGCGAATAACGAAATTGTTTACCGCAAATATGGCAATTTGGTCGCAATTTTTTAATCCGCGAATAGTGAAAACGCGAATATAGGAAGCGTGAATAAGGAGCTTTTACTGTATAGAGAATATTAAGTAGTTGTCAAATTTAAGTTTAGGTTTATAGAAACATCCTAGAATCAACAGCAGAATGTCCATACATCTTGCTTAAAAGAAAACCCAAAACAAAAATTGAAATACAATGTGAACAGTATTGGAAACAAACACAGTTGTCAGAAGGCAGGCTTAGCAGCAAGCAGGCTCTTCATTTGATGCTATTTTTGGCCATTTTCGATACTAGACACCAAACACTATTTAAACAAAATTCTAATTGTACCCCTATCAAGTTGTAAAAACCAATGTTATGTATTGCAAGCATACAATGAGACCGGTCCCTGTTTTTCTATTACTAATTGACCTCATGAGTACTCAAAATATAAAACATTCAGTTTCTATAGTTCAAATTGTATTTGAACCACCCCCTTTATTAACTGAAGATAACAACATAACTAGAAATAATTTTAAATATATACATACACTTTCTACTTATACATACTACATACACGCTACCGAAACTATTTGACACGACACTAAGGCTCTCCAACGAGGTAAAGTATCTAGGAATAACCCTAGATTCCAAACTGAACTGGGGTTCACACATAGACAAAACTACTACTAAGACCAACATCATTTTCTGGCAATGCCGCAAAATGATTAGCAAAACCTGGGGACTATCACCGCTCATTGTTAGGTGGCTGTACACTACCATAATTAGGCCCATCATCAGCTATGCAGCAGTAGTATGGTGGACAAAGATAAACCAGGTAACGACAATTAATAAGTTAAGACGTCTCCAGAGGCGGGCCTGCTGTGCAATCACTGGCTGCATGAAAACCACTCCCACATCAGCACTGGAGACTATACTTGACGTGAGACCACTACATTTGTTTATACAACAGGAAGCTGCTTGTACAGCCACACGACTAAGCATGCTGGGGCTATGGAGGGACAACAGCTCCCCACACACCAGCATTTTAGCAGACATATACAGGTACTTTCCGTACTTTGCTGCAGTAAACGACCTCATTCCAAAGACGTACGTATTCGACAAAAAATACAAAATTCAACTTTATGAAGACACTCCGGACCACTGTCTGCAAAAGGAGTTGAGGGTCTACACAGACGGCTCAAAAACCAACTACGGTACAGGTTCGGGTGTCTTCTCTGAAGACCTAAATATACACATCTCAACAGCATTGGGAGCCTATAACACGGTCTTCCAGGCAGAGTGTGTGGGCATCATCAAGGCCGCTGAAGCGATAGATTGTCGCAAGGTAAGAGGAAAACACATTCGTATTCTCTCTGACAGCGCTTCTGTCCTACAGGCACTGGACAACAATATAATGACATCAGGCTTAATTTATGAATGCCACTGTAAGTTGACTAATATTGCTAACGACAATAGATTGACTTTGCAGTGGATTAAAGGACACAGCGGCTCAAGGGGTAACGATGCGGCGGACTGCTTAGCCAGGGAAGGTTCTAGCAGGACGGCCATTGGTCCGGAGCCTATTGTACCCATACCCTATCGACAGCTGCGAACATGGATAAGGGAGCGCTGTCAACGACAACATAACGAATACTGGACAGAACTCACAGACTGCAGGCAAGCTAGGGAAGCCGTTCCCAAGGTAAACCTGCAGCTAACACGTAAGTTAATCAGACTTCCTAGACAAGCCTTAAAACAAATCGTGGGTATACTCACGGGTCACGGCTATTTCAACAAACACCTTTGTAATATAGGTATTTCTGACAGCCCTCTGTGCAGAGCCTGCCTGGAGGACGAGGAGACGAGCGCCCACGTGCTGCTGGAGTGCACGGGCGTTGCAAGACAAAGGATTTCTCTAATGGGAAGCCCGAAGACTATAGTAGAGGCCTGCAGTAACGTTCGGGGACTGCTGAGCTTTCTGGAGGAGCTGGGATGGCAGGACTGATGCCAATCCCCACGCAAAATAGGCACCAGATGTCGAGTTGCGGAAACAGCCCGCCGTTCTACTAAGACTAAGACATACACTTTCTACTTGACATACTTTTTAATCCCATCTCTACGTAACCACTTGCAGTATATATCCCAAGACTCCCCAACTCCTCTAGTTTTCACATAGTAATTCACAGACAGTTTTTATCATTATTTGCACACCAAAGTAAAAACTAAAAAATAATTTTATATAAATTATGGCACTTGCCGCATGACACCAAGTGTGCATACCTATAATTGCAAGTAAAAAATTGTTATCAAAAAGGAAATTTCCATAGAGAATACTGATTATGTGTTGGAAACCAAAGCCCCTCTCCCCCTGTGACCAAGCATGGTATTTTGAAGGCCTCCCTCCCCTCTGAAGGGGGTCACACAACAAAGTATGACTGTTTTCTAAATAATACAACTACTATTAATTATAAGAACAACACACTGTTCTCTGTTCATAACAACAACCAAGTCAATTTATAGATTTTAATCTACAAAGAAGGTACTTGTGGTTCAAAATATAATTGAACAAGGATTTCACTGTAAAATTACTTTTATGCATTCCATCCATTAACAATAGACTATTCTTTCTCTTTAATATAAAAAACTAAGGCTAGTATTTAACTGCAAATCAAAAAAGTTACATTTTGAATAAAATAAAAAAATAATTCCCAATCCTAATCAAAAATACTTTTTGCACAGCAAAATAGTCACTTCAAAATATTGATATATTAGTAACAATTTAAGTTCGTGATGCATCGCTTTTTATTTAAAACTAAAACTTTTTTAAGAATCAATCACCTAACAAATATATTACATTACACACAACAGCAGTTTACCTAAGTGAAACACCATTTTAATTAACATTAGAATCTAATTATTGAAGTAAAACTTCTATATGCATGCTTGGGGGGTAAACTGGCGAATGTGTTAGGATTTCAGGTTACGATTAGTGTCATTGGTAACTCATCGGTAAACAATGAACAATACCCGTCACAAAATACATGAATCTAGTGCTTGGTGGGTGATAATGGATCCAATGCCGATTGGGGGGTGATAACAGACCAAGCGCCAATTGGTGGTTTTTTTCTATCAACAAATCTTCAGGTTATGTTTATGATTTTCAGATTATTGGAGCTAAAGAAGTTTCACTTCAGTCGTGTGGTCATCAGCACACTCGCTTTATTTTTATAACCATCAAAAGTGGGTCATCTCAATCATTTACTCACTTAGTGCCAGTCTGAACAATGTAGATGTTTTTCCCTCGGATGGAATCTGCAATTTCTACCATAGTCTCTCTGTTGGTTTTATGATAAACTGAACATCCTCCAGTATGAACTCCCAGTCGACTGTTGAAAATAATTTAAATAGAACAAACCAGTCAGTTATAGAAGTATCATTTATTAAAAACTTCATTTTCACTTATTTAATTTAAATCACCTACATCACATTTGTTTCTTAGGTTTTCACGCACATCACTCATTAAATAAAACTAGTTTTTATGGGTTAATGCACGAAACTTTATTTATTTATTGACGTTTCGCAGCCTTTTCAGGTCTGCATCATCAGAATCATAAAAAAAAAAATCATTATTCTGATGATGCAGACCTGAAAAGGCTGCGAAACGTCAATAAATAAATAAAGTTTCGTGCATTAACCCGTAAAAACTAGTTTTATTCACCAACATCACGTTCAGTCGTGCAAGGTCAATGGCAAATAACTTAATAGTAATCAAAAATAGGTAAATTTAACACTATAAAGCAAATATTCAACAATGGGTACTGACTTCGCAACCAAATCGGCTAATTCCGGGTGCGAGTTGCCACTCAATATTACAATATCAGAAGTTGCATGGCCCTCCATATTGCTCTTTCGTGATCGATTAGTGAAGCCCACCAGCCTGTAAACCAACAGTAATGTATTAGTTACTTGACAATCACAAAATATTACATATTTCTACGGTTGGGGACATCACGTTGGATCAACAAGAAAAACAATAAACCTGGTTTTGTTGAGTAACATAATAACCTGATGGCGATATCGTACTACAAAAGGTTTTACTATTCAGATCAAGACCTTGATTTTATTATGTGCCGATTGTCTCCTTCGTAGCTTTTGTAATGAAATTGAGTGATAAATCCGAACGAAAAAATTAATTAATGTGACAAGCGTGTTGATCACGTCAATGACAGATACAGTGTTACCAGAAAGCCATTTCGCCTTCCCGCCAAATCTTACACGTAATTCCCCCAAAATACAGACCCCCCCCCCCCCCCCCCCCCACATGCAAAATATTTACTATTAAATAATATGTATTTCTTCACAAATTACGATTAAGCAGAAAAAAGATAATACATAGTGTCAAATTGACTTGCAGTTTAAGCTAACGCCCATTATCGACTGACTGACTTGCTTGACTTGCCATGGACTTGACTGACCGAGCGACTGAGCCAGACGAATTGAACCGATGATTTTTTTTTGTGGGCTTTGAGGTTTTATTTGGCTTAGAGGTCCGTAGCCAGCATGATTCTCTAAGCCTAATAAAATAAAATTTGACAACAGTCTATCTTTGTCATGCTTTATACAAAATGAGAAAGAGATACTATTGATTGACTGTTGATCGCGAGTTTTTACAGATCAAAAGTGTATGAAATGGTTTTATTTTTTTATGAAAAATGTAATTAAACCTCTCCCTCCCCCTTTTCCCCCAAACCCAAATTTGTTCACGCCATTAATCTCCCCCAAAAATATTTTCCCCCCAATGTTTTAAAAACCCCCGAAATTTGGGGGAATCCCCCCAATCCGGCATCAGTGGACAGATAGCATACAATGTTTTTTTATATAATTTATTTATGACCCAAATTTCATTCCTCCAATAATCCCCCCAAAGATATTTTCATCCAATTATCTCCCCATCGCTATAAAACCCCCCAAATGTGGAGGGAATCCTCGCAATCTGGCGTCAGTGACCATTAAACGTAGGTTTTAAATTAAAAAAAATGGACGTGGACAAAGTGCCACTGTACTGACTTCTCACTGTGCCCGGGTTGGTCTTCTTTTGTCTTAAACACCGCAAAATGAACATTAATATTTTTTAAATAAAACAAATTAAATCGAGAACATGAGTTCTGTTAAATCGTAGTACGTCCATGCGTCCATGGTTTAGAGCAGCCATGACATGAACCAATAGGCTAATTGACTCATGTCAAATTGCACTATACAAATGTTTATTTCTTATAATTTTTGGTATAAGGAACCTAAATACATCGATTTCACTTCATAAAATTAGAAGATTTTTTTAGCCTTTGCTTTTTAAACGCTGTTCACCATGATTGTGACGTCAATATAATAGCAAACAACTAAACGTCATTGTCGTGTTACTGTACTGTTACTGTGGTTTCTTTCGTCCGACTAAAATATAATTAAAAACTCTTATATCTTGAAGTTTCCGTTTATTGGTTTTCTTGACTAAATTAATGCTGGACGTCGGATTTGTGAAAGCAGAAACAACAAAACTCTTTGACTTAGCAGGTACATTCATAACCTTAAAAATTTAAACCACAACATTTCTGAAGTCTTTAACGATGTGTTTCTTTATTCTCGTATATAATATCATGATAATTACTATATTTATCATGAAATCTATTAGAAATCATGATTTTGTAATGTAAATTCAGATAGGTTATATCCTACGTGCTTGCGATTGTTTGTTTACTATTTTTTTTTTGTTAAATTCTTCCTTTTCAGGGAAGGCAAGGGGAACAATGCCCATACAGCCTAGTCTTAAGTTAAATTATTCTGTTTTTCTTTTTACATTAGAATGTCGGTGTGACGCATTCTAATGTTTCTTGAAGTGTTTGGCACGAAATGTATCGAGCTGGCTTTTTCGATAAGCTTCTGTGAGGTAGTCAATACTACAATAAAATTCTCACGTCCACTTGACCGGAATAGCGTATATTTTAAAGATTCCACTAATTCTTCAGTTGCGCAGACGGTTGTAACACAAAATCACACCAATTTTATTTCACAATATCCACTATGAACAAATTTAAGAATAATTAAAATAAGACGCCAACCGCACTCGATGGAATCCCGCCAAAAACTCTGTTTGTTTACTATTCTGTTCCCGAGTGTTCCCGTCATACCATAGATAATCTATAGATTAAAATGGCCGACAGCGTTTTTGTAAGTCCATGAAAAATCTATTTTAAAATTAAAGTTTTGTAGCTTTCTAGGTAAAAAAAAAATACAATACATTTTTTTTCAGTCCATTATTAACCATTTAAAATATATTTCCAAGAAGTGTCAACTATCATATTATTTCCTATTATATTATCGGTTCATGTTTCAACATTAAACTCTACTCTTTGGTTATTGACAAACGATTAAAAAAACAAAAGTCATAACAAAAATTATGGCATGTGGTTTTCAGGATTTGGTTAATCTAAATAAAAAATTATAACAATGGGTTTGACGAAACAATATTTGCGGTATGCTCCGAGTGGAATATTTAATGTGATTGCCAGTTCTGATTGCAATTGTGTACATGTATCTCTAAACGGCATAAGTGGTAGATACCTTGCTGTCGGAGCTTGTGAACATGTTGTTATTTGGGATATGAGATTGGGAGAGAAGGTGAATACTATACTACAATAATCCATATTGTTAGATAACTGTTCAATCTTTTTGTTTTCTGTATTTACGCATTACTGTTGTTTTTAATTTATAAGATGCTGTTTTATTTAAAAAAAAAAGTTTTTTTGATGAGCTTTTGGTATACAAATTTACGCACATACAGTGTAAACTCTTTATAACGAAACTCAAGGGACTGAGCATTTTTTGTCGTTATAGAGAGTTATCGTTATATGGAGTGAACAAGAAAAACCAAATTAACAAGAATTTTTAATTGTGTGTATGAAATAACTTTTTCGTCAACACTAATCGCTTTCCGTTTATTGGCCATGTTAACAGTTTCAAAGTAGGTTTACGACTGATAATACGATAGGTACCCAGTATGCTTGGTCGAAGACCATCACTTCCGAGAAAACAATACGTCATACTGCACGTGTACAAGGCAATTAAGGATAACAAAAGCTAGACGGACCTCCGGATGTTTCGGAGCTTCAAAGTTTTTTGTTACCTGATAACTTAACATAAACAATAATACTGATAATAAATATTTACTGTCTAAAAATATGAACACATTTCTTCGTAATAGAGAATGGCGTATCACTATAAAGAGTGTTTCAATATGTAAGTTTTAACGCAAACCAACCAACTTGGGCTCACTCCAACGTTATAGGGAGTTTAACGTTATAAAGAGTTTACACTGTATATATATACAGTGATACATCTTTTATTATAAGTATGTATAGTATAGGAAAAAAAAAATATTCTCTACACACAAGAAATATCCCCATAATATGTGTTGTGCAGTTAGAAAAGGTGTAAATTCACCCCTTAAATAAAATTAAAATGAAAACAGTCTGTTTATTAATCTTTTCAGGCACAATTGCTCCCTGGAGAAAATGTACTTGTATCTCAGCTAGCTGCCAGCCCTAGTGGCAATCATATGGCAGTAGGCTATATCGATGGAAATATCAATGTATTTGAACTAACAAACAATGAAATCGTCTGTGTATTTGCTGGACACAAATCATCGGTTACTTGTTTGCAGTATGATGAACAAGGCCACAGATTAGTTTCTGGGTCAAAGGTAAGCATTCATTTATAGCATTTCATTGTGTCTATTTACTATATGAAAATTTGTAGTTAGTACCTTAATTGTTTTTGTTCTTAGATATATGATGTTATTTTTGTAGGACACTGAAGTAATTCTCTGGGATGTGGTCTCTGAGACAGGTTTGGCTCGGTTTAGTGGGCACAAGGGGGTTGTGACCAGTTTACTTTTTGTTAATGGCAAGAACTGTGTCATAAGTTCATCCAAAGACACCTTTGTAAAATTTTGGGATATTGAAACAAAACACTGTTTCAAAACATTAGGTGGCCACCAAATGGAGGTAGGTAGTATAAATTAGTTTAAAAGAAATATAACTTAAATACATTCTGCTCAGTCTGCGCCTGGAGCAGGTTTTTCGGTCTGCATCTTCCTCCTCCGGCTGGATGGCAGGGGGTGCAGGTTCAGGTCCTGCCTGATGCCTGGATTGGTTGGAACTTATTTATTTTTCTTTCGGATATAATTGTTAAATGTTAAAGTTCAATATAAAAATTAATGAAACAGCGAGTATTCCCTAACACAAGTAAAGTACTTGAAAGGGGATACTCAACAACATGTTTGTATGGAATTTGTAAGCATTATATTTATGTGAACCTTAAAAAAAGGTAATTCCAAAAATTGTTGTGTTTGTGTTGTACTTTTTCGAAACTAAGTTGACACTTTTCAAAATGTTAATTACAAAAATTATATACATAGTACAGAAAGCCAACACTTAACCATGTCAAAGTCATGCCAATCTTTATGATTGAATGAGTAGTTATCTTACATACAATCTAAAATTGGAAGTAAAACAAAAATGTTTTAAAAGGACATTTTTAATGTCAGGTTTGGGCAGCGGTTCTCCTGAAGGAGGAGAGGTACTTAGTAACAGGTAGTATGGATCAAGAACTAAGGGTGTGGAAGCTCAACTGGACTACTGACACGAAAGATGAAGACAAAATAACTCAACAGTTAGAAATTGTCAAACTAGAAGAAACAGATGACTTAGAAGATTCATCTGTAAGACTGCTTCAAAGTGTCTTATGTTTAATATAAAAATAAGTCGGGTTTTCCTTCCTGACGCTATAACTCCAGAACGCACGAACCGATTTCCACGGTTTTGCATTCGTTGGAAAGGTCTCGGGCTCCGTGAGGTTTATAGCAAAGAAAATTCAGGAAAAATTAAAAAAAAAACTTCTTTTAATCACCAAACGAAATGTTACATAAAACGAAGCCATCTGGTGGCGAAACGGAGTTCGCCGGGTTTGCTAGTGTTTAATATAATCAACTTAATTTGAATAAGCATATTTTTTTCTCAATTACTTATTTTATTATTATTTATTTTTAACAATACTAATCTGTATTTTGTGTTTATATCACCCTAATTTTTAATTAAATATGTTATCAATGGTGTAAATTTTTCAACATATTATTTCAATTTGGTATTCTTGCTTTTTCAGATTTTACAGTGTCATCAAGTAGGTACCCTTATAAGAGGAGGTAAGGGCCGTGTTGTAGGCCTTCATACTGACCCAGGGCAGACTGTGCTAGCATGCTATGGTACAGATTCTTTGCTAGAACTTTTTGCTTTCTGTACTGATGAAGAAGCTAAAGCAAGAATGAATAAAAGAATAAAGAAGCAAAGGAAGAAAAATGCGTGAGTTAAAAGGCTTTACTAACATTTAAATTGTTTCTAAAATGCAGATGAACAACTTGCTTAAATTTGCAGAAAACTTAAGGAGAGCAGTGAAGTTGACATTGAGATTGTAGAAGTAGCAGAACTTTTGACCCTCACAGATGAAGTCAGAAGACTAACTTCAGTCAAATTGGGAGCTAAGATAAAGTCTGCTTCCCTTCTATTGGGAACTACTGGAGAGCTTCGTGTTGGATCTTCTTTAGCAAATAACACTGTTGAACTAAATACTTTAAATGTTGATGAGCCCACTGAAGGTATATTTATTTAAATATAATTCAAATTAAATCCTATTTTCAATCGATGCGCTTATTTACTTTTTCTTTACAGTAAAGTGCTTGAAACAAATAACTCAACCTGGTCACCAGAAAGAACCTCGCTGTGTGGCAATAAGTTCAGATAATCTTGCTATTTTATCAGCTTCTGCAGATTCCATTAAATTATGGAATAGGTATGTTATAGAAAAACTACTTATTTTATTTTGCTTATCTTATAATATTTGATAAAATAATGAACAATAGCATATTTAGTAAATTAATTTCTGTAATTACTGTGATAGTACACTTTGTTTATGAAGACTATATCAGAACTTATCTAATACTTACACAGGCCGAATCAAACGTGTTTGCGCACTATCGATACACCCGGTGGTCGGCCGATGAGTATATGCTTCGCGCCCGGCGATCGTCACGCCCTAGTGGGCTGCACGGGAGGGGAGTTGCTCGTGGTAGATGTGGCGGCCGGCCGAGTGCTAGAACAAGTGCCCGCGCACCAGGGAGACTGCGCCTGCGTCGGACTCACGCCCAATATGGTATGTGATACAACTAGGGACACTGGCTACAGCCCGGCGAGTATATGCTTCGCGCCCGGCGAACGTCATGCGCTAACAAGTGCCCGCGCACCAGGGAGACTGCGCCTGCGTCGATCTCACGCCCAATATGGTATGTGACACATCTAGGAACATTGGCTACAGCCCGGCGAGTATATGCTTCGCGCCCGGCGAACGTCATGCGCTAACAAGTGCCCGCGCACCAGGGTGACTGCGCCTGCGTTGCACTCACGCCCAATATGGTATGTGACACAACTAGGGACACTGGCTACAGTCCGACGAGTATATGCTTCGCGCCCGGCGAACGTCATGCGCTAACAAGTGCCCGCGCACCAGGGAGGCTGCGCCTGCGTCGATCTCACGCCCAATATGGTATGTGACACATCTAGGAACATTGGCTACAGCCCGGCGAGTATATGCTTCGCGCCCGGCGAACGTCATGCGCTAACAAGTGCCCGCGCACCAGGGAGACAGCGCCTGCGTCGGGCTCACGCCCAATATGGTATGTGACACAGCTAGGGACACTGGCTACAGTCCGACGAGTATAGGGTGACTGCGCCTGCGTCGGACTAACGCTCAATATGCTTACATTATCATCCTATTAATTTTTTTAATAATATATTGATATATAGATAAATTCTTTATTGCACACACAACATAATACAAAAAAGAAAACAATAATATTATGTGTTGCAAAGGAAGCCTTATCCAGATAACCTTTGTGGTAAAGGAAAGGAAAGCTAAACGAAAATGTAGTATGCCAGCAAGATAAAACAAAGAATTATACTTATTTTCTTGAAAATAGAAATGTATATGGATTTAACATTGTGAACCTAAATCACAAGAATTTAATTATTTTCTTAAATAAAGGTTGTTTAACTGCTCCTAAGGGATGAGCGCTGTGTCTGTGATGCAAGAATTTTTAAAACCTTGTACAGGCACAGAGGATATTACAATAAAACGAAATTTTATTCTTTATTCCAAGCTATAGTGTATATTGTGTTGTATGATTCTTGTTAAACTGGCTTGTAAATAATAAAAAAATATTATCCCCACTGCTGGGGCACAGACCTTCCCTATGGATGGTATAGGGAAATTGGGTCACGCACGGGGGTCATGCTGCCCCAGTCCCTGATCGGAGAGTGCTAATGACTGCAGATGCAGCCGGGACCAACGACATGCCTTCCGAAGCACAGTGGTTCGAGATAGTAAATTTAAGTATAATATGTATTTATGTATGAATTTGTGTTTATGTGTAATATATTATTAGATATATATAGGACATGTATTTGTGTATGTGTATATATAATTATATTTGTTTTAATTTTGTTTTTTGCATTGTTTGATGTTAACTCTCTTTTTTTATTCTTTGCCGTTATGTTCGCTCTGCACTTTCTTTCCGGTTGACTGGTAGCGAATGCCATATTGGCATTAAGTCCGCCATTTTCATATAAGGCATTCAAGATTAAATAAATAAATTTCTAAATACTAATTTTGGTCCGATAATTGACCATTGCGAAAGTTGCTTTGTAGTCGAAGACCAAATGCTCTTTGATCAGTCTATTTGACAGTCGAATTTATACCTCATAGCATTTAAAATTCATTCAATTGAAAATTGTCAATGTTACATGTTTCTTATGCTTGCAGCTGGGTTGTTATTCTGGCGGCGCAGACAAAACAGTGAAACTGTGGCAGTTTGAATTGATAGAAGATCCAACAGGTGAATCCAAAGCGAAGGTAAAATAAAATAAAAAAAGTTCTATGTTAATACATTCTTGTGTATCTTGTTTATTTATATTCTAAAGAATTTCCTTTTTATAGGTGTTATCATTGCTGCACACTAGAACTTTAGAACTGGAAGAATCAGTACTGGCTGTTAAAATAAGTCCCAACAGTAAATTTATTGCTGTAGCTCTTCTGGATTCTACAGTTAAAATATTTTTCCTAGACACATTTAAGGTAATCATATTTTCAATAACTTCTCAATAATATTTGTTTTTGGACATGGTAGTTTATATTCAAATAAAATTTGCACTAAAAATGTTCAACCCACTCAGATTAGAATTGAACCCCTAATCTTTAGACACGCCTCTATAAGGGTGTCCTTACGCCATCGAAATAAGTTGATTGAAGCAGGATTTTTCAATCAGATTTAAGGCTTAAGAGATTTTAGCAGTTATACATTACAAAATAATATGTAACTGCTAAAGTTTGCAAAAAAGAATTTAATAATATGATTAATGACTTAAAAACTACACTATTCTATACACATATAGTACAGTAATAATATGTTACCCTCTTTACAGTTTTACCTCTCACTCTACGGGCACAAGTTGCCGGTTCTATGTCTGGACATAAGCTACGATTCCAACATAATAGCGACCGGTTCCGCTGACCGAAACGTCAAAATCTGGGGCATGGACTTCGGTGACTGTCATAAATCTATATTCGCTCACAATGATTCGGTTACTGCACTTCAGTTTGTCCCAGGCACACATTACTTCTTCACCGCATCTAAAGATGGGAAGATCAAGCAGTGGGATGCTGATAGTTACGACAATATTATTACCCTAGATGTGAGTATGGTAACATAGTAACAATAAAATGTCAAAATTTGTCAATGGATTATAAATCTTATACCAGACACGATAAGTCTAAAGCCAGATAAATGATTAGTTAAAAGAAATAAAAATGACTATAATTGGGGTGCACGGAGAATGACCTAATATTTTTTGGCCCCGAAGTTGTTAAAGCTATAGAGATAGAGTACCCCGCCAGAGTTTACACTACAAATCGAAATCGCCAATGTGTTTCGATCAGACACGTCAGTGTGACGTCATGATCGGATTATAAATTTTGTGAAACGAAGTACCGCAGTTTGTCGCCAGTTGCGAGTGGCACACGCTTATGTAATATTGTGAAATAAGCTGGTGCTCTTATAAGCCTCGATGATAGGGGCGAGTTACAAGCTACAAAACAGCGAGTAAGCTAGCAGCTTGTAAGCTTGCCCCGTGTCTCGAGTAGCAGATTTAAAAAAAAACGATTACACGGGGCAAGTTTACAATATGCTAGCGAACTCGCTGTCTTGTAGCTTGTAACTCGCTCCTATCATCAAAGCTATATGCGGCCTCTAGTGGGGGTGATTGGTAACTAGTGTTTTTCTTCGTTTAGGGTCACGCCGGGGAGTGTCGGGGCTTGTGCGTGGGCGCGGGCGGGCTTCACGTGACGTCGTGCGGCGCGGACCTCGCGCTGCGAGCGTTCGTACGCACGGACGAGCCGCTCGTGCTCGGCGACACGGACGAGCGCGACGACGGGCTAGCCACCGGCGATACGCACGTGAGTGATTGTTGTAGGTTAGGGTCACGCGGGCAGGCTTCACGTGACGTCGTGCGGCGCGGACCTCGCGCTGCGAGCGTTCGTACGCACGGACGAGCCGCTCGTGCTCGGCGACACGGACGAGCGCGACGACGGGCTAGCCACCGGCGATACGCACGTGAGTGATTGTTGTAGGTTAGGGTCACGCGGGCAGGCTTCACGTGACGTCGTGCGGCGCGGACCTCGCGCTGCGAGCGTTCGTACGCACGGACGAGCCGCTCGTGCTCGGCGACAAGAACGAGCGCGACGACGGGGTATAAACAAAATTCTATTAAGTCTGTCAGTTAGATTATAAGAAAATAATTAACACTTCTTTTTTCTTTTGTCAATCAACCAAAAATTATTAAGGCGCGGCAAAGTTTGGGAGTGGAGATCCGTAACGTCACTTCTGAGTGAAAATTATACCAAGGCGTGACATTACACGACATTTCAAATCAATATATTTCTATCTATATCTTTGATTATATGAAAAGAGGAAAAATACATGTCAAATACTTTTGGATAATCTAACTGATAGACGAATAAAAAAGAAGTTTGTCAATATCCCTATCCTTTACTTAGATGCTAAATTATACTAAATACGGAATGAATTTTTAACCCAATAAAATATTACACTACCTCGTCTAATCCAACCTATTAATGTTCCCATGATTGTTTAAATAATTATTTTGTCATTTTAGGCACCTGTTCCTGGATTACCTGGATTAAATATGCCTACAAAGAAAACCATTGGCGCCGAGAAAGCTGTAAGTATTTTCGCTCAAACAAAAACTAGTCATCACACTAATATTATAAAGGCGAAAGTTTGTGAGTGTGTATGTTTGTTACTTCTTCACGTCTATTTTAATAAAATTTAATTTAGTGATTTTAATAAAATTTGGTATGGAGTTAGCTGACACCCTAGATTAACATATAGGCTACTTTTATCCCGAGAAAATGTTAGATTCCAGAGGGATTTTCAAGAAACTAAGTTAACGCAGACGAAGTCGCGGGCGACCTCTAGTTTTAAATAAATTCTCCAAAATTAGTAACTAAGTAAAATGCACTTACTGTTAATGTATATTAACTTTAACAGGCGGATTCCATAATGGAATGTCTGTCAGTGGGTGCCGAATACAAACGCGAATTAACAGAGGCGCGCGGTAAATACGTCCAACCGCCCTTACTGATGGCCGCGTACAATTGTACCACGGCTGAGGACTTCCTTCTAGAGACGATAAAGAAGATACGTTCAAGGTAAGTGTAGTAGTTTAATAAATTTATATTCTAAAATCAAGCAATGACTTAAACAGGCGGATTCCATAATGGAATGAATGTCTGTCAATTGGTGCGGTAAATATGTCCAATAAGTATGGTAAATATGATGGATGAATTATTAGGCCATAGTTAGCTAAGTGATGTGATCACTTAGCTAACCATGCATTGTCATTCAAACTAAACGTATATACAAAATTTCATCTTACTCGGTTGAGGAAAAATGCAGTTGTATTATTTGCCCTCAACATACATTGCAAGGTAGATAAAAGCTTTCATTAGGTAAAAGACCCAAAACAAAAACACCCCAATTCTGATATAACTGACATAGCACGAGCTAATTTTGAGGTTGAGAGGTTGCATAATTATAGTAGTTTGGTTCTTGTTTAAACGTAAAACCTAAACGGTATTGCATAAAATTATCCGATCTTGAGTTCCTCAAGGTTCCCATTTAGGAACAAAGTTCTACCTTGATTGCTTGGACGCCACCACAGCATACATTAAGTGAAATAGTTTTCACATTTTTGGGGACAATCTTTGGCCTTCCCGAATATTTTTTTAAATAGTATAATAATAATAATAAATTGGCAATCCACACTTAATATCATAATTGCGAAAGTCTGTTTGTGTATTACCTCTTCGCGCATCGCTGGCACTAGGGTTCATTCCCGGGAAATCGTTAGGCTCTGTTACCGGGAAATCAAGCTCGAGAAAAGTCGAGAACTCGAGAAATCATGTACCTATATAGAAATTAAATCGCCGTTTGTTGTGTTGCGTGGCAACGCGGGCCAAAGCGCGCCACCCAAAATTTATATAATTATAATTTACATTTATTTTTTACCTGAATTTAAGATAATAACGTTTTTTCATGTTTTTTTTTTGTTTTATAGAAGCTATTTTTGTTTTTAGTTGATTTTTTTATAAATAATCAGGCAAAAATGGTGCTGTGATTGTAATTTAATTATAAGTTAAGATATTAACGGTTTCTTTCATGATGATTTTTTGTTTAGTTTAATAGATATATAGCTTTTTAACTGACTTCAAAAAAGGGGCCGTTCAAGTATTACGTAAGCACTATAGGGGGGCAGGGGGGTCTTTGCGTTGCTTATTTTTGATGACATGGGGGGGGGGGGGTCGAGATAATGATTACGTCAGCATCATGGATTCGGGTGTCATGGACTGAAGATTGTATACATAATATACCAAAAATTCGAAAGAAGTTGGTTTTGTTCGTAATAGGACCTTACTCAATGTTGAATACTGACTGTGTCAAAAAAGTTTGTTTCAATGAATATTATGTGCGTTAAAGTCCTCTATCCTAAGCCTATTTAAGTACTGCTGCTCATGAAAGCTCAAAAATGAATAAAAAAAACAGAATACATTTAAGGAAAAATGCATAGGTACTAATGTTTACGTAAGCACGAGAGGGGGGAGCAAGAGCTTTACTTACTTTTGCTGACAAGGGGGAGGAGGGGGTAAATAATTGTAATAAATCTGCTTACGTAATACTTGAAGGGCCCCAAAGGAGGAGGTTCTGTGTTCGACTGTATATATATATATATTTTATGTATGTTCACCGATTTCTCCGTCAATTGTGGACCGATTTCCAAATTTCTTTTTTTATTCTAAAGAGTGCACTTCCGATGTAGTCACATTTGGAACCAAGACAGGATCTGATGGTGGAATTCGGGGAAATCGAGGGAAACCTTCAAAGGAAATTGCTCAATTTGGCCCAAATGCATAAAAAATATTGACATATACGGTAATTCTTGGCGTAATTTATACTTTATTTTACAGTCATTAGATTTTAACGGACACCTTTGTATAATATTTTCATTTTAAAAAGGACTTTTAATTTTACCGGTTTAAAAAACATACGAATCATTTTTAATGGTTATGGGTGTAGTAACATTCAGCCAAAGACTGATCGAAGTTGTTTATATATCATAAAATCAAATCTATTTTGTAAAAATCGATAAAATAAAACTTTTTTTTATTACAATGTATATATCCAGAACTATATTATCATTTTCAGCACTACATGCAAATGTGCTAAGACAATTATTATAGATAGACGGCGACATCACAAAGTCTATTGCCATACATTTTTCGCCAAATACCTCCATAAACACATAATAAGGTGTGATACACTAAAAATCTAAAATATGGTTATAATGTAAACATAATAAAAGTAATGAAGTTATTGAAGATATGGCTGTATAACCTAAATCTCTTAGCTTTCTTTGGTTAACGAGAGTTTAAAATTCTCTCTAATCTGTGGCTCATTCACAATCATCACACAGTTTCTGTCACAGAGTACCTTCCTTATTATAACCGGAAATACATTACATGATACCCGATTTTAAAAGTTACTCTTGTGTATTAACTTTAAAAACAGGCAACTATTTGTTAATCTACATGCTATATATACCTGAATCTAATACATAATTTCGGTACTTGGCTTGATTTCCCTAGTTTACTATATAACTTATGTTATTTATTATTTTAATACCTATGTACCTATTTGCAAACATAACCTCAATATCGTTCAGTGTATATGGTTTATAGAAGTTCTCAAGGGTGTCCGTCAATAATATTCGTTTCTACAGTAATTTATATATAATTTCGAATCAAGGAAGCAATTTTTCATGATTATTGGTCTTTAGGCCAAACATGTATGGAAGCTGAGCAATCTCCTTTCAAAGGCACGCATGATGTGTTTTTATGCATGTTCACCTATTTCTCCGTCAATTGTTTTATTGTTTACTTGGACGATGTAATTTTCACTAATATGGATGAAATAATTTTTTTTAAACATAAAATAAAACCGACCTCAAAATCGAAAATGGAATGGTTTATAATTTCTAAATAACCAGCCAAATATGATGCTGTCATTATAATTATGAGTCTGAATAATATTATTTCTGTATTTTTTTTAAAGTTGCTGAGCTGAGCTTATTCATAAGATTAATGTTTTTGAATATAATCAATTAAAGTTTTATAAATAATTGGATACTTTTAAATAAAAGTGAGAATCTCAAATGAGAGGAAAACCACTGGATTTTGTGACGTTATTGGAACCAAATAATATGAGAAAACGTACGTAAATGTAAATATCTCGATAAAACTGCTGAGCTGGTAAGCTTGTTATAACATATATTGAATTATTCATTAATTTATCACTTGTTTATAATTTTCATGGTCACTAACATGATAGTTATTAGCGGGATTGCTACCATGTACCTTGTTTTTTGTACGTGTCCGATATTTCGGCACTGTTGCAAGCGCCATGATCACGGAGTAACGTAGACACACAAATAACAAGGTAAATGGTAGCACTCCCGTTAATAACTATGTAGGAAGGCCAAAGGGGAAGATCTTCCTCCGAGCTGGGTGATGTTAGCTCGGGGGCCGCGGCCCGACCCGACTGATCGGGCATCGTATATATCAAGTGTTAGCCTCCGAATTCTACTTGCGCGATGTAGGCTTCCATACTATTGTGATCGCAGCGCAAGTAGCGCCATCTCTTGAGGAGGCGAGTGAATATTTCCTCCATGTTAGTTATATGTTGGGCATATAGATGTCGCCGCTACAACTATAAAATTATCAATGTTTTCCTTACAAAACAAAATATGTTTGTATACAGTGATTTAGAAGAAGCATTGTTGCTGTTGCCGTTCAGCATAGCTTGCGACGTGGTCCGCATGTTGCCGCTCTTACTGGAGCGCGGTTCCGACGTGGAGCTGTTGTGTCGCACTTGCTTCTTCCTTGTGAGAGTGCATCGCGCACCGCTGCTCGCCAACAAGGCCCTGTTGAAGCACCTCATACAGATACAGGCGAAGGCCGCCATGAGACTGCAAGAGCTCAGGGTGAGTTCTACTTTGGTACAGTGCTGCCATTTTAGCGCTTTGGGCGCTAGATCTAGCGATCTAGCTAGAGTAACACTCTATTATCGATAATAATAATAATTCATGGCCTCGGGAAGCCCCACTATTATTTTTGAAGTTATACTTCTTTAGGCGCGTTATGAAAAAATGATGAGAGTGAAATTTTAAGATGCGCGCGCATCACTGTAACACAAAATTTTAACAGCATGAAGTTGGTCGCTAAACATTTGTGTTTACCGCACATTAAGAAAATCTACCAACAAAATAGAAATAGAATCTCTATTTAGTGGGTGCTAACGACTGCATTGTGAAGGCCTATCAAAAGTATTTATTAATCTGGAACAACGGAACCAAAGCGCGATTCAGGAGACTACAGCGCCATCTCTTGACCATTGGTGTAGTAGAACCAAAAACCACATCTTTATTTTTTGTAATAAAGTAACAGTTATAGGTATTCATATTTATAATATTTATCCACATGTTTCTAGTTTGTATATTCGGAATACGTGTTTGAGTTTCATACAAGTGCAAATCACATTATGTTCTAATAAATTATATTCAGTAGCGATTTTAATTGAATATTTTGATTATTTATTTATTTTTTCAAATTAAAACTGAACTTTATTGACTGTGTCCTTTTCCAAACTTTTTATTAATTTATTGTAATTAATTATATGCATGTAATTAAAAACTAATTTTAAACGATGCCAAAGAAGGATAACTTCTCACGCGCCTACATAAGTACACGCATCCATTTTTTTATTATGGCAGAACTACACTTATCTGTCGTCTTGTGTTGTGTCGCGTCAAAGAGGTATCGGTTTTATACATTTAGTACGGTTAAAACTATACTTGTGTGTCATAATGTGTCGACACCGTTCTCACTCTAACCGTGTTACTAAATTTATGCAACCGATATATCTCAGATGCGTCACAACACAACACGACGGATAAGTAGTAATATTTCTGCCATTAGTTCATGATTTTGTTTTCATCAATTCATGTTAAATATTTTGGTGGAAGTTAAAAAGAAATCATGTGGTTAGACATTCTGCGACAGATTCGGATTGGGACATATGAAAAATATTGTAAGACAAAGAATACATGAATGGCCAGAATGAAGCTGGCCCAAGCGGGTTTTATCTAAAGAGCCTCGTTATTTTTAATGTATATTTTTTAGCGGCAATAGAAATAAATATACCTACTAGTGAAATTTGCATAATAAAATGCATAATTGTAAATATTAAGGACCAGTACACGAGATGCAGCCCGCTGATAGCGTAGGCTTAGCAAAAGTTAGGTTGACACCGTTTATGTATATATATATAATTATATATATATATTATATACTTTGATTCTTTATATGCCTAGATAAAGCAATCCAAATAAACTAGGCAAAGAAAATAAACTATGAAAATGAGTCATGTTTCGCGCAATGTATGCGTGATTCTAATGTCAGATTATACAAAAGCAGTCAATGTGTGCGTGTTTCTAACGACAAGCATATCTATCATATATATCTAGTAGATTTTTTTGTGCCGCTTCCGTGCAGTCAATACGGTAACTAGGGTGTTTATAACCGAAGACTAAGCATGTCGTATTTTCAGGATATGGTCGGTTTCAATGTGCACGCCCTGCAATGGATGAAACGCGAGGCGGAAGCCACGGACAGCGAGCAGTTGTTCAGAGAAGCTATAGACACACGACGCACGCGTGACCGACGTCGCAAAACGAGGCAAGCCCTCAAACGACCCATCGTTACGGTCACTTGATTGTTCTAATAAATCATGTTGTATATGCAAACTCGAGGCTTTTATTTCTCCATCTAATCTATACTAATACTAGCTGTCCCAGCGAAATTCGTACCGCCATAAAAATATGGGTTGGTGGTAGAAGGCTGAAAATTTTAGGGTTGTATGTATTTATTATATAATTTGTATGATATGTCATAACAAAATAAAAACAAAATATTTTGTCCAAAAGAAAAAAAAATAATGTTGGACCACCACCACAGGTGGTTAACATTAAGGGGAATGAAAAATAGATGGTGTACGAGTCACATCCATAGACACACGCACAACAGATTACAACAATAGATTAGTCGGGAACAGAATAATTTTTCTAGACTTCAGTTTTGGCAATAACAGCATTTTTGGGCGGATTTTCGATGTTTCGTTTCGACATTGTTTTTTTTTTCGATACCGATTTATCGATATCGTTGTTTCGTGCCCTATCGATATATTAAGGCATCGATATTAACCGGTTTTCCGATATATCGTTGCGTCCTTGCGCGCATGAGTTGTAAACAGGTGTACGTTTATTACGTTGCATTTTCACCCTTAAGCTGCACAGCATAAGGGTCATATTAGAATGAACCGCATCACTCGACCTTTATCGAGGTTATTCACGTCACGACCCGTGGCGCATTTCCAGTAATTTCGCGGTTTTTGTTCAGGAGCGTTTGTGATAATACATACATTTACCTTAACACATTCAATTTATACAAAAAAACATAAGAGGTTAAAAATAATCAACACCACAAGATTAGCTGCTATAATTTATTTGTAAAAAAATATTCTACTCACTACATAGCCAATATATCAGTTAAAATTTTAATAATTTAAGTATCCATCCCTGCGTAAGTCACATTATATATCATCTATACAACAATAACTAATGTTTCACAATGAGTATTCCGGTCACGTGTTCGTACGAAAATCTCAATCTAATAATTTATGCTGAAACTTACGATCGATAACGTTACAGATAAGTAAATACACGACAACAATATAATAAATGGTCCATTAAGCTTTCTATATTGGAAATTATTGCTTTATGCATATCATACGTCTTTCAACTTAACTACAGAGCAAGTAATCGTGCCTATATTTCTATACATCGGGGCCGAGAATCAGATACGGTAAACATCTTAATTAACTTCGCATTGACATTGAATTGATAGCTGAACTACAGCACTTACAATCGCCAGGTAGTGTTTTGTTTGGCAGGTTTCAATAAACTTGTTTTATCATAACAATGCGCCATCGAGTTCTAAGATTACACACCTGCAATTGTCAGCTCTATCGCTCAGTGCATTATACAACAACAATTCATAATTGACAATATCATTATAATATACTATCCAGAATAAATTTATGTTGAGTCTTGCTTACACGGGTCATCACCACTTATCACAATGTTATTGCTTTACGGAAACACGCTTCATCTTCAACATTATAATACCTTATCACATATTGGATTATAATACTCTTTCAACATAATTTCTGACATCAAATGAGAGAGCTGTACGGAGCAAATACACAATGAGAAGGAAGTTATCAGTGAGTTTGAATCAGTCAGTCTTAATCATTCTAGAAATTATATCATAATCGAATGGTACACCTATAAAGCCAATATTTCAGCATAAATTATAAATACACCATAATACAATTGGTACGACGTCTACATTCAGAACAGACCTGAAAATTAAAACGAAATCACAAACACATGCTTGTTAGACCGTAAGCACACACAACACAACCGGCTTGTTAGTAGCTTAACGAAGATATACACAATACATTGTTCATCAACTCTTACATCGACAAATTAAACCTAGAAATAATAATAAATAACCAAATTGGAAGATCGAGGGCTATAATCTACTAATGTCGTTTCAGTTTACTTCATCTCGGTCTTGCAAATTTAATAAGAAAAGGTTAACTTTGTGGACGTTTTTTAATATTATCACTAATGACATATAGACACACTCAATCGGTGCAACAAGTGCACACGAAGAGAAAATTCGGACGTCATCTAGGTAAAACTAACAGAATAAAATAAACCTAATAATGTACAGAGTATAATTTAATAAAATAATACTGTATCACTACTGCAAGCAGCAACATTAATAGAAAATAATGATAATCGTAAAATGTATTTTCATGTAAATACCTACTATAAATTTTGCTACATTAAGTAGGAAAAAGAGATTTCGTCGATTTGAGTGTGCAAATGTTTATTTAATTAAACACTTAAATTGTATATATATATATTTAACCTTAAATTAATAAGAAATATAAGCTCTCGTCCAGGGCTATAAAATATTATATAGTAAGGATAGAATTATAGAATCGATGAGCTAAACTCATCGCAAGAGAGCGCTTAATGAGTAGAGAGCAAAATAATCCCCATTTATTCATACACAAAGAATTAGCTTGGACTAGTTACCCCCATGTTCTGTCTGTTTATCGAATAAAAAATATCATTTGTGTTATGTAAACGAAAGACATATGCGGAACATATTCAGAACAATAAAGTTATTGTAAAACATATTTGGAGATTCAGTATTATTTTAATGTTGGTACTTACTTCACTTGGCTATACGTATTTGCTATTTGTAAACCAACAGTCTGTCCTTATCATGCTTTATGGGGAATAAAAAGGAAAGACTGAAGTTAAGTTCATAAATAGCAAACACGAATAGACAAGTAAAGTGCCAGCACAAATAATAATGTGCGACAATATTCTTCTTCGTCCATTTGCATTTCTTTCTCGTGTTAATTTAACTTTGTTTAGCTATTTAATGTTAAAATAATTTGTTCCTTTATAATTATTATTTCGTTAAAAAAATCCAGCCTGATACCTTGGCCAAGTTGACTTTTTTCTAGTGACGTGCTCAACACTTTTTCAATTACTGTATGCGCCTGTAAATCATATCGTTACGTAGAAGTGGAATATGGTATGTGATAAATGATATTTTTTAATAATCGATAAAGATACGCTAGCGTAGCTAGTATTAAATAATAATCTGTAACTAGTCCACCCTTCTTCTTCGTTTATAAATAACATTATTGAGTGTGTTTTCTACAGAAAATTCTACGGAAATAAACTATACAATGTTTCCAAATCATATTATTAATAAATAATAATCTCAATTTAAAGCCATTTAAATACGATAAACTTGACGAAGTTACTGAAGAGTTTAGCTGCATTAAAATCACATGATTTGAGGAGATTCGACGCTGAGTTTTATCTAGCTTAATATTATCACAATGTCTCATAGACTTCTGTATTTTACTGGCCCATGGGGTTTCCAAACTAACACTAAAATTAAGTAGAGACGTCAAGCATAGGACGGTGAATAAAGTGTAAACAGAGTTGAACAGAAGCGACAACTAAACAGCCCAGTTCAACAGAGACATAAAATAAATGCTTTTTAGCTATTATGTTATCATTAAACACTGACCATGATGAGGTGAATCTGGTAAATTAATTTTTAATAATGCCAGTTCAATGTAAGCTACGATACACGCGCTACATATAAAAATGCAGTTGTATATCAGGTAAATTATGAGTAACCTAAAAGGTAGTAATACTACCTGTTTATGAACAATAATGCCAAAATATTGGTTAGGTATGTTATAATTGAATGTAAAAATATATTCATAGTAACACTAAATGTTTACATTTAATATCTCAACTTCGCTCGTACCTATGTTCTCTCTTATATCTGTATTTTAATATCCCCTAATAATGGTTTGTGTGTCTATATAATATGTAAGAGACTCGTACTTGCTTCTTAATTGATAAAAAACTTCAAATCTTAACTAAAGAAGAAAAATACTCGTCAGAAATATAAAAAAAAATACTTACATTGTAAATACTGACCGAAATGGGAAATAAATTAAAGTAACTATAATTTTACCATTTAAACATTAGAGTTCTAACTACTTAGTAAACAAAATTTACAATATCTTAAAATCATCCTACATCTAATTGAATACTTGCGTCGCAAAAGGTAACGGTAAATATAAATTTATCAATATCAAGAGAGCATTTGAAGGCAAGGCTTATGACCCAAATAATATCAATCAGATTTGAGATTTCCCTTTTTACACTGGCAACTAGGTGACTCATATACCTATGACATACCCGGCCATCTCCACGAATCACCTAAGCGAATAATATAATATAACAGCATTTATGAGCAAAGTAGTTTGTTTTAAAGATTATCTTCAGAATGGAGAATTGGCGAATGTATTGACCATGCATTATCACATACATATTTAACGCCCAAGGAAAATACTTTTCACTTATACTTTTAGAACACAATCACTACCGCTGTACATTAAGATCTACACATTAAATAGGCACTAACGCAATGACATCGAGTATTGCCCGCGTCTTATTAAAATAATGCCCTGATTTTAAGAAATAAAAACTCATAAAAATAACATAGGTTACACCATAACGCTTTCAACTACGAAGGAGTCTTATTACATTTTCCTTCTAGTTATTGATTTAAGTACTTTTATAGTAAACGTGTTATTATGGTAGTGAGCTGATTTCGAATACTTATAAAGAAGGAGCTTGGAATAATCGAAGGTCTACTCCAGACGTTCTTAAACGTAGCTAGTTACGCATGCTTTTCGATTGTTCTTATAAATAGGTAGGTAGGAGGTAGGTTCATTGATGGCCAAAAATAAATCATTTAAATGAGATTTTGTTTTCAAAGCTAATAAATTACCAAGAATAGCAATAATGTAAAGGTTCTTGTTGAGTTGAGCGTTTTGCAATAATACAAAACTTCGTTTAAGGACGTTTAGCGTAGCCAACTTCACCCGCAATCTACACCCGAACTATTAGTTATAGTCGTTAAACTGGCCTCTCTATCACTATTATGAACTAAATATAATACATTAGTTGCTCCTGTGTATGTCTCATGAGGTTATTGTTAATACAGTCGATTCACAAAGTGTTCACAGAAATCACGAATAATGAAAATATGGACTGGCTACCACAGAATAAATACATACTTTCATGAATCAACTGATGTAACAACACAAACAAAAAAATGGTTTATAAATCAACTATAGCTTTACTTCACTTTTCTAGTCATCACTTGAATGTGAGCAAAGTTTCGTTCTATATGAAAAAAATACGAGAATTGGCTAATTAAATAAGTGTCACTAGCCAGTTAGGGTTGCCAACTTATGTTTTAATTTTGTATCTAAATAATAAACTATAAAAAATAATAAGTAATAATAAGTTTTGTAAACAATTAACTAAAATGAGCATGATGACTTAAATCACATCTCAGCGAAAATAATTTCCACTATAATATAAAACGATTATATTTTAGTACATTTTGATACAGCGGTGCATTTCGTTTCATACAAGTTATGGCCCGAGTAAAAAGCGAGAATCAAGAAGTAAGAACTATTAAAGGTGGCAATCCGCAGCTGTATCATACAACGTTTTTAATACATCTGCGAAATATAAAAAACATAGAGTGAAAGCAAAATGACTCATACAAAATTAACATAAGATTTCATACATTTCGTAATAATTTACTGTGAATTAGTTCCTCAAATTAATTATCGTAAATTTTGACTTGACAGATTTTTATGAAAAACAATGCAGTATGCTTTGTGTGATTAAAACCAACGGGTAAAAGCATTATTGCTGAAAATACTGATATTATTGCTTGCTATAGAGATAAAGAAAAAACATTTTTTGCGCATGTGTTCTTAATTTGAAAATTTTTTGTGCAACAAATATTGTTTATACTACACCTGCTCGAAAGGTGCTTAATTCTTGTTCTAAAAATTATGCAGAAAGGACCTCATTACTGTTATACTACCAAGTGGGCTGGAAAAGTGTATGGAAATCCATATCTAACGTGCTGAGCAGGCAGAAAAAGTCTATTGAAATTCATAATTAACATCTGTTTTTTTATTTATGTATCAAAAAGCAAGTGGTCCGTATGATTTTGCAGACTTTGTGATTTATTAATTTATCATTAAGCTTTTTGCTTTCTGAACATTAATTTTGAAAAAAGAACAAATAGTAAAAATTGTGCTGATTATTTTAGATTAACCATTAAGTTTTTAATTAGTTTTCCTATTTACTTAAGATGGCATATATTACTGATAATGAAAATTTATTGACACCGCCAGAATTAAAAGAAACTACCTAAGCAGTTATTTATGAGCGATTAAACGATAAGTAACTAAAAAAGTCTGTTTTCAAATAAATAAAATGTACGTAATTTTGATTACATTGACTTTAGTGATCAAAAAATGGTTATCAATGCCTTTTTGATATACCAGTCGTCAACCCCAGAACTAGCTCAATATTTTTTTTGTGACACTATTTAGGTGTTTTTAATATTTTTTTATTGATGAGCTACTGAGTGAATAGTCGAAGTAGTTCCAATCTCTTTTTAATATAGTCTTCATTACCTATATCAAGCTCAAGTGAATAGAAACTAAATATCGTCCACCCATCAGAATCTTCACGGAAACGAGTTAGTGGCTTTTCACACAATCGCTTACAAAAGACAAGGGTGGAAAATTGTGTTACACGGGAAAGGAGGCTATCATTGATGCCAATGACAGCTTATCTTTCGTGGATCCTAGCTCGTTTCTGTGAGTATAAACGTTGATAAATCGAAGAATTGGTTAAGTTTAGTTTATTTAAAGTTTCTTCGAGTATAAAAGAAGTTGATAACCTGTAAAGTCGTTTATGTTTAGTAAATTTAAGGTTTCTTTGAATATAACGGAAGTTGATAACTGAAAAGCTGCTATGTTTGATACATTTTAGGTTGTTTTTAAGGAGCATTAGTAAAAACTTCCCTGGTTGAGTGTTGATTGCGGGCGTATCACATGTCAGTGGGCGGTCAGTGAGTCTCCTCGGCGGCGACGTGGCTCGCCACCAGATTCAACGGGGCTTCGTCGTATTCGGGCGCGTTCAAACCAACCTGTGTATAACGCGTCATTATAAATAATATGAAGTATCCTTCATGCAATGGTTGGATAATGGTTTTTTCATTATGTGAAATGAGTGGCAAATAAGTTTATGGAACGTCTGATGGCAAGCAGCCAACATATATCCTGACCGTACCCAACTAGCTGTCAGAAATACAAAATGTTATTTCACTGAGGTCTTCTGTTGGGTGTATTTACAAGAGTAGAACAAAAGTATTTAACTATTTAATAAAAAAGTGGCCAAGTGCGAGTCAGGATTGCCCATGAAGGCCATGTTCCGTAGCAGCGAGTAACATAATATAAAACTTCTTGTAGTTCTTTGTAACTTTGATCGATATTTTAATAATAGCGCCCCGCGCGAATTATAATTATTATTTACATAGGCTAGGTGCCTTACAGATTTTTTATTTGAATTGTTTACGGTTTATGCATAAGGTTTATGTTTATGAAATTATGTTTTTTTTATTTTATATTTGAGTTGATTGAATGAAAGGTAAATTGCGGTTTACGATTTATGACGAAATAAAAAAATACTTACTAGAACTCGTTCCAACCAATTATCGGTGGAAGTTTGCATGGTAATGTACATCAATTTTTTTTTTTAGTTTTATTATTCTCTTATTTTAGAAGTTACAGGGGACACCCATTGTACCACTTTGGAAGTGCCTCTCACGCAAACTATTCAGTTTAGAAAACAATGATATTAGAAACCTCAATATTATTTTTAAAGATCTATCCATAGATCCCCCCGAGCCATTAACGGGCGGATGACATGATAACTACAGGGTTGGTACCTGCGGGCGATGCGTGTGCGCGTGCAGGGCTGCCAACAGATGCGGCTGCAGTTGTCGCCGCAGGGCTGCCAGCATGCTGTCGTGCCATTAACGGGCGGATGACATGATAGCTACAGGGTTGGTACCTGCGGGCGATGCGTGTGCGCGTGCAGGGCTGCCAACAGATGCGGCTGCAGTTGTCGCCGCAGGGCTGCCAGCATGCTGTCGTGCCATTAACGGGTGGATGACATGATAGCTGCAGGGTTGGTACCTGCGGGCGATGCGTGTGCGCGTGCAGGGCTGCCAACAGATGCGGCTGCAGTTGTCGCCGCAGGGCTGCCAGCATGCTGTCGTGCCATTAACGGCCGCATGACATGATAGCTGCAGGGTTGGTACCTGCGGGCGATGCGTGTGCGCGTGCAGGGCTGCCAACAGATGCGGCTGCAGTTGTCGCCGCAGGGCTGCCAGCATGCGGTCGTGCCATTAACGGGCGGATGACATGATAGCTGCAGGGTTGGTACCTGCGGGCGATGCGTGTGCGCGTGCAGAGCTGCCAACAGATGCGGCTGCAGTTGTCGCCGCAGGGCTGCCAGCATGCTGTCGTGCCATTAACGGGCGGATGACATGATAGCTGCAGGGTTGGTACCTGCGGGCGATGCGTGTGCGCGTGCAGGGCTGCCAACAGATGCGGTTGCAGTTGTCGCCGCAGGGCTGCCAACATGCCGTCGTCAGCGCCCCCCTCCCCTCCAGCGACCGCACCCACCCCCGCCCCAGCTCCTACTACGACCCCCGCCCCCGCCCCTGTATTAGTCGCGACTACACTGCCTGTGCTAGCTTCGCTGATTTCTACACACGCCCCAGCACTCCGCCGCTCTGAAACACGACGGAAAAATTTAAATGGAACGAAGCAAAACCTAAAAATATTTTATTAAATAAATTAAAGAAATATATACATAACTTACATAAATAAAACAAAACAAGATATAAAAATATTCAGACAAAAGTTTAAAGAAAATTAGTATACAATAAAAAAATAGATAAATACGATGATGAGGTTATTGTTTTGTGTTACTGAATCATTGGTGGACCCGGGATCTTGAGATAGCTCGAAGACAAATTCTAAAGCTGGTTAGTTAAATAAAGTAAGTATAGTATGCATACTAATATAATAAATGTGAAAGTGTGTCTGCCTATGTTTCTGTCTGTCAGTCTGTTACTACGTCATCGTGCGTGACGTTTAAGCGTGAAGATACACTTCACGCTTAAACCGCAGAGTCGGTTTAGATGAAATTTGATACAGTCTTAATTTAAGTCCGGGAAAGTACATAGAATAGTTTTCATACCAGAAATCCTTCTTTATGGTGGTGAAAAGGAGGCAAGGAAATGTGTATGGAAAACCAATTTTCTCACACAGACGAAATCGGATGCCCGCGATTTCGACTAGTACTACAATAAATATTAATCTATACTAATATTATAAAGCTGCAGAGTTTGTTTGTTTGAACGCGCTAATCTCTAGAATTACTGGTCCGATTTGAATGATTCTTTCAGTGTTGGGTAGTCCATTTATCGAGGAAGGCTATAGGCTATTTTTTTTTTCAAAATTAGGGATCCGTAATAAAATTGCTATTTTGAAACATAAGGTGTAAAATCGAAAACCTATTTTTGCGTGCGCTGCAAAAACTATTGACAATAGAACAAAATGATGTACTACGGGTTTGTAGATCCCATTAAGACCTACAAAAAAGTCCGCGAGAACATATATCTAGCTACCATGGTTGAATCACAATAACCGATTTTGTGTTCAAAATACTTATTAAATCGTCTGAAGAAAAAAAAACTACGTTAAATATGTATCGTAATATTAAAAACACAAACAACCCTTAATTTTCACCCCTCTACCACCCATATTTTTATGGCGATACGAAGTTCGCTGGGTCAGCTAGTACTTTATTAATAGTACAGTCATTTGGTAGTTATACCTGGAAAGTTTTCCGGGAGTTTTGAAAATTGGTAATTTTATAGATTTTAAGGTGCTCTTTCCGAATTTCGCCTTTGCCACCTCGTATTTTTGCCGCTCGCACCGCCAAAAAATGGCGCCTAAAAGTAGTTTTTTGACAATATCACCTTTCCGACTCAATTTTACGATAAAAACAGTTATGTACAAAATGGAACTAGAGACAATTGCCTACAATTTATCTATCTTTTTTTTAATAAAATCTATAGTTTTCAATAGGGCCGCAAAGTATACTCGTGCAATGAGTGTGGTGGTATACTGACTGTTGCGCGCATACTTTCCGTCGTTCCTGGGGCGGCAGCGACGCGTGTGAATAGTATCGTGTCGCATGGCGGTAGACCGCGGTACTCCGTGCAGCTTGTAGTAGAGGCCGTACGCGTGCAGTGAGTGTGAGTGTGGCGGTATACTAACTGTTGCACGCGTGCTTTCCGTCGTGCCTGGAGCGGCGGCGACGCGTGTGGATAGTATCGTGTCGCATGGCGGTAGACCGCGGTACTCCGTGCAGCTTGTATGTAGCAGAGGCCGTACGCGTGCAGTGAGTGTGAGTGTGGCGGTAAACTGACTGTTGCGCGCGTGCTTTCCGTCGTGCCTGGGGCGGCAGCGACGCGTGTGGATAGATCGTGTCGCATGGCGGTAGACCGCGGTACTCCGTGCAGCTTGTAGTAGAGGCCGTACGCGTGCAGTGAGTGTGAGTGTGGCGGTAAACTGACTGTTGCGCGCGTGCTTTCCGTTTTGCCTGGGGCGGCAGCGACGCGTGTGGATAGATCGTGTCGCATGGCGGTAGACCGCGGTACTCCGTGCAGCTTGTAGTAGAGGCCGTACGCGTGCAGTGAGTGTGAGTGTGGCGGTATACTGACTGTTGCGCGCGTGCTTTCCGTCGTGCCTGGGGCGGCAGCGACGCGTGTTGATAGTATCGTGTCGCATGGCGGTAGACCGCGGTTCTCCTTGCAGCTTGTAGTAGAAACAGTACGCGTACAGTGAGTGTGAGTGTGGCAGTATACTAACTGTTGCGCGCGTGCTTTTCGTCGTGCCTGGGGCGGCGGCGACGCGTGTGGATAGTATCGCGTCGCATGGCGGTAGGTAGCAGTACTCCGTGCAGCTTGTAGTAGAGGCCGTACGCGTGCAGTGAATGTGAGTGTGGCGGTATACTGACTGTTGCGCGCGTGCTTTCCGTCGTGCCTGGGGCGGCGGCGACGCGTGTGGATAGTATCGCGTCGCATGGCGGTAGGTCGCGGTACTCCGTGCAGCTTATAGTAGAGGCCGCACGCGTTGCAGACCATCTCGCCGCGCGCGTCGCGCCTCCATATTGTCGTGGTGTGCGTGCCGCAGTTGGTGCAGGACAGTTCAACGCGTGGACCGGCACGTGCGCTACTGCCCCCGCCTGAAAGAGGCGAGCCCTCCGTTTGCTCCTGCCGAACGGACAATTTTCGTGATTAAAAACACTGAACGTTAAGTTAAAAGAAGTTATGTAGGCTCTTTGAACACGAGTGGCCTTACTAAAAAATGTAGACTGAACTTAAACCTGGACTCAAACTGTGGCTGTGTGCTTTTTAGCAAACAAAGACAAACATTACGTTTAAACAGACACTAACTTGCTTTCGGAAGAAGTTAAATTGGTTAACAACTCGCCAACGTCGAAATCTTAGAATACTTTCTACACTATATTTAATGGTTAATGTTCCATATGCTCCTGGATATTTGAAATGTAAATTTCGATATCTTGGTAGATTCCATAATATCAATCTTTGGTCTGACAGCAAACAAACTCTAGCTATTCCCTCTCACCGTACGGGTTTTGTTTCTAACTGATTTTCTCTTCAAGCTATACGACTCTGGAACGCAGTGCCCACTCATATTCAATATGCTTCGAACAAACTGGCTTTTAAATGCTCGGTACGTCATCATTTTTAGGTTCCTCCTCTGCCTCCTCCTGATTTGTATGTATATGCCTATTTATGTAAAAAAATATTGTTATTTATGTAGTTTATGTATTTATATAGATATGTATTATACAGTGGTGGTCACATAATTGAACACTCCCTAATTGACCACAAAATACTTACTTATGGTACTAAAATTACCTAAAATTGGTATTTAAACTAGTGTCTATTATAAGAATACAACGTCGTGTATAGTTTAATTGTTATTAAACTATACACGACGTTGTATTCTTATACTCTATTATAAGAATACAACGTCGTGTATAGTTTAATTGTTATTAAACTATACACGACGTTGTATTCTTATAATGTGGGACAAAAATAGTTGTGTTCTTATGTAGTTTAGACAATGCTCATTATGGGAACATAACACAAACTTTTTATCGTACTTGTAGCTGGCCAGCTAATTAAAGACAGTAAAAGCTGTGTTCTGAATTTTAAAAAATAAAGAAAAACCTAATTTTTTAATTAAAATTAATAACGTTTTAAACCCAGCAATACGAGGAAAAAGAAGAGCTGCGATTCGTCTACTAGGAAGATTATTTTCAACTTTTGTAATAAAGATTGGTCATAGAGAAAAATAGCAAACCACTTGAACTGTTCCAAGGACTTGGTTATGAATGCTATAAATCATTTCAAGAAGTTCAATACGAAAACGTACCAAGAAAAACTACTCTGCGGGAAGACTCTAAGATGGTGTTGTTGGCAAAAAAAGATCCGTTTAAGGGATCAGAACTGATACGTTCGGAGTTGTTTGGTGCAGGAGGGTCGGAGGGCGTGTCTGCAAGACAATTTGACGGAGACTATGTGAGGCAAACTTGTACGGAAGAGTGTCTAGGAAGGTGCCACTTTTAAAAAAGCAAAATGTTATGGCAAGAGACTGAACCAGAATGGAAGCATGTGCATTTCTCTGACGAAACAAAAAGTAAAATGATTAATTCTGACGGAAAACAATATGTTAGATGCCCCCCGAACAAAGAAATGGATCCAAAGAATACCAAAAAAGTAATTAAACATGGGGACGGAATTATCAAAGTTTGGGGCTGTTTCTCAGGGCTTGGTGCCGACACAGATCCAAACCTGTCAGGAAAATAGAAGACAACTTGGATAAATTTCAGTACAAGAATATTTTATAACAAGCCATGCTGTCCTATGCCGAGCAAAATTAACCGGTCATTTGGACTTTCCAACAGGATAATGATCCAAAACACACTGCAGAAGTAATAAAAGACTTTTTAAGGAACCAGTCTGTGACAGTTTTGGTTTGGTCCCCGTACAGTCCTCATTTAAACCCAATAGAAAATTTGTGGTACCAGGTGAAGAAGACAGTGGCGACAAAACAGACATCAAACATCGATCAACTTTACACAGCTTTTAGAGAAGCTTGGAAGCAAATTCCGGTGGAAGCTTGTAAAAAAATGATCGCTTCCATGCCCAAGAGATGTCGTGCTGTCATTTCTGCCAAAGGACATGCAGCCAAATATTGATACGTACCGGAAAGTTTTATAAATGTCTTAGAAATATTGTGTAATAAAGATAATTTCAATATAACAATATTTTTTTTCTATTTCTTCTAAGCAAATCGAGTGTCTTAAATTAGCAGGCCAGCTATAAATACGTTGAGAAAGTTTGTGTTACGTTCCCATAGTGAGCAGTGTCTCAACTACTAACGAACACAACATTTTTTTGTCCCACATTGTAAGAATACAACGTCGTGTATAGTTTAATAAGAATTAAACTGGATTAAATACCAATTTTAGTTAATGTTAGTACCATAAGTAAGTTTTTTGTGGTTAATTAGGGGGTGTCTTTTATTACGTGACCATCACTGTATATAGGGTGAAATTGAATGTTTTAATGAAACTTCGTGAGATTGTTGGGTTACGTGAAAAGAGTATGCCTGATTTTTTTCGGATTTTTTTGAAGTATTTTTTTTCATGTTTTTATTTATAATTAGTGTATTTTTATGTCATTTCCTCCTTTTGAGTAGTTATTCATTTTAAACAAACAAACTTACATATCCAGTGAAAAATAACTAATAAATAAGTACTTCAAAAAAATGGAAAACATTAAAATTCCACGGCGGGTCAACGTCCGACCGCGCTCGCCAGCCGTTGAGTGAGTACGTACTTCTACACAGAGTTCAGTTGACTCCTTTGATTCCACACAATACAATAAAGTCGTCTTAGATGCCTTTATTGAAATAATAAGCACAAATGTCATCTTCTCTTAAGCGGAGAAAAACTTTAAAAGTTAATAATAATTTTGTCACGATTAGAAATAGGCAAATGTTAAACAAAAAGAAATACTTATTGCAGTTCAATACTTGGGTGAAATTTATAACCCGGTATTCAAAAGTACTTACGAGACCGATGTACCTATTCATTTTTTTCACTTAAACTTCCCGTATACACTTTGTAAACACAATCAATCACCAAACCTACTTTCGTAAAGCCTTGTGGCTCTGCTGAGTATACCGTGACACTACAATAACAACACACCATATCCAACTTCTTATATTGAGGCCACAGAACAAGAACTAATCATGGCATTATTTGCAAATCTTCTCTTGTCCCAAATTTAAAAGATACGCACGCGCGGTGGATAAACTTGACACTGCGCTCGCTCACTGCGCTTTGCACCGCGCATAGGTAGGTATTCAACCGATTCAACGGCGGGAGCGGTCATTGCTCCCGACCGCTCGTCTTCTGTTTTTACGTTTTTTTAGTAGTGCTAATTAGTTGTTTTTTACTTACTCTGTATGAGTGTTTAAAAAGAATAATTATTTAGTACCCAAAAGGAGATTAAAATATAACAAAAAAAAAACGAAATTTAATTTTAAATCATTTTTAAAAAATCCGAAAAAATTCAGAGATACTCTATATACGTAACCCAATAATCCCGCGAAGTTTCATTGAAACATTCAATTTCACCCTGTATATAATCTTGTATCTATAGCTATACTTTAATTACTAAAATAATTTGATGAATTATATTTGGACTACCTTCTTAAGATCTTTATTACAATTCTCCGGTTGACTGGTAGAGAATACCTAATGGCATTAAGGCCGCCACTTGTACACACTTATGTGCAATAAATTTTAAATAAATAAAAATAAAATGAATAACTTTAGTCTGCGTTTATGAATAAGGCGGTAGATGTCCAAGATTCCGGATGGCAACCAAATTGACTAAAAAACTATTGACAACTTGAAGAAAATTGACCTACTGTGATTTTGTGAAAATATGATATCATACTCGGTTATAAGTGGGTTTTGGGATTAAGTAGTAAATGTAATGTGAAATAGTCTCCATAAACAGAACACCTATGAGTTAGTGTGATTGTTTAAGAATGTCATATAACATTCAATTAGTATTTCTTTTAAATTATTGTTGTGTAATTTTTACTCTACGTTGTTTTAATTTAAAATTGCATATAAAGCGAGTTTCTGTAATTGACTAAAGTACCGTCTAAACATTTGTATTAGATTATATTGTATACTAGTGGCCCGCCCTCTCTTCGCTTCGGTTTAGAGCTTTACTGTTAAGCTATCAGGAGTTACACGTGTTATTGTGAGTCAAACATAAAAGATAGACATATGATGTTTCGAGATATTTTTTAGACAATTTTATGTAGAATATTTCCGTCATACATGATTTCTATGTAACTTTAACCATTAAGGCTGCACACACGACGGAAGCTTAAAAAATGGAGTAACTTCTCCCGTCTTCCCAAAATTTCCCTTCCCTTCTCTGCTCCTCTTGATTGTAGTGTGATGAAAAGTATACTATAACCTGCCCAGGAGTATGAAGAATAATTGTACCAATTTCGTTAAAATCCGTCGAGTAGTTTTTGTTTCTATAAGGAACATACATACAGACAGACAGACAAAATTTTTACTGATTGCATTTCTGGCATCAGTATCGATCACTTATCACCCCCTGATAGTTATTTTGAAAATATATTTCATGTACAGAATTGACCTCTCTACAGATTTATTATAAGTATAGAAAACGCTGTTGAAACTTGTTTACGATTAATGGATACTATGATGTAAGCAATAGTTCTCAAGGAGCTCGATGGCGCAGGTGGTTAGCGCGTTTGGCTGCGAACGTTGAAGTTAAGCAACTTTCGCAGTGGTCGGTCTTTGGATGGGTGACCAAAAATCTTATATCTCGAGTTCCTCCGTGCTTCGAAAGGCACGTTAAGCCGTTGGTCCCGGCTACATCTGCAGTTGTTAGCACCTGCCAATCCGCACAGGGCCCGCGTGGTTGATAATGGCCCAATCTCCCTATTCCATCTATAGGGAAGGCCTGTGCCCCAGCAGTGGTGATATTAATAGGCTGATGATGATGATAATGAATAGTTCTCACATTATCAGCGTTGGTCTGCGGCCACGGGGCAGCAGCAGGTGCGTCGGCCACCGCGGGCGGTTGGGCGCGCGCCGGGAAGCTCTGTTTCCTCCGAGCTGTGCCAGCGGTGCTATTGCCACGCCCCAAACTTTGCCATTCGCCGTTCTAATTAACAAAAAAACATGAAAAACTTATAATGTTGTAAACTTTTCATGGTCGCTACTCACTACATTACCTATAGTAATTTATGTTAGTGTATTCCTATGTTGTGAGTTATTCCGTGATTTTCCTGGCGCTTGCAACAGTGCCGAGATATCGGGCACTCGGTTAAAAACAAGGTACATGGTAACAATCCCGTAAATAACATAAATTTGATTGGGAGTGATGAGTAATCTGACTTACAAAAGTAGGTTGTTGATAATATTACTAAAAATCATGAAAAAGAAAAGTATTTTTTGATCTACTGTCCCGTGACTGAAAACATCACTAATAAATTACGTATGAACCATTTCAAAAATTTGTCAAAATTTAATAATCGTTATGATAATGATCAGACTTAAAACGAACCTTCGCTATCCGGAAGCTACCAAGAACTTTACTGACTAATAAAACTTTTAAAACAAAAATAAAAACATTAGAAATTAAACATTATCTTTACTTAAGTCGGCGACTTGTCAACCTAAGTAGCAAGTAAAAACTCAGATCTATCACACATGCATAGTACAGGTCGCGGCACGTAATCTAGCGCTAGGTTAACCTGCAATCTCTCATTCATATTTCGGAAAATAACCAAACAAGATATGTGTACAACAATACACTGAAAAACGACACGTATTTAAGGAATTCCGTTGTTTATCTCCAAAGATATTTATCAGATCTTCACCAAATTAACATGGGACCCTCTCGCTAACAACCTTTTCCAGACAAAAAAAAACAAAAATCGTTCAACAAACCTGAGAGATATGCGCGAACAACAATAAAACGAAAATATAAGACGAATTCAGAAACTCCTTTTTGAACTCGTCTGATTGTATGGATTAAAACTAATTTCTAGAATCTTTTAAAAGCTAGAGATAAGTTTCAATGTGACATGACAAACTTTCAGCCCAATTATGAAATGAAAAGGATCACAGAAGCAAAAACGATTCTCTGTACAGAATGAAAAGGAGAAACTGATGTTAAATTTAGTTTTAAGTTTAGAGAATCACGCCAGAATCGTCGCCCCTGTAATGTTATTATCCTTAAAAAAATATTGCAAAGTCCAGCCGCCCCGGTACTTATTCATATAAGAGAGCACGGAATTTGACTTAATAGATTTCTCGATATTCAAGCATTTATAAATTGCCTAACTCACTGTTATAAGCTACCAAGCTTTACAGTTATACAAAATAAATAGTAATTTAGAGTAATTGTTTTGGACATGGCAAATTAGCATAAATACATATTATTATTGTGTAAGTATGCATTTATAATCAACAAGTGCTAAATCTCTGATGTGATAAAAGTTTCCTTATATAGAACCTTTACATTTTATGTAGTAAACAATTACCTCAAACTACTTTAGGAAAATAAAATAGCAAAGTAATTGGCCTCGAGGAAAACCTTACAATTTACCACAAAGGGGGCATTAACATAACAACTCACTAAACTATCTAGATTATGCAGACGTTTTAGTTTCATTCAAACAGCAAACACGACTCAGTCGCTGTTTGCGTCTTAATAGTGAAAAACGACTCATTTAAGAAAAAACTATATTGTACTGTCACATTACAAGCATCCCGTAATACCTAGTGATGAGTTTCAAGTTGTGTATTATAGTGAATCGCTGTACTTTAAAGCCCAACCTGTATTTATCTGTAAGTAAATATTTTAAACTCAAGTCTTATCTAATATAAACTGATATAAAACGTGTCGTTACTGTCATACTAGTAAAATTATCGCATAAAAGAAATCAAATAAAAAACAAAAAACAAAGCATCATGTGTGTACGACTCCACTGAACGTTTTGTGTTCGTAAATGTTTAAAAGAAAAGTTTTAGAAATAGCAAAACGTCAATGACGGTTTCTTTTCTATTAAAATCACATTCTCTAATATTTAGTACTATGCTTCATTAAGTTGCGTGCAGTCTTGTCTCATTCTATTATTAACGCAAAGAAAGTGAGAGCATCAAGATTAGTTAAACTTAAATGACTTCTCCGAATGCGGCCGTTAGTTCCTATTTTGGGTACGAAGTGCTATGAGAGGCCCAAGAACGAATTTTGACAGCTCCGTAATCTTTTCGCATCGTCAAAGCTTTTATGAAAACTAAGCAGCGTCCCTACTGGACGTAAAAACAAATTGGCTTCTTCCATATAAAATTTGACGATTACGCAGCCATGATTTGGAGTTTGGGCCTCAATCCTTCCACCCCAACTCCTCCAGGAAACCCTGCAGCAATATCCGTAGACAGCTACGAATATTTCTGCAGGCTTTTAAAAGTGTCAGTGAACTATCCAAGTGAATTGCAAAGCCCCTGCATTCCAGATTATAGTAATGGTCATCATCGTCATCAGCGGCAATGTCCCAAGTACAGGGCTTCCCTATAGATGGAATAGGGCGATTGGGGCATGATTCACTACCAATGCAGCTGGGACCAACGGCTTAACGTGCCTTCCAAAGCATGGAGGAGCTCGAAATAGTAAGTTTTTGGTCACCCTTGCAACGACCTACCATTGCGAAAGTTGCTTAATCTTCACGATCGCAGACCGAATGCGCTAACCTCTTGCGCCATCGAGCTCCTAATAATAGTAGCAAAGAGTGAACGAAACTCACTGGTGAGACGGAACCATTGACAGGTTGTTGCAGTGTCGCCGACAGGGGGGAAGTGGTAGCTCTTAAAGGGGACACCGTCATTCCTAAATGCTTGCTGTTGATCAGTCGCTTCAGTAGCTGTGTCGCTTCGCCACCACGACCTTTTAAACAAAAATCAATATTATTTTAAAGAAATATCGCCAAAAATCAGATCTGGAAAACTATCTTGATTTAACTTTAGTCAAGTATTATAATAAGGATGATGAGGGAGTAAATTAAACGAAATACGATTCAGTTAGTCAGTTAAATTATCAAAAAAATAATGAACACTTATTACTTCATTTGTCAATCAAACAAAAAATGACAAAGATAAAGCGCGTCAAAGTGGGGGCTCGTGACGTCATTTCTAAGTAAAAAATGTACCAAGCAGCATCATGCGACATTTCAAATCAGATTTATCTCTGTAATATATTGATTATGTAAAAAAATAAAAATTTGTATCCAATACATTTTTATAACTACATGATAGACGAAGAAAAAAATGTTTGTCATCATTCCTATTATATTTAATGCCAATAGTAATTAGCGGGATCGCAACCGTATAGGTACCTTGTTTTTGGTGAGGCTCCGATAATTCGGCACTGTTGCCAGTGCCATGATCACGGAGTAACCCCGCAATCCCTTTAATTACACAAATGTTAGTTAGTAATCTAATCATGGCGGTTTAAACGATAATATATTTAATGCAATAAAACGAAGACACAATATGCTAGCTGCTATCATTTCTGCGTAAATCGTAAAACTTTATTATCAACATAAATAGTTTCAGAGAATATTGCGGATGATGATATTGACTCGGACTTGATCTCTTATAAAGCGGCAGCTATTTACATCTGACGGTGCTTTTTATTTATTTGAAGGTATTTTTTATCGTACTGTCAATAATTTTGAAGCTGTAATTTGTTTTCAATAGATTTTGAAAAAGTGATTGGTAAAGTAAAATTTAGATAAAATCATGTTCAAACTTCTTTATACGCCTATTAACTTGAAACAATTAACAGCGTGAGGGTTTTCACAGGATTTAGCCAATTTAAGAAGGTTGGTTCTAGTACTGTTCCTGTTGCAATTGAGAAAACATTTAGTGAGTAGCAGTTCTGTAACTTAAGTTGTTTTTTTGGTTTTCAAATGTCGACGTAAGTTTATTAACTACTCTTAGCTTATGCTCAATCGATAAATAATTGACTACATTGATTGAATTGAACTAGGGGCTGTTTGTTTCAATAATTTTGTACATTTATGAGTTGTATCCGCGAGTTCAAATTTGCTTTCAACTTCTTACCCTAATCGACCAACGATAACTTTAAACATGGTGATCATTTTCTACTCAGTAAGCCAATACATCGGAGAGCTGGTCTGAATCTCCGACGCCTCATGTGTCTCTAAACACTTTGCCTTTATGTATGTGTTAATAAAACCACAAAAAAATGTATTATATAAATCTGGCACTTGACCGTTTACAGAAGTTTAGAGAAACACTACGATAGTAGGAAAATATCCATAGTTTTATTGCCATTTCATTCCACATTGTATGTGTAACACAAAAGAGGTACCTAGTTGTTTGTTTCCTTATCAACTGATCTACTTGTGATGTACACATTGTCACAATAGATAGTGTGTACGTATTTATAACTTCCAGTAACACTAGCTTAACAGTCAACACACTAATCACAAAATTAATGAATGAAAACAAACGTATACATGCGGACATAAGATAATATCCATAAAGTATAGTACTTTCAGTTCATGAATAATAGAAAAGTTTAGATTGTTTCATGTGTATGCAACTCGCAGATTTGGCTAGTATTGATAGCGGTGGCCTCCAAAGAATACGCTATAACGAGTTGATAATTATGAACAAACATGTTTTTAACGCTTCATGTATACATGTATGTACACACAGCACAGATGGGAAGGAATCAATGGTCTGATCACAGAATTTAAAACAATAACTCCTATTATTCCACATTTAGAATAAAATAACAAACATTATATTTTTGTTATTATTGCTAGATAGGCAAATGTCTCTACCCCCACCAGCCGGGCCATTCACTATCTTTTTTGTCATTTAAAGAAAGAGAAAAGAGAAAATAGCATATCCATCAAAACTTTCCAGATTAAGTATCTTAGTGGCGTTATAATAAACTAGTAATGGATCGTTAAATTTAAAAGCTCGGTGATTATCACTTCCACGAAACGAATACAAAATACGTTAACGAATAGGCCTACTGATGTTAAGTGGTAACGAAGATAGCTAGTACAGCAGCTGTTATAAACTGCCACACCAACCATCCTCACCTTGCTTGCCGGCCTGTAGAAATGCTCCTTCACGAGTCTATTAAAGGACCCCGGACTGTAAGAAGGGGGAAACACGTGCGTGGGCAAAGAATTCCACTTGTGAATAGAACGACAAAGAATTTTCTTTGTTCGTATTTGTTTCTTAGGGTTTCACGCACATCACTCAATAAATAAAACAAGTTTCAACGGGTTAGATGCACTGATTTTATTAATTTATAGACGTTTCTTGCAAAGGGTGCGAAACGTCAATTAATAAATATAATCAGTGCATCTAACCTGTTGAAACTTGTTTTATTCTTTGTTCGGTAGGGATAGTGGCCATAGTAAGTCGTTGACAAAGTATGCCAGCGCGCCTGGTCCTCTGAAGAAAAGGGGATTGAGGGATGAGAGAATAACTCCTCAGATCATATCATGCCTTAGGGGATTAGCGGAGCATCATATTTCGTCATTTTAGGCATTAAATGAGTCTATATTTAGAAATTGTTCGGCTTGGATGCCATCACTTTCAGCCAACTTCTAGTAAAGGTAATTATGGAAGTTATTTTAATCTGAATACTCATAAAAATTAGGTAACAAAGCTCTAATAGGCCTATCTCTCACTGGACATGGATTATTGAAAGTGGCCTTTAGAATAATTATCGAATCCACCGTAAGATTCTGCAAGACGGAGAAATAAAATGCTAGTGAATTCTGTTTCTAAAAGATAACCATAGAATTGAGTAGCTATTTATCCCTTAAGGGCAATAAGTTAAATAAAATAAAAATCATTTATTTTCGTTATACTACTGTCTTTGGGTTCTTTTTCAAGACAGTATTGAATAATATGAAGGTATGTCAAATTTTTACTCATTCTATCCAATAGTTTCGAATTAAAAGTAAGATTATCAATAAATATTGGTCACTTCTTTTTTCATTTGTCAACCAAAGAAAAAATACAAAGAAAAAGCGCGTTAAAGTTTGGGAGTGGGGGCTCGTGACGTCACTTCTAAGTAAAAATTGTGACCAAGACGTGACGTCATGTGACATTTCTAATCAATATAGGTATCTCTATAATTATTTAATAATGTGAAAAAGTTAAATCTGAAAAACATTTATTCAGTTATATGTACTTCTTTCTTTGAATTCTTTCTTATTCAAGACAGTGTTGAATGTGTATGTCAAATTTTTACTCAATTAGTCCATAGTTCCTATAGCAATAGCCAAAGCAATCCGGATAGGCTATATGCCCAGGGCAGGCAACCTTACCATTTTGCCTGTGTAGAGCTTGCCAAAGAGATTCTTTATCGTTTTCATTTTCATGGGGCGGTTGAGGTGATGACTGCGTTGACCGCGCTGACTGAGTTTCTTCAGGGTCGTCCTTTAACAAAAAAAATATATTATTATTGTAATAAGGATAAATCCGAGATGATCTCCACCATTTCGTTTCCTGGTCGCCATAAGGTTCACTGGTAATTAATGATAACGCCCATTAAGACGCCGTTGTACACGTTGTACGTTCAAAATGTCCCATGTCAAATAATTAAGTGTACTAATTAATATGTTAGAGTTTATATCAATTACATATGGACAACACTCTTCGTGTTTTATGAGCAGGTTAAGTAAACGGCAGCATTAAATCATGCCAAGAATCTGCGTGATTATCAGTTTTTGTTTAGAATAAGCAGCGTGGCCATTTGTAAATACGTTATCGGACATAATAACCAATGCTGCCGTTGCATGAAAAAAAATAAGGTTTACATTGTTCTGGTTTAAAATATCATGTTAAAGATAGCAATAAAATTTGCTATAACGTAGTGATTATCTTCATAACTTATAAGATTATTTATCGACATGTTCAATTTGGGTCATTACATCTATACTAATATTACAAAGAAAGATTTGATTGTTTGATTGTTTGCATTGAATAGGCTCCGTAACTACTGGACCAATTCGGAAAATTCTTTCACATTTAGAATCCTTTATTATCCGTGATGAATAAGCTATAGTGTATTTTCAAAAAAGTTAGGGTTCCGTATGTGAACTACGATAATGTAATCCAACCTGTGTAAAAAAATACCAACAAATTACGTTATATCGCGTACGCTGCGGAAGTCATTGACAATAGAGCTAAGTGATGTCTACTACAGTCTTATAGACGACATCAATATCTTCAAAAAAGTTCGCAATACCCTATGTCTAACTATGTCACAACTAGAGGTCCCCTACGGTTTCACCACTGTTAGTTTGAAGAAAAAGGTTATAATGAGTCAAACTTAAAATATGGACATTTATGCTGTCGCGGACATTTTTACATAACTTTTAAAAGGGAACAATTCCGTCAATAAGGATTTTTGTGTAACTTTAACCCAGTGCTTGTAACGGAATCTCACAAATGGAATATATTTACCCGTTTTTACAACATTTTTCATCGATGCTCCGCTGCTACTGGTCGTAGCCTGATGTTATATAACCTATAGCCTTCCTCGATAAATGCACTATGCAATATAAAAAGAATTCTTCAATTCGGAACAGCAGAGCAATGGTGCATTCGGTACAACGGGTCCTAAACTACGTAACACTTTTTTTACTTGGAATGGAAGTTTTATAATATTATGAAGAAAGTCATTGTGTATACAACAAGCCTTTGAACAAAACTATAGTCTACACTACAGCTCTACATCGAAGCGAAGTGGGAATGATTAGAATACGAGAATTTTCAAGTTGTTAATTATAATAAAATAATATATTTTTGCAGAATTCTGAATATTTGTCTAATTTCCACTTCAATCAATTTAAGATTCAATTTAAAATTTAAAACGCTAATTAACTTTAAAGTTTCTAAATACCTTTCAAAAATTATCTTCAAATGTCTAATTGAAAGATTTTGAAATTTAAGTTAAGTTTAAACAATATTATTCAAATCGAAATGTGTGGTAACAAGATTTAAAATTGGACAGTTACTGCTGAGAATTACAACTATAATTATATGTTATGATTATTGTTTGGTTGTTGATCATTTTCATATCAGCCATAAGTATAAGCTTGGCTGAGTCTGGGACTGGGTGGTTGGTGATAGTTATGAATATTTATTTATTAACAGTGTTGTGCCGTTAGCTTCGTGTTGAAATTTTATCTTTCTGCGTTGCATTTAAATACATTTACCTGCGACATTTGAGAGATATCCATTTGTAATCTGTCTGGGTCTGAGCCGCTACTACTCTGACTACATTCCTCGTACACTGAGGAGTTGTCTTTGGAAGTTTTCGTCTTGCCCGATGACGATCTCCCAAAAACCGACTGCTTGTATTCTTCAGCATAATTTGACGATTTGTTATGAGCTATGGCGTTATGGAAGTACGAATTTGCATCACGATCAGAGTTTTCGTTTTGATCGGAAGGTTCGTTTTTAACAGTTCCGTATAGTGACAGATCCATTTCTTTGTTTTCTTGGTCTTCATTGCTACTGGGACTGGGAGCGTTTTGTGACACATTGTACATATTGTACTGATCCTCTTGATAATCGTGTGAGTATTTGCCATCGTTGGAGTTGAGGGAGTGGGTTCTGTCTATGACGCTAGTATAGTTGGGCGGGAACTTTTGTGATTCTTCGTTTTCCCGCTGCGCGACCGCAACCGCCTTGGTAATGATGTCGATTACAGCGTTGCAGTGCATCACCTCTCTCGCTCGTTCGGGCGGCGGTATGCTAGGTACGCTCTTGAACATTATATGCGGCTCATCCTCCGGTTTAATGGTGTATTTCGTGGGATCATTATGTTTGATTGACAAAAGTGCGACCGCCGCTTGTCTGCTCTCAGAATTTTTTAGCTCCTCCGTAGAGTCGGGCGAGCCCATCTCTTCATATTTGTGTTTGTTATCATGCTCATAAAGATGATGATCGAGTGGTTTTATAATTTCCTCTAACTTTGCCGCCGTTACTTTGATGATCTCCTGAAAACAAAAGATATATTTGAATGTTTATAGAACAAACGCAGCTATATGCACGATAACGAAGACGTCAGCCAATGAGGCGTTCGCTCATTTCTTGTCACTCGTGATACCGTAGCCTCATAGTCGATAAGATAACGGCATACAGGTTCTATGATATTAATGCAGTATCTTTGTTAATTCAAAGAAAAATGTACTTTTCACCTGTGCGCCGTTTCACCGTGAGTAAACTGCATAAGTATTGCGTACAAAAATCGATGCTAATTTGTGCATTATTGTTGTTTTTATATGAAAGTGAGTAATAATATTGTGTTGTAGGTGTTAGTGTTAGTTTGCGTCTTAGTTGCGACGTCGAGTTACGCACAAAATTTGGATGTGGCGAAAAAATGTGAAATATCGAAGCATGATGACAACAACCTAACGCTTAACTGTTCAAGGAGAAATTTTTACAGTATCCCACAATGGCCATTGGAAATAAGTCAAGTTACAAAAGGTAAATAACAATGTAGGTATTACCCGATAAGAGAAACAGAAAACGTTTCCAGATAGTGCATACTCGTGCACTTCAGACTGAATCAGGTAGGTGAATTAAGTTAACACTATCTATCATAAATCACGCACTCCGAATACCAAAGTACTTCGTGAGCATTATCTAAGTATGCTCTAAGACGACGCACGAGTTAATTTGGTCTAGTGAAATTTTATTTAGATATGAAACTAAAAAAATATAAAGATACCTATAACATAATAAGGTATTAAACACTAATCGAGTGAATGGTTTCTAACCATAAACTTAGGGTTTCACAACTCTGCTTTTATCAATAAAACACTCAGCAGTAAATAATCCGGGTCACCAGTTATTAGCTTGGAGCTCTAATTAGTTTTTCTCAATAAATATAAAACGTACAAATATCAAAGTTACATCTTCTAAAAGTGCGCTTCATGGATGATAAAAAAAAAATCTAAGGTACTGTCAACTTTGTAATCAAACAAGAAACATAATGCTTACGATTTGCAAATGTTTTAATGAAGTGGCGATTATCTTTCTTATTAAAAATGAGGACAGTCTGATACTTCTTGTAATATCTTTTGTTCTTGTCCATCGTTTTATCAGACGTGTGTATTTTTCTACGATTTTTACTACAAATTAACACAAATGGAAACGACTCTTTTTTGGAAAATTCTTTATAGAAACTTTATAGATTCAATAATATCAATAGTTTACTGTTCTTTTTAATTATCATAAAAAGCACTTTCTGTAGGTACAAGTTTAGAAGCTGTAAGTTTTATACTTTTTGAGAAAATCAAATCAGAGTTCCAAGGTAGCAACTTAGCAAGTGACCCGGTTTATTCGCTGTCCAGTTTATATGTAAGGTAGCGCACTGTTGTTATTGTCTTGTTATTAATTGATAAATTTAATTTAGGTGAAGATAAACGTTAACGAGTTTCAGCGTAGTATAGAATGCATACAACACACAGATACAATATAAACAAAAACAACTAGCGAGTAGGTACCATCAACTTGGCCTCTGTAGAATGCCTACTAATGAGTCTCCATGTAAACTTACATCCCCTAATTCAAAGATTTTATTTTCATGACAAAGGACAATGGGCAAAACTAACCCAGCTCCGCCAACAATGTAATTAGTATGAATCGATAGATCTATGAAAAACTAGCCTTTTTTATCATAACACCGTAAAAAATATCCTGGTAGTCAAAAGATATGACACATGGGTATATTTAAGTAGATAAATAAATTCATTTTATAGTAACCATAATAATATGCCATATTGTACTATACGACATATATACGTACATACATATATACGACAAAGCCTGCCGACCATCCCGCGCTTGCACTTACTGAGACACCTCAAAACGATTTACGGGGGTTGACGGACTTGCAGTTGCAAATAGTCGACTCGTCTTACTTCGTTGTGATTGTGCGCTCCCTATCACTTGATTGATTTTTATTTAACACGCTTTGGGACATTGGAACACGTTTATCGGTTTTGTCAATTAGTATGGATGAACTGGAATCATTATTTCTCCGAAGTGTGGACAAGTTTATGTGATTTGTGGTCGCTCCGATTTACATAGAAGACAATTTACTATAACGAACAGAATGTTCAGAAAAAATCCCAATCCATGCAGAGATTTTTGGATTTACTCTAGCGCGGGAAAATAACATAAGGGCGCACCCTTGTACGTTGTGAATTACTCCCATAATACCTGAGCCCCTATGGAGGTTCGAACTAACTAAATTAATTCCCTTGTTTCATTAATGTTCGTTCGTTATACTACAAGTACCTATTTAACTTAAAATAACTAAAGACCCCCGGGATGGAATTTCATGCGTTTTGGCACAGATGATCATGACTATAATACCTTTCAAACAAATTTAGTTAAAGCCGTGGCGGACGTAGGTGCAGCGTCCATACATTTTTGCCCAATGTCCTTTGCGAAAACAGCCTATGTGCCTACCTACTTGCTGATGTTAAGCAGCCATACCATATATATGCTTGCAATACCAAAGGGTAGACAGGTAATGCGCGAGTGACCGCATCCCCCTTACCCCGCTAAACAATACCTATTTATTTCTATGTCAAAATAGCACCCACCTGTCGCGACCTTAACTAGATCATCGGTTTACATGGTGGGGGCCTACCCACAACATCACAATGGTATCTTAAAGCAATGCTCTAACAATTTTAGTTCACATGCTACAATCTTTTATTTTGATTTGCATTTGAACTGCTAATTATGTAAAAGGCTTATCAAAAACTTGCGCCAACTCCACGACCCTCTCTCATCATACCGAACTGATCCATTTTCCCTATGTCTCCATAAAGCTCTGAAATCTGTGCTCAATAAAAATAAAACTACGGAATTATGCTAAAGCCTGCAGTTCAGCTTTCTGTAATACTGCACACGGACGCCCCACGCAAAAGGCAGTGATAGGCTACCTCTAATAAAATTATGACTTATCATTTCAGATGGGCATATGCTAATAACGTTCTTCAACAACAGCATAACCAAAGTGACAGAACTGCCAGCTACTCCTGGCGGCCGGATAGCTATCAGCTTCAAGCACAACAGAATCACTGATATCGTAATGGACGCATTCCAGAATTTGGAGCGACTGGTCTACTTGGATCTCAGCAAGAATAAAATATCAGGTAAAACATAACAATAAATAATGCATAAAATAACCATAGTATAATATGATAATGCATTAGATATGTTTTGCACTTGTATTAATTAACTACTACCTACAAGTTTTCATGATTCTCGTAATTCAGTTCAGTGTCAAAATACCTAATAATATTAGTATATCGGTTGGCTGAAACTGATTTTAAGTTTTAAGCATACCTATGCTGTGCACTCTGCGACTGTTCGGCAAAAGACATGAAGGTGGTTTAATTGGTAACGGCAATATACGGCTATAAATTCCAAACGAAGTTTACGATACTGTTGCCTTAGGTAGAATGGTTGATAAATTTCCGTATTACACGTACAGACCAATAATATAAAAAAATAAAAGATTTAAATCAAAACACTTGTCACTTTAAGTTACGTACATGATGGCACAAAAATATCAAAATATATAACCTAGTTTTAGAAAACATAATTGTGTTAAAATCCGCAAGCAATCTCTGCCTAATCTAAATAATGCTTTTGTATTATGTTACAGGGGACGTATTGAGAACTGAAATATTTCGCGGTTCGTACAATTTTAACAAATACAATAATATTGCTCTGGAGACTCTAAATCTTGGACACAACGAAATACATTCGCTGGACAGATATCTGTTTCAGTATACGCCGAATCTGACTCGTCTATATCTGAACAATAATCCCATTGAACTGCTCGACCACGTCACCGTCCTTGCAATATCGAGCGCTACAAATTTAGAGGTTGGTAGAGTATTTTAAGTTAAATATTTTTATTACCAGCAATGACTGGTTACATAAAAATACCGCTAAAGAAGTAAACACTTGATGTTATAATATAAGAGAGAGCATGCGTCATAGTTTGTAACGCTAAGAATTTTCCAGTGCTGTTAAACCACTTTGTACACACAACACAGTCATTTATTATATATACCTGATATAGATAAAATAAGAAACAATAAGGTAATATTGAAATTGACTCGTAATCTCAATGACAGCAACTGTAACGCTTTATCATTTTTAAACAAAGTTAAGTTAAGGACATAATGCCAATTACAGAATCGAAAATACTAGAATGCACCTTTAAGTCCGGAACATAAAATTAGTGTGTTTTTTGCTTTTACAGTGACCGTCCCAAAAGAGTGCCCGTCGGACCTTATTCATTATGCTTCCGCTGTTTGTCTGTCTGTAACTCACAAGGCTCTAACTCTTATACGGAAATAGGTAGACATCTGACACTTTCACAGAAACACTTTCTTTTACGATCCCGACTCGCACTTGGCTAGTTTCATGTAATTTTATTATTATGAATAGTAAAATGCAAATCATATTGTGTACGTCAGCGAATAAAAGTACATTCTGTTGATAGAATGAGGTAAAACACAATATCAATAAGACCGCGACTTTTTCACCTGAGGAGATCTTCCGAAAAACCCGGACAAGTGCGAGTCGGACTCGCTCTCAAGACTATGATGGCAAACATTATAGTCGTGTGTAAAAAGTGTATTCCTTCAACAGTGGACAAAAAATAACTAGGCTTTATCATAGACCGCGCTTTCGTCATGTTGACCTTACTTAATCAAAGACATATTTCAGGTTCTAGATTTGTCCCACACAGATATAGATAATATTCCGCTGGTAGCATTCAAAGGTCTAAAGCACTTGCAGCAAATCGACTTATCCGGTAACAAGTTCACTACGGTGCCGGAAACCTTGAGCCTAGTCGGCAGCAGTTTGAAGTTTCTGTCCTTCAATAACAACCCTATTGTGGAATTAAACGACGACAGCTTCATTGGTAAGAATCATATTTTTTAAGGTTCTGTACCACAAAAGAAAAATCCGGAATCCTTTTAGGATCACTTTGTTGTCCGTCTGTCTGTCTTTCAAGACCCTTTATTTCGGAAAGTAAAGGTATTGACTTGAAATTTAAACCATATACTCAGTCTACAGTCCCTTGAAGCTGTGAAATAAATCACACTTTTAAGTTGACGTAAAAAAGATACGGCCGTTTATGTATGTGTACCTAAAAATTTGTACGGATGCCCGCGGTGGGCGAGTCCGACTTGCGATTGTCCGGCTTTTTTTATAAGATGATCTTCTATACTGAGATCTTTGATCAACTATACTGAAGATGGATGCAACTTACTACACCCCACTTGATGTATAGTATGTCATGATCAGTCTGAAGGCAGTTGAAGAAGCAAAGATGCATATCGCATAACCTTTCCTGTCTGAATGAATCCTATCCCATCTCATAACGTTTTGGTTTTGATAGAGAAGCAAGCACTTCTTTTCAAGCGAAAAGTCCTGTTACAGAATGTACCTATCTTTGTATTGTAAGAGGTGTGAAATAAGTCATACTTTAATAATCAGATTACATAACAACAGGTAGATGGAATGCATGGAACACGCAATTGCAGCTACCAAAGCAAATACAAAGTCAAAAGAAAAAACTTTTTGTTTTTGTGAACAATTTTTATAATGTTTGAACAAGGCGGCACAAATTTAGTAATAACTTAATATTCACGGGACGTATCCACAACACGATGCGTTGTAGTGTACAGACGCGAGTTTTTATTCGCTTTTGAATTCATATTTGCTTTGGTGGCCGCACCAGCGTGTTCCGTGCGTTTCATCTGCCTTTTGTTCTTTAAGCTGAGCTTTAATCATTGATATGTAATGAAAAAAATATATCTTCCAGGGTTGACCAACTTGATAGAGCTTGAAGTAGCTGAGAACGACTATCTAGACGAAGTGAAACGAAGCACATTCTCTCCGCTAAAAAACTTGAGAGTGCTTCACTTGTGTCATAATCGGAATCTCAGATACATAAGTCATAATGCTTTCAAAGGTTTGAAAGATAAGTGGACCTTGAAAGAAGTAAGTATCGAAAATATGGTATTAAACATAAAAAATATGTTTTTTATCAATAACACTGAGATCAAATACCTGTTTGATAACAACAATTACGCAAATGCGAGGAAATCGACGTGTCGGATTTCTCCATAAAGGTTATATCATAAACAAGTTGTTGTTACCAGACAGAGACAAAATATTACGATACCACTTAATTACATTTTAGAAGTAAACATGGATGAAGTAAAATTATAGTAATGTATCTGTTACAAATGTCGTATTTCATCAGTGCAAATTTTTTATTTCTGACTGCTCATTTCATACTTTCATTTAACTTGTACTGAGATGTTAAATAAAGAATTGATCACCTATTAGAAATAACAGCCTATATAGAGCTAGTAAATGATTAAATTATTTATTGAGTATTAATGTTTTAAATAATGAATCAGTTAATTGAGCTTAGCTTTAATTTAAGCATTTACTGCTATATTTTTAATCCATCTGAAATTACCACATAGTCCAGAAATCAGTACTTATGGTTCTTTTTGCACAAAACTTTAACACTTCTCAATCACTTCCGATTTGAAGTCAGGATAGGTTGCTAGTTAAAAATAAATTACCACTCCAAACTCTAGCGTCATGAAGATGTAGCCAGGACCAATGGCTTAACGTGCATTGAGCAGCACAAAGGTAACTCGATAAAACGAACTTTTGGTAACCCATCCTATGATCGGAAATTATGAAAGTTGCTTAACTAACACAATCACAAACTAACCACTGCGCTATTGAGTTCCTCTATTTATTTATCAAATCACAAATAAATTTAATAGATAGTGATCACATTACAATTACTTAATATGGCCCAGATTATACTTGCTTACAGGGTAATTACAAATTGGGGTCAGCTGATTAATGATTTCATTGTGTTTAGATATCAATCACTCACTGATTGCAAAATTCATCCCAAAACTAGAACAAATGTGTGTATTTTTGTTTAATTAAATGTATTTATAAATATTTATTCAACAAAATATACAATCAGAAATAAAATAAATAAAGAATGATATTGATAACAAAGACATAGGTACTGGAGCAATTTTGTCAGCAATTTTGTTTATAAATTTTTATTTCAATCAGGTATATTTGGATGACAATGACTTGAGTGAAATATCACCAGACTTGATGCCATGGACCAAGTTAGATACATTAGGTATGACCGGCAACAATTGGCTGTGCAACTGTGACCTTGCTGACATTGTCACTCTTCAGGGTGCAGGAGAAAAATTTAAAACTGGTGAAAGTCCATAGTGAGTGAATTTAATTTTCTTGCCTCTTGTTTAGCAATTCATAATTAATTAAGTCCAAATTAAAATCAATCACAATAGCATCTTAAATGAATATGATAAGAACATAACTATAAATTAGCTAATGCCAACTTGTATGAAACTGTTAATAATACATTTTTTTTACCTTTATAAGAATATAAATCAATATGTTTTATCCTTGTTTTCAGTTGTGCTGCACCTCTTAAACTGAGTGGGGAGTACATCACAAACATAACTTTATCATTTTGTCCCACATTCGATAAAACATTTTCTAGCAAAAGGAAATTTAGTATTACCAATTTGAAGCCAAAACAAGTACTGTGGAGTATATTTGGTGTGGCAATAGTAGCTTGCATAGGAATGGCGATTGGTTGGTTGGTTAAGAGTGTCAAAAATATTTATAAAAAAAACAGAAATCAACCAGTACCCTATATAAATTTGAATTCCAATTCTTTTGCCTAATAATGTACCATTAATGATTATTTGGTGTCCAGTGGACATATTAAAATTATTTTCAATTACTGTATTGTATTATATCATTTATATAATGTATGATTTAGGTTTTGTTGTAGTAAAGTAAGTTTTATTATATATCTTTTTTTATTCTCACCTCTATTGGTCCAGACAATGAATTTGCATATTGTAAAAATTGTTCTAACAGCCTTTCTGATTTGTGTGTTAACTCTCTGAAGGTGTGAAACTCATCCAATTTATGTGCACAACTGCCACATATCACTTGTGGTAATAGATCTCCAGGATACACCTAAAAACATTAAAATGTTTACTAATTTCACAATACTATAATCATAAGATGATGTGGCCAGTGACCTTTTGTAAGTTTAATCATAGATCACTATGAGTCATTTATATAAATCTGATAACAGTCTATGAAACAGACAAAACATCCAAAACTTTTATATTTTACCCAAGTCAGGTAGGTTAGTGTCGGAGGACAGATCCCCCTGCACACTGAGGTTTCCTTAAAATAAACACCTATATTTAGAATATATTGAAATCTGAAAATAGCAGTGTATAATGTGGATAAGCAAAGAGTAAGGAGCAAAGTATGAGAATAGGATATGTGTGTGTGGCGGGGAGCGCGGCAAGGGAGTGGACAGGAGCCGCAGGAGAGGCGGGGCGCGGTGATCTCCGTGCGCTCCTTTGTTATCAGCGACACGGCTCCGGCCGAGATACCGCGCTCACTCATCACACACACCCTATCACTTCCCCGAATGACATTAGTCATACGCTCGAGCACTCCGAGCGTGGGCCGTAATATGATATCACAATGCGAAAATACCCAACACCCGCGAGAAAGTTAATGGCGCTTATCAGCATCCACAATCTCATACGCTTACGCTAAACTTTCACACGAGAAAACGGCATCTTCCCGCAGGTTAAATGAGGAAATAATCAAAGATCATTACCATTATCGACAAATATGTCATAATCATATCAGACAGTCGTGATTTCTCCTTATCACGGTCGAAAATTTGAAGTTTAACATCACTGCAATTATCGCCACAGAATGATAAACAAAGGCGACACACTGAATGGAACTTCGGCGGCAAATTACACATATTTAGAAATTAAAACAGAGAAAGGCGGTCACAACGAAAGAAAACATTTAGAAATGAATCGACTAACTGATATAAAAATTAAAAGATTTTTATGAAAATATAACTCAACATGCGATGAAATACATCACATCGCGATTGTCAACCAAACCACCGAACAAGCTACACACACATACACACTTGCTATTGTTTACGCTATGCTGATTATTGCACTTGTAGGCTAGCTAGGGTTTGTTTTCGTTTACACACTGATAATGTGATAACACTATCAGTTTTTATCAATAAGATTATCAGCAAAACAATAACTCGTTTTAAGAAAATATCTTAAGTTAAATAAATGACGAAATAATGTACATGATTTAAAGTACAATAATATGTCGATATTCATAAAATATTATAAGATTAATAAAGTAAGTACAAGTCTTTTTTCCTTTCCTTACATCCATTCCATCCTTTTATATATTTTTTGTTTCGTTTGAGTTATTTATTTAGTGCAATTACTCATACTAATAATTATGGTATAACTTTGTGTAAAATTTAAAAGTACCAGTACTAGTACCCCTAGCACGAACCAATATCGAATTCGTGTCGTTTGCGAGTCCGAAATGTCATTGCCAAATGTGTACTGATTTTAAGTTCTCGTTACGTACTTTGTGCTGCTGCTGTTCAAGTTTCCATACAAAATTGGATATTGACATTTCGGTTTGCAAACTATTCAAATTTGATAATGGTTCGTGCTAGGGGTACTGGTCAATATAAAGCACCCTATAAACTTGTTTGACAAATTATTTATGCCTAATCTCACCATTCAACTGAGGACTTAGCGAATTGTAATTCTTCTTTGTTAATTCAAATATTTATTATTATTATTATTATAGGAACGAAGAAATAATACTTAATTGATTGATAAAAAAAAATTAGTAACAGTATGTTTTCACTGCCTAACTTTATTTGAAAATTATTTTTTTACAGTTGGCAATATTCACCGAAATGCCAAATGTCAAACAGATTCTTTGTAGTAGACATTTTATCAAAATTGTATTACGCACGATGCAAAGCGTAGTGGACAGAAAATGGAATTCTCTGCCTACCATGCAAAGTGACAAAACTTTTATATAACATGATATTATTTTATGAAAAACATAAATTGTTTAAAAAAATACTAATGAAATCTTAAATTATTTTATTGAAGAAGATTTTATAATATCGAGATATCAATTACGAGAAAGTGACACATAAGGAACCTAAGAAATGGCATTTTTTTTTTATTTGCATCTCTCTCCCTCTTTACCGGTTAGAACAAGATAGTTGATCCACAAAAGATAACAATGAAATGACATCTTCACTGATTACGTTAAAGTTTTCCCGAGTTTTTATTTAGATTATATATTTCTTTTATTTACAGTGTGATAGTTTTTTTAAAAGTAAGCTCGGTTAAGCCACTTTGTGTAAAGTGTATTTTTGTATTTTTAGAAGTCATTATGTGATGGTAGGTGATACAATTTCTACTTTTCTACACGGAAAGAAAATACTAAACGTAAAGGTGGTACTTAGAGAATAAAATATCATATTTGATGCTACTGCAATGAAAACAAACACATCGAACCCATCGCTAATAGCCGAAGGCAATAGTGAAACAACTGCTGATACTGCCCAGCTGATAAGCAATGATGATGCAAGCACTTCTAATTATGGTCAACTAAACAACCATGCAAACTTTCATGTGAGTTATTTAAAGGCTATCCTATTCAACTTTTTCGGAAACCTGACAAGAATGTAAATATATTTGTAATGTTTGGTAGTTTAATGTTGGAAAGATGGCAAGTATCAACTAAGAACAACAAATGGTTGATGATTGTTAGCATAAATAACTTTAAATTATTTATCCAAAAGGTTTTGTATTCTGGTGGGAATATATATTTGTATGAAGAGCAATCATTAGTTCCCAATTATTTATAATGTATATCTTTATATATATAATTCTTCTGTGAGTGTGTATGTCACTGAACTTCTCTTAAACGACTGGACCGATTTTGATGAAATTTTTTGTGTGTGTTCAAGGGGATCTGAGAATGGTTTAGATTCACAATTTTGTCCGCTGGACAACCCCTATTTTTTTAGGGCGGTACGAAGTTCGCTGGGTCAGCTAGTTTTTATATAAAATTTGTTTAGTTTTAAACTGAATTAGGTTTTTGTTGGTTGAACAGAAGTGCTACTTATACTGTGTTCTTTTAATTTTCCTACTTTTAGCCTGTAGGTTCCTTTTTTTTTTTTAACAGTCTTTTAATGTATCCATAACAGTCAATTTTAAGGCTGTAAGATAAAAGATTAAAATTAACTCTTATACTTAAAAGTTTTTGCTACCTATTTATAAAAAAAGTTTCTTTGGAGGTGTTCTCTGGTAGTAAGCACTGGGATATCTTTTCATTAATTTATGAAGTCTGCAAATTCATTATTTATCTTTATATAAGACTGACTTTGATTCATTACAAATTACACAAAAAAGTATTTATGATAAAATATACTTAGATTGTTATACATTATTTAGATATACATAGTTGTATTAGTAATTATGTTTAAATATTTTTAACACTAAGTAATTTGTATTTCTTAGGATTTTGATGATGATGATTTACATGGCAGCCATGGGGTCAGACGAAGACAACCTTTGCAAAAAATTGAACCTGGTTCTATGAATGTCCTTTCTGCAAAATATGAAGTAACATATTTGTATCTTAAGTTTTTATGCATATCAGTCAGTAAATAAAACAATTTTTCCAAGGGGTTTAAAATGCGTTTTTAAGGTAGCTCTTCAATAGTAAATAAAAATCATCAACCAAATGTTGTTTTGTAAAAAATATTAAAAACACATTTTAAACCTGTTGGAAAAATTGTTTTATATAATGAGGTAAGATAAAGGCTCATACATCTCAACCTTTTTATTATTAATACCTCCTAATTTAAATTCACCTAATAATTTTTTCCCCTTTTTTCAGAGTTTAGATTATGATACATGTGAAAACCATTTATTGCTTGATGAAGAGCGTAAGAGAGGATACCCTTTTGTAGTATGGAAGGATATAGCCAGATGGTTTATAATCCTGCTAATTGGTGTTATTACAGCACTAATTGCATTCATTATAGACATATGTATAGAACAATTTTCTAATATAAAATATAAAGAGTTGAAAAAATGTATCCTTTTATAAAATTTTCAAAGTTAACATGATATTGATGAAATTGAGAAATGTTAGTAAAAGAAACCATGAGGAATGGTCCAGTCCAGTCATAGCTAGAGATACAGGATATAGCAAGAGATTTTCATCATCATCATTAAGCAAGTTGATTTAGGTTGCTTAAGAGCTTGTCTAGGTTACACGACTTACGCGCGAGTCCACATGCACACATCAGAATGCACAAATGTCTGATACTATACTCTATCCATGGAGATGAGTTAGTACAGGCTAAGCTTTTCTAGCATTGTCCGGTTTATACTATTGTCGTTACTTCAGCCAATGACATCCCCTCATCTCTTGTAACACAGTTTTGAATCTTTGGCTTTTGTAAGCAATTCTGTTTAAGAAAAGTTCTATATTAGCTCTTTTTGGTGAACGAACATATATACATTGCATTGCATACATTCACTTGCATGTAGAACTGCTCAAGTGGGAATCTCACTGCTGGTTGAGCTTCTCTTCTTAATACAGTTTTTTTTAATAAATAGGTCTAACAAATGACTCCACCCCACCTTGTGTTTAGTGACGGTGGAGTGCAGATTCGAAGATTAAGCAGACCAAAAATCAAATTCACTAGTTAACACAATGTTAATGTGAGCAAAGAATAGCACAATACCTGTATATTTTCCTGAACAAGCATAACAGCTGTTGATAAATATGTCCTAATGGACAAATTGTATATTCCATATTTATTATGGGTGTTATCAAACATTTGCATTGTATTAATTGGATCAGTTCTAGTGGCTTTTGTCGAGGTAAGTTATGTTTACCTTTTTGTTTGGAATTATGATATATTTCTTTTAGTTCTCCTTTTTTATGGAAAAAATATTACTAGTTGTATATTATGTTATACTAGCAAACCAGTGAACCAAATGTTCACCAAATCCTGATTTAAAAAAAAAATGTATTTAATTGAGAACTTCGGAGATTTTGTGTGGTTTCGTTTGAAATTCGTGATTTCTCGAAAACCGGAAGTGCTACGTTACTCAAATCCGGTTTGTAGTCTTATCAGACTATTCTTAACTTATAATTTAAACATTCTCTTTATATATTTCTTACGGTTTGGCCGCTGAAACAGCACCACAGACAGACGGACGGACTTGTCTAATAGATAAGAGATTCGATTGCTTTTTTAATGAGAAATGAAATAAATGAGTATGATTTTCAGCCAGTAGCAGCAGGCAGTGGCATACCGCAAGTAAAATGCTATCTGAATGGGGTGAAGGTTCCGCGCGTGGTCCGCATCAAGACCCTGCTAGTAAAAGCGGTTGGGGTAATCACCGCAGTGGTCGGAGGACTCGCGGGAGGCAAGGTTCGCTTTAGAATAGAACAACTTTTATTGTTTACTTAATCTCAGATTAAATCAAAAAGGGAAGATACGGTACGCAATTATTTGTGTAGAATAAAAATTCACATGCACACCTACAAATAATAATTCAATCCAGTGAGCGAAACAGAATGGTACGCTTCAATGCAGCACGACCGCGAGTCTGCGTCACTTGGCAACCGACTGCGGTTTCTTTTTTCTCTCTACAAATAGCTGAGCTGTAATGTTGTTAGTCTTTTTTTGACAACATTCATGACAAACGACGATTAGAAGAAAAAATCATTTTTACAGTTTTACAAATGAAAAGTGATGCCGTGGGATAACAAATTATTGGTTCTTAAACAGTTTGTGCACATGTTAAAAGCATCGAAGGCATCCTCTTCTTCTTGCAACGGGCGTTTCCGAAACTCGACGTCCATATGGCGCCTGTTTTGCGTGAGGAGAGTGTATAGCCGGAATCACTCCAGCCAGTCCAGCTCCGCCAGGAACGCCCCCAGGGTCTTCACATTGGTGACTGCCTCTTGAAGGTTTCCCGGTGAGCCGAGGTATTTCGCCCGGTATTCGGCCACTCCGTTGCATTCCAGCAGAATGTGTTTCTTCTGCCTCCATGCATCCTCTGCATAGGGGGCTGTCCGTGACACCTAAGTCAAAAAGATGTCTGTTAAAATGTGCATGTCCAGTAATAGCACCTGTTACCATGCGCAATCTAGGTTTGCTTAGCTGTAGGAGAATTTTGGAGAAGGCAGCGTTCACCCGTGGCAAAGCGAGTTTGGTCTGCCTGCATGTTTCCAGATCGAGCCAGTGTTGCTGGTGTAGTGCGGCTGTGTGCTCGCGGATTTTATTGACGAGACAGCTTACCGGTATCGGGACGATTGGTTCGGGACCTGTTAAGGTCGTATCGGATCCCTTCCGGGCCAGCTCATCCGCAGCGTTGTTTCCGCGTGATCCACTGTGTCCCTTGATCCATTGGATAGTAATTGCTTGACCCTACCGTGTTTAAGGTTTGGTGGCATTATTTTAGCAGGCTCGATTTGACTTATCAGGAGGCATCTAGAGCTTGTAGGACCTTTCTTGAAAGGATCGCTCTTGCCGCCAGTGTGATGCCCATACATTCAGCTTGGAAAACTGTTTTGTACGGGCTTAAGGAGAAAGCGATGTGTATATTGAGGTCCTCAGAGAAAACAACCGCGCCAGTGCCCGATGAGGTTTTAGAGCCGTCGCACAGTGGGTGAAAAAAAGAGGTCCCCTTTCATAGGATTTTTGAAAAAATAAAAATGTTTATTATCCGTTTAAGGTATGCGGTTTTATTGGACATATCAGTACATTGAATAATAAAATAGTTTGGGGAATTTCCTTTTAATCTAACACCATAAAGCACGGGCTTTAGAGTTTCAAATGTATGAAAACGGAATTTGTTTTGCTCATAACTTGTATCGGTCTTCTACGGTCAAGCTGAAACTTATAGGGATTATTACCGGGTCTGTTACGAAGCCATGTGACCTTTGACCTTCACCCCGGACGGCCCCGTTCAAAAGATACGAATTTTTCAAAATGCTTATTAGGATAATTTGCTTTACGGGGTTATGTGTCTCAATAAACAGTTTGTTTATGTTTCTTGCCCAGCATTTAGTTATTAATATAACACAGATTATTATCTAATAAAACTACACAGTAGATAACGCCACCATACAACTTAACTTTAAATAAAAGCGTCCTAATTCAAAAGATATGGAATTAATATAAATAGATAAAAGAAATAGTTTTAAGAAAAAGAAAACAAGAATACAATATTGTAAAGAATTACAATGAAGTCGTTTACAGCCTACAATTTAATCTTTTGTTTGACAATCGCTTAAAAGCCGCGCGCCATTAACGAGAGCATCATTACATATAAACAATACAAACTCTATTGTTGCAGGTTTTGAGGAATTCAAAGGGTTACCCACAGTCATTACCTGCCGTTGTTTGCCTATAATAATTAATTTTGTCAAACAAACATACTTACACTTACAATGTCTATCTAAGAAAGGGTTTGATCAAATATGTTTATTTTGGGATACCTAGAACTTTAACTGACTAAGCTTAAAATGAACAAAGTGTTTTTCCAGATAAACTAGCTGGTTATTAATATTAGTAAATGTAGTAAGGGAGATTCTGATATGTTACTGCCAAACGAGAAAATAAACTATTTACATTATGAATAAAACAAAATTATTAACATCAATATTTTTATTTACAAAACTTAAATTACTAACTAAGCTTGATATCATAAATTAAATAATGCATAATAAGGAAGCCACAACTGTATAAATTACTACACACATACAAGCTAAAGTATAAAAGATTAGTAGAACTCAAATTGGCTACAACAGTTCTTAAATATGTAAACTGTTTATATTAATATGATACAAAGATACAAAAAAATAAAAATACAAAGTTTGATATAATTTGATTTGAGGGAAAGAACACATACTAATCAAAGTCATAATCAGATACATTACCTACATCTACAAACTCTATATTTTCCTTATCTTCACAAGAAGTTAATAATAATGATTTAGCTTCATTTGTGAGAGGTTTATTTCGTTGACATATTTTAGGCCTGAAACTTGATAGGTATGGGTCAGACGATATTAACAAATTATTGATAATATCTTCATTTGTTGCAATCCTGCTAGATTTACGCGAGTGGAAGGTTCTGAAGTTTTTAAAATCTTTGTTACGAGCTTCAGAGGCCTCTTCAGAGAGCTTGCCGATTGGTATAAAGTTATTGTGCTCTATTATATCGGCACCATGAATGAGTAATTTATGCACGCTTGAGGGCATATAATACCATTCATAGAGCTCGACATATTTGCGTGCTGTAGCAGCACAATATTGGCGGAATTTTTCCACGTCCACAAACTCTCCACATGAGATAGCCTGAAGAATCACTCCAAATCTTCTAACGAGTTCTTCATCAACACCCGTTATTTGAGCAGTAATTTGAGGATTAACAAAAAATCTTCTTGCTGTGTTTCCATCGTTGCTTGTACCAGCCCCTTGTTTAACAACGTCCACAAGTAGCCCCGTTTCAGTCCGGAATTGTTCTTGAATAGCCTTTTTTCTTTGGCTTAACTGTTGCTTCAAATCTTCGCCCTTAGCTTGCCATTTCTTGAAGTCGAGACGGTAAGCAATATGTAAGATACATTCCATGCATCTAATTCGTGCATGGAGGGAAGACAGACCGAACTTAAACATGTCTACAGACTGGGTTCTCTGAGTAACCTTGTCGATATCATTCATTTCTTTTGGTTTTGCTTTGCATATATCGCATGTAGCTGTGGATGTATCTGATAAATGTGAAGTTATTTTACCATCAATCATCGTCATATGCAGAACGTGTTTTACATTTGCACCATCGATAACAGTTGGATGTAGAGCAGCAATTTCCGTATCAATTGAAGTCATTTCTTCTTTAACATTCAAATCGTTCTCTTTAGCAAACTTAAAATAAATGGGTCGACAGTAAAACGTTGAAGACGCTTTGGGGTTTTCCCATATTATTTCATCAGTACCATCTCTCACCAGTTTTAACGGCACAAATGAACACATGAAGATGCTTGAATCATCGCCGTCAATTTTTTGTTGGTAGTTGCTTTGCCCAGATGCACCGTCAAACCCCCATTTACTGATAAGAGTCGAATTACTGCCAGTTAAATCAGTTTCCAGAGTTTTTAATAGTCTCTTGACCGTAATATCTAAAATAGACTGAAGTTTAAGTTTAACTTCAGTCTCAGTTATTACCATGTCTTCTTTTTCAACGTAGCACTCCTTCTTCTCTTGCTTCAAAGCATCATACGATGGAAGTATATCACACCCCATGTCTCTCATTGTCTGCCTCAATGTAATATACTGCCATTTCGATAATTTCAGTGATGTTGAAATACCGAGTGCCTTATCGGTATGACAAGTTCGTTTCGTCGATTTCAGGCAGGCTCGCAGCATTGGCGCATCTTCAGGCTTTTTAATCAAATGCTTCACTAATTCTACAAAGTCCGTTTGGTTTTCATTTTCCGCTTTCCTAGCCAGGGCATAAGCAAGTGTCTCAAAATCGTTTTCGGCAATGAGATTTTCAGTTCTTCTTCTTTTTTGCAGTGGACTCAAATTGGCAAATTCTTTTCGAGGACTAAATGTAGCGGTTGATGTCGACACAGCCACACTATGAGGAACAGTGCATTCCGTTGATAAACTAGGTCTTGTTACTGTTGAAATACTTGTTGAAGGATCTTCAAAACTCGTCATAATATTTGATTGTTCTTCAGTTATGTCTAGTGAAACAAACTCTGGCCATTTTATTTCTTGGTCCAACCAGTCAGCAAACTTCTTTATAAAATTCCCTTGTGTGTAATTAGCTGACTTCCATTTGCGTTTAAGATTACTCGTATATGTAGCACAAAACGTTTTAAGAGTTGTCTTTTGTTCTTCAGATAATGAAAATCTCACTGAATCGAGTACTTTTTGAAATAACATGTCGGCACTAAAAGATTTTTGCCTCATATATATATATACGTCGAGATTAGACACAAGCCCTTCCATTCTGAGCAACTTAAAATTTGAGCAAAGAGAACGTTACGGTACGAATCAATAATGATAAGTGAAATGAAATACAGGTGTACTCCGTATTTATTATAATCGAAGTCATTGTTGAATAATAATAATGACAACGTATTATTTATTCACCTACCCACAATAAAAGCAAATAATCAGTAATTATTATAGGCAAACAACGGCAGATAATGACTGTGGGTAACCCTTTGAATTCCTCAAAACCTGCAACAATAGAGTTTGTATTGTTTATATGTAATGATGCTCTCGTTAATGGCGCGCGGCTTTTAAGCGATTGTCAAACAAAAGATTAAATTGTAGGCTGTAAAGGACTTCATTGTAATTCTTTACAATATTGTATTCTTGTTTTCTTTTTCTTAAAACTATTTCTTTTATCTATTTATATTAATTCCATATCTTTTGAATTAGGACGCTTTTATTTAAAGTTAAGTTGTATGGTGGCATTATCTACTGTGTAGTTTTATTAGATAATAATCTGTGTTATATTAATAACTAAATGCTGGGCAAGAAACATAAACAAACTGTTTATTGAGACACATAACCCCGTAAAGCAAAATTACCCTAATAAGCATTTTGAAAAATTCGTATCTTTTGAACGGGGCCGTCCGGGGTGAAGGTCAAAGGTCACATGGCTTCGTAACAGACCCGGTAATAATCCCTATTAGTTTCAGCTTGACCGTAGAAGACCGAGACAAGTTATGAGCAAAACAAATTCCGTTTTCATACATTTGAAACTCTAAAGCCCGTGCTTTATGGTGTTAGATTAAAAGGAAATTCCCCAAACTATTTTATTATTCAATGTACTGATATGTCCAATAAAACCGCATACCTTAAACGGATAATATACATTTTTATTTTTTCAAAAATCCTATGAAAGGGGACCTCTTTTTTTCACCCACTGTGCGTCGGTGAAGATCATGAGAGCCTTGTGTGTTACCTTTGGATCGTTATCATCCTGTAGATGTATTCTGTACTTTTTGTCAAATATGAAGGCGGGTATTATTTTGTCACATGCCGCATCTATGAGCGGAGTGTTTACCCATTCTTTCAGTATACCGTTGAGATGCCTTACTCTTTCGAACCTTACGAGTCCAAACTTTTGTAGTCTCAACGCTGTTTTAGGGGCTTCCTGTCTTATGTAGATATGGTGCGGTGTGATGTTTAAAATAACTTCCAGTGCTGCGGTTGGAGCTGTACTCATGTCACCGCGCTGCATATATGCCGCTGAAGGCTTTGTAGTTTATTGACACAAGTAGTCTGGGTAGATCTCGGCCACCATATGATGGTGCCATAACTTACCATTGGTCGTATGACTGTGTAATATTTTTTCGCAACAGTTTTGGTGCGAGACCCCAACGCTTCGCTAACATTTGACGGCATTGCCAAAGTGTTACGCTGGCTGTCTTGATTTTGTGTTTCACATGGTTACTCCAGTTTAGTTTACTATCAAGTATAAGGCCTAGATACTTTACCTCCTTCGACAGTTGTAGTGTGGTACCAAATAGCTTCGGCAACTTGAAAGCACCTAAGTCACGTTTGGTTGTAAACATTACCAGCTCTGTTTTAGTTGGATTAACTGTGAGGTCGTATTTCCTGCACCAGCATTCAACCAGTTTCAAAGCACCTTGCATGGTGTTACAGGTAATGCTGCCTAGGGTACTTATAGTAATGTCATCTGCATACCCTATGGTGTAGTAGTGATTCGAGTTTAGTCAGCAGCGGTCAGCAGGCCGTCAACTACGAGGTTCCACAGAAGTGGCGAAAGAACTCCTCCTTGCGGACATCCTCGTGCTACCAGTGCTCCTCTGCTGTCCTCATCTTTTACCCGAACTATACTATTGCGAAGCATGTTAACTGTCCAGTCAATGATTTGTTGCTCCACTCCGTGTCTTCTGAGAGCAGACTCAACGCTGGTGAAGTTGGTCTTATCGAAAGCACCATCTATATCGATGAAGGTTTCGAGGCAGATAAGTTTATTTTGAAGGGATTCTTCTATCTTACCGACTAACTGATGGAGAGCCGATTCAGTAGATTTACCTGAACTGGTAAATCTACTGAATCGGCTCTCCATCAGTTGGTGTTGGTGTTTATGTAGTGGGGCATTGATTAATGCTCCACTGCGTAGGTACCTGTCGCATATCCTTTCCATTGTCTTAAGTGAGAAGGTTGTTAGGCTAATGGCCCTGAAGGATTTAGGGTTAGTATAGTCGGTTTTACCCGCTTTGGGTATGAATACTGCCTTGACCTCCCTCCACAGACGTGGAGTGTACCGAAGAGCCAGACATGACATTAATATACCTGTCCGCCCCATTGTAGTAGTGCTGGAAAGATGCCGTCAGAGCCAGCAGACTTGAAAGGGGCAAACAGTTAATAGCCCACTTTACTCCTTCAGGCGTAATTACCGTCTATGCTAGTCTCCAGCATCATTCTGTTGTACTTGGAGGTGCATCTTGCCAAGTCACCTGCTCTATAAGCTGACAATCCGGAAAGTGGGTTTCTTGGAGGATAGCGTCGCAGTCAGCCCGATCATGGGACAATGTGCCGTCAGGTCGACGCAGGTTTCCCAGCACGCCAGCGCCTTGCTTGGCTAGCAATTTCCTTACCCGGTTTGCTTGGTTGGTGGAGCTTATCTCCTCGGTGAAGTTCCTCCAGGAGACTGTTCTTTAGTATCTAATACGTTTCTTGTACTTAGCTTTAATAGCTTTGTAGTTGTCCCAGTCTGTGTCCTTGCATGTATCCATTGCTCTGTTAAGGCACTTCCTCACCTCCCCTCTCAATCTCTTGAGCTCCGGCCCCCACCAGTGGTGTTTCCGGATACTCTCAAGTTCGGGAGTCTAAGGGACAGATCTCTTCGTAGCATTGCGTTATGCTGTCTGTCAAGTGTTTTACCTGTTGTTCTAGCTGCTCCGTGGTTTCAATTCTGCCCTTACCGGAGTTGTTTCATAGAAGATCCGCCAGTAGTTGTGAGTAGCGGTCTTTATCGGTTTTCCATGGATACCTTTGGGGTGTAGGAGGTAGAGTTCCTACCTGTAGTGTGAAGCGGATCCAGCGGTGATCTGAGCATGATGCCTCACCGGAGACAGGCCAGCCAGATAAAGCTATTGCCGCTTTTAGTGTCGCAAGGGTCAGGTCTATGATGTTCTTGCACCGTCTGCCTACGAGGGTAGGTTCATTGCCTGTGTTGATTAACTCTAGGTTAGTAGTCAGGAGGAATTCGAATAATTGATTACCTCTGTTGTTGCTTTGTTCCATTCCTCACACGATGGGCATTGGAGTTTTTCGCTATGATCAGTTCTACGTTTTCCCGAGCGCAGAAGCGGACCAGAGATGCAAGGTTTTCTGGTGGGGCCCGCTCGCCGTCGGGCATATATGCAGAAGCTATGATCAGGTCATAACTGTTATTATCTTGGTTTAGGGTCAGGTTCAGAGATCTCTGGAACAGAAATTCATGCATCGAAATCATTGTTTTATTATTTTAACACAGAATATCCGCAATATTGTTATATTGAGTGCACATGCAGCGTGTTTGGATGCCAAATTGTGACTTAAGCGAATCGTGTGCATACCTAAAGCGGCGCACTTTTGAGACATGACTCATACATTAATAATACGGTACTGTACTAGTACCTACTAGTACTAGAACAATGTCAAATACGGCGGGATTTATTTTAGTTATACTTGACTGTATCATCTATATCATCATTAAAACTCATAGCTACAAAAAAAAAACAAGTATTAATATTAAAATCACACACTCTACATTGATTGTTATTATATTTGGTAATATTAAATAGAAATTAATGTCATGTATTATCTGAAATCAGAATTTAAAAACATTGATTGTAATATTAATTGATATGATCATGGTCATTGATGATTTTAATCCTTTTGTTCAATAAGATAATCTATATTCGAGAGCGCAGCGATATAATTTTCCAAAGCAATCTATCACTTTCAAAATAATAACACTGGGAACATTACTAACATCAACCTTATTGCGTTGGTAATAAGAGTGTAGTCATTAACGATTTTTTATTTGTACCGGCTATAATTTACTCGTTTTATCGTTGGTGGAGGAGGACCTTAGCTGTCTTATTACAAAAGTGAACTTAGTCACATTTTTAAGCATTTAACTGCTAGATGTTTAAATCTAAAAAAAGTAGATTTTTTTTTCCAAGAAATTTTGTTTTCTAGTAAACTTGTCTTTAGATAAACTTTCTACAATTGCTTTTCCTTTTTTTCAAATATTTAATACTTGGAAACGTATTCATTTGTCATTGTGGGTTACCAATAATGCGAAGAGAATTCGACGCGGACTTCAGGGACGGGGTAGCATAATGGGCAGTGCATTCACCCGGATAGCGAAGGGTGCTGGTTCGAGTCCCGTCTGCTGCCTGGTCCGCGTTGAATTTTTTCTAGTAAACTTTTCTTAAGTGGACTAAATTATTTTTTTTCCCTTTATTCCCAGCCCCCACGGGGATTGCGGAGGCAAATGGGAATATTAAATCTGAAGTGGGGGCAATGACTTCATTTGGAATAAAGGGATTTTTCATGATTGTTCATTTCACAGGAAGGTCCGATGATCCACAGCGGTGCTGTTGTGGCCGCTGGCATATCGCAGGGCAAGAGCACTACTTTCAACAAAGACTTCAAAATATTCCAGTACTTCCGTGAAGACCATGAGAAGAGAGACTTTGTCTCTGCCGGAGCAGCTGCTGGTGTGTCTGCGGCTTTCGGTGCTCCCATAGGTAATCAAATGACCCGATCCACACGTTTTTGAGAAAATTCGAAAATGCCCTGAGTCCCCAGCACGAATTTTAACAGTAATCGTATTGCATCGTCATAGTTTCTATAAAAACTAAGCAGTGCCCCTACCGGACGTAATAACAAACTGACTTCTTCCATACAAAAAAAATCGATGACGATACAATTACGGAGCTCTCAAAATTCGTGCGCTGCAGAGGCCCAATGCAGCGTTGTTCTATATATACGGCACAATGAAATGTTTTTTTGTAGTAATTAAAGATTTAATTGGAGTCGCTTGCTATCTTAAAAAATGGGTTTGCGTCGCGTCTCAGTGTGATTTTTTCGAATCGTCAGCTTTCCATACATCGTCTAAATTATATCTTACACTTTATTTGGCTTGCAAAATTTAAAGAGATGGTTAAATCGAAACATTAAGCTTGTATAGGGTGATTCTGTAAAATAATATCACTCATCAGTCATCATCTTTAAAAGTACATTTCTCTTAGACTTTATTAAATTACAGCAACTAAAAATACGATTTACACGCGATTACAAAGCCTTTTCGTAACAAAAACAAACCAAACTTAATTATTAAGTACTCGAATTCATGTATTATAATTTTTTAGGTGGAGTGCTGTTTTCGTTAGAGGAAGGTACAAGTTTTTGGAATCAGGCATTGACATGGCGAACATTTTTCGGTACCGTTGTGTCCACGTTTACGTTAAATGTTGTTCTGTCTGCCTATCATGGCCACCCTGGAGAACTGAGCTACCCCGGTGAATGTTTCTTTTATTTATTTTATTATTACTTTTAGTTAAACAAATTATCATCATCAGTCTATTTATGTCTTCTGGGGCACAGGCCTTTAGAAACACGAAGGAGCTCGAGACAGTAAAATTTTGGTCGCCCATCCAATGACCAACCACTACGAAAGTTGTTTTACTTAAACGATCGAACCGAAAGCGCTAACCACTTGCGCCATCGAAATACTCCACCCTCTCTAAAGTTGTTTTACTAGAACGACCGCAACCGAAAGCGCTAATCGAGATCCTCCTCCTAGTGCAACAAATACTCCACCCTTTCCAAAGTTGCTTTACTAGAACGATCGCAACCGAAAGCGCTAACCACTTGCGCCATCGAAATCCTCCTCCTACTTCAAAAAATACTCCACCCTTTCTGAAGATGTAGTAGACATAGTGGCAGTTTACATTAATGCAGTAGATTTGGCGTTAGTTTTGCACTTGTGCCTGTTCAACTGCCGATTAAAGTATCAGACACCGCGACACTGTTGTTAGGCGCTTTTCTCACCGAATCGGTGCGGTATCGTGTAGTTTCTATACCGAATCTGTACGGATTCTTTACCGAGTGCATGTAATCAAGTGTGAGCTTACATACTGAGTCACTTCGGTATAGATTCTTTAAGGAGTGCTGCAATGTGTATACACATCTCTGTGTACCGAATTATTCGACACTCCCGCCTTACGAGACGGTATTACAAAAACAAATACAAACACCGTAGTAAATAAAACGAAACGATTCCGCACCGAAACTGAAGCGGTCAAGAAGTGGTTCTCGGTAAAGAATCTGTACACTGGATTTTCTTAACCCTACCCTGTACAGCATGTTATTTTGCAGACCGCTTTCAGCTATTAAAAAATTGCTGAAACTCGCATGAAATAATATTTTAGAAAAAATTAGTACTAGAATTTTATTTCATACTGGAGTCAAGTTAATATTTACATTGCTACTTAAACTAATGGCGTTTTCAATGTAGCTTCTGTCTACACAATCCCTGGTACATATAATGTAATCTCGACTATTTATAGGACCGCACTAAGAAACGTCTATAAAATTGTATGCTTATTATTCTGTTGCTATCGCAAATGGCAAATGACACCACATTCTTAAAAATTAAATTGCCCTAAGTGCTTTATTTATTTATTTTCTCTAATTAATACTGACATTGTAGGTCTATTGAACTTGGGAAAGATGGAACCATTTCCATTTCAGTTCTATGAGCTGCCTGTTTTTATACTATTTGGCGCGATTGGCGGCTTACTGGGCGCCTTGTGGAACTATATCAATTACAGGCTTGCTGTATTTCGTATAAGGTATGCTTTCCATCTACCATACAATGTTTAACTTTTAGTTTATACTCAACCAATTTTCATCTTAATGCATCGTTGCAATCAATTAGTAACATAATATTTGGTACGATGTGGTACAGTCGTTATTTATGTGTTATTTTATTAGTCATCATATTAGAAAACTAATACTAGCACTGAAGAACTCAAGGTCGTATTTTTTTTATATTTGAAGTGAAAACTTCTTTAACTGCGCTCTACACGTTTTTTTTAATCAGTAAAAAATGTTAAACTCGCGTCAGGTGATAGCCTGATAGCGTCAGGACACGTGACCTAATCGAAAATTCCTAAGACGAAACGATAAAATTGGAAAGGTTGTTGAATTTCAATATGTTGGACGAAACATAGTAATATTTTATCGTATTATAATAATAAGTCTCTATCTAGGACGTTCAGGTGGCGGCTTTATTGCGAAGAAAATACATTTTTTACAATAGATGTCGCTAGGTACGCTTAAATGTGATTCATGTAAGTTGATTTTTCTGAGAGATAAACTTTTTAATGAAATATAAATTGTCATGTTTGTGTACAATAGCGCAATAAATAAATATTATATTCTGGTAGAATACATACTACATAATACTACATAAATACTTTTATACTGAAATTAAAGCAATTCGTGCAAAATTATTCCCTAACCATTTCAAAATATCAAAAATGCACAACGTTGATATTCAAGTTGTCACTTCTGCCGGCACTCCCGGAGTGCAACCCGTCGTTTTTTTTTATAGCTAGGTAGGCAAATGACTGCCCCACCTGATGTTAAGTGGTGATAAAGTCCAAACGCGAAGGTAGCTGGTATAGCAGTTATAAACTACTATACCAACCATCCTCACCTTGCCAGCCTGCAAAAATGCTTCTTCACGCCTCTCTTAAAGGACCCCAGATTGTAGGAAGGAGGGAACACGTGCGCGGGCAAATAATTCCACTTACGAATAGTACGAAAAAGAAATGAGTCACCAAACTTTTGACGACCTCCGTGGCCGAGTGGTTTGGACGCCGGGTTTCATGATGTCGCCGACTCGAGAGGTCCCGGGTTCAAATCCCGGTGGGGGCAGACGTTTGTGTTATGAATACGAACATTTGTACTCTAGTCATGGACGTTTAATATGTAATTCTATATAAATATACTTATATATGTACAGTATATGTATTCTATCCGTTACCCTAGTATCCCATAACACAAGCTTTATAGTGCTTACTTTGGGGCTAGGCTAATTGGTGTGAGTGTTGGAAATATTTATTATTATTCTTGGTCATGGCACCATCGAGCACCACCTCGCCTACATTCAAACTTGATGATAAGAAATCGCATAAGAACAATGTTCGTCAACACACATCAGGTACATCACGGCGCCGTATTTACGAGTGATAGAGGCGTGCTTGGTGGCTGCAGCGAGCGCAACCTGCGGCTTCTTGATGATGTTCTTACTGAACGACTGCAGGCCTCTCGGCGAGGACCCTACCAAAGTTCCTCTGCAGGTAATAGGCTGTTCGACAGTTTTTTATTTATTTATTTTCTTAGAAAACCAACAGTGTTTTTCCGATACAAAATTAACAGCAGATACATTTCTAAAAGTATGGCCAATGACAGGTTTTCATTAACTTAATTAACAATAGGTGACTTATTATTGGTACTTCTACCCCTAACAAGCGATCATCGATATGTAATCTTATACAAGTGGTAAATATTGGTCTCTTAAATAAAATGAAATATTTATACATATACATGCACACATATACATAATATGAAAATTAAAGTGGCATTTTTTGGCAACTGTATTTAATATGATTATTAGTAGCGATTATACTGTTCTGGGAGTATAAATAATTAGTAAATTCTCTAAAAAAATCATTAAATAGAAAATATTTTTTGTTTTAATGTCACATGATCAAAAACGCTTGGGATTGGCGAAGACTAAAACGACGTCACACGCTAGTAAATTTGTCTACTCCACGTATTTACTCACATATGTTTTTGTTGGTTGTGTAGGGCAAAACACGCCCTGTAGACCGGGCTTTACTGTAGCTTTTGTGTTTCTGTGTAGCTGTATTGCGCGGACGGTGAATACAACTCGATGGCCGCGATCTGGTTCCAAACGCCCGAGGCATCGGTGCGGTCGTTCTTACACGACCCCATAGGATCCTATCAGCCTTGGTCGATGCTTCTGTTCGTGGCGTGCTACTTCCTTCTGTCCACGTGGACGTTCGGCCTGGCTGTTTCCAGCGGTTTATTCATACCCAATCTGCTGACTGGTGCGGCGTGGGGAAGGCTTCTAGCGATTGCCATGCAAGACATGATACCTTATTGCGTAAGTGTATTTTAGTTTTATTAATACAATACATGAAAAGACATCCGCGTGGACGTCTCGACTGGCTGTATCCAGCGGATTATTCATACCCAAACATCAAACTTACTCGGCCTAGGAAAGACTACTAGCAATCGCTATGCAAGACATGATACCGGATATTGCATGAGCGGTTTTTAAATGTATTAATATAAGACAAAATTTAACAATCAAAAGACTGTAAATAAAACCCGAAAATATTAGTATATTTTAAGCATAGACAAACGCCCGAGGCATCGGTATCCTGTCTTAATTCAGTTATATCTGAAGTAAAAGTGTGTGCCAAATTTAATTAATTTTCATTCAGTCGTTTTTGCTTTTGTTCGTGAACCAAAACACCCAAACATACAAACTTTCACGTTTATATCGCGGTTTGCTATCATGGAAGTTATGCAGCTTTCGCATTGTCACAATCGGGTGATCGAAAAATTAACTATCTTGAGCTCCTTCGTGCCTTGAAAAGTTCAGAAAACACCACAGCCTCATCTGCAGTCATTAGCACCCACCAATCCGCATTATCCGTTTCATGGCCCGTTTTTCCTTATTCTTATGCCCCAAAAATGCGGACACTAATAGGCTTATTACTATAGCGTACGATTGATTTTACGTCATTGTTGCAGACTATCAACCCAGCGAAGTACGCGCTGATAGGTGCAGCTGCCCAACTAGGCGGAGTGGTCCGCATGACTATATCTTTAACCGTCATCATCATAGAGACCACGGGGCAAATCTCCAACGCGCTGCCCATCATCATCACGCTCGTGGTCGCCAAGTGGACTGGCGACTTCTTCAATGAGGCAAGTTATTGTTCCAGCTGTACCATATACCTAACCGTCATCATCACGCTCGTGGTCGCCAAGTGGACCGAGGACTTCCTCAATGAGGCAAGTTATTATTACAGCTGTACCATATCCCTAACCGTCATCATCATCCAAATGGACCGGGGTCTTCTTCAATGAGGCAAGTTATTGTTTTAGCTGTACCATATCTCTAACCGTCATCATCAAGCTCGTGGTCGCCAAATGGACCGGTGACTTCTTCAATGAGGCAAGTTATTGTTCCAGCTGTACCATATCCCTAACCGTCATCATCAAGCTCGTGGTCGCCAAATGTACCGGGGTCTTCTTCAATGAGGCAAGTTAATGTTCCAGCTGTACCATATCTCTAACCGTCATCATCAAGCTCGTGGTCGCCAAATGGACCGGTGACTTCTTCAATGAGGCAAGTTATTGTTCCAGCTGTACCATATCCCTAACCGTCATCATCAAGCTCGTGGTCGCCAAATGGACCGGGGTCTTCTTCAATGAGGCAAGTTAATGTTCCAGCTGTACCATATCTCTAACCGTCATCATCACGCTCGTGGTCGCCAAGTGGATCGGGAACTTCTTCAATGAGGCAAGTGATTGTTCCAGCTGTACCATATCCCTAACCGTCATCATCACGCTCGTGGTCGCCAAGTGGACCGGGTACTTCTTCAATGAGGCAAGTTGTTGTTCCAGCTGTACCATATCCCTCCCTAACCGTCATCATCACGCTTGTGGTCGCCAAGCAGACTGGGGACTTCTTCAATGAGGCAAGTTATTGTTTCAGCTGTACCATATCCCTAAACATCATCATAATTGAGACCACGGGGCAGATCTCCAACGCTCTGCCTATTATCATCACGCTCGTGGTCGCCAAGTGGACTAAAGACTTCTTCAATGAGGCAAGTTACTGTTCTAACTGTACGATATCCCTAACCGTCATCATCATAGAGACCTCGGGGCAGATCTCCAATGCGCTGCATATTATCATCACGCTCGTGGTCGGCAAGTGGACTGGAGACTTCTTCAATGAGGCAACTTATTGTTCCAGCTGTGCACAACTAGGCAACGTGGCCCGTGAATTTGAAATTGCAATTAAAATTTCTGAACGCCACAAATTGCATTTTATTATGTAATTGGCATCATATAGTACAAAGTCGAAATCAACAATTTAGCCGAATTAGTTACTGCTATGATCGTTTGTCGTTACGTTGTCTGGTATGATCAGCATTTATGTACAGAATAACAATTGGAAGACTAAATAAATTTACGTTTAAACGCGGTCCATCCCAGTATTGACGTTTTGATTTGTTAGTGAAGTTCAAACCCATTAAAAAATACATTAATTATTGCTTACGTATTATTTACTTTAGTTAATATTGTTACGTGTCGGGATGGGGTTCGAGATTTTATGCCAGTTCACGCTTGACAGTTCCTTATTCACCACACAGTTCACAAATTGACACACCATGTTAATTACAAAACACTCACTAAACACTGTATTGCACTATACAAGTCTCTAAACTATCGCACTTGAAAACTTTTGTTGCACTTTGATCGCCTTTGGATTCGCTCCGAAATCGCTGTTGAAACTCAACTGTCTTTGCGCGGCGCCAATCGCGCTTATATACGCCGATCGACGCATTCGAGAAAGTACCTATTAAATTGAGAATTAGCTAGAAAAAAAAAAGATATTGAAAGCATTTTCTCATTATTTACACTACTTCTTTATAAACAACATTTTTCATTTTATTGTCCGGGTTATATATATATATATATATATATAAATTTTTCGAATTTCCTACTCTTGAGCAAGCTACATATAGCTGACCGTGAGAGAAGCAGGATTCGGGAGCAGGATTACGAGATTTGAGGTTGATGCCACAATATTTTAATGTTTGCCTTGCGCTTTGTTAATTGTAAAACTAAAGGCTAATTTAATTGGAAACTGCAATATTTTAAATTGAAATGGCAATTCAGAAGAGATCAGTGGTATTCTACTTTCTCACACCTTCTTGAAGTTTAAATACTCGACAACAGATGGCGCCACTACACTTAATTTCCAAGTTGAAGGGATGGAAAAGTACTTATATCTTTAAAAACACGCCCTGTAGGTTAAATTGGGAACTTTCTTGTTCGAGGGGGAATAAAGGGCTATCATACTATATAAGCCCCTTTATCGTGCCGGGACTCCTTTTTTAAGTTTTATCGGCACGCACATTTTATCAACTTAGTTTTATTATATAATAATAATGATTTAGGGCATCTACGACATTCACATCCAACTGGCAGCCGTCCCGCTGCTCCCATGGGAGCCCCCGCCGCTGACGCACAATATATACGCGTCTGAAGTGATGTCGCATCCTGTATTCACGTTGCGCACCGTTGAAAACGTCGGACATATTGTGGAACTGCTCAAAGTGGTCTCCTACAACGGATTTCCGGTGGTCGACCCACCGTTGGCGGATGAAGTAAGTTTATTCGTTAACTTTATAAGGTATAATGGCACCAATGACTGACAGGAGTCGGTGATCGACATTATTTCATCATTCATGTTAAAATATGGTAACACCGAGCTATAGACGCTCGCATGCTTGGTCGGCAATACTCTTGTCATTGATTACGGATGGAAATGTCGATCATTGGTTCTGGTTGGTCATTCGTGCCACTACCTTAGTAACCCCTTCCGTCTTCTACACAATAGATTAAAAAAAAGAATCTAGATACCCTCGCTTCGCTTAGATTATTGTATTAGGTTAACATAAATTGTATATCTGATTTTAACTAAGCCAGACTGGGCTTAGATTTACGGTGATTTTCTATATTCACATTTTTTTAATTACCATTTTCTGAAGCTTATTTATTTGACTTTGGCTGGTATATGTGTTAAATATAAGTAATATACACTCTTTTGCAGAAAAAACGGGCACCTAAGGAAATTTACGTTCTTAGGTCGATTTTAGTTAATTAATTGTTTAACGTAGTCTGTATACTTATAATCGTGTAAATTAAAACGCGTGAAGTGAATTCTGGCACTTTTTTTTATTAGATGAATTCTTTTAAACCGATGTACACGGCCAAACAATAAGAAGTAGTCGGCAATAAAGACAAGATTTTTTACTTTTTTTAATTAAATAAAGTTACAAATGTAAAAACCTAATAACTAGTGTGACCTCCTCTTTCCAAAATTACAGCTTGAAACCTTTAGGACATGCTTTCCACGATGTTTTTAATAACGTTTTGAGGAATACGTTCCTACTCTTCCGCAATAACTCTTTTTAGCTCCATGATGTTATGTGGAGCAGATTGCACTGATCTTATCCGTCTCTTAAGAACATCCCAGAGATGCTCTATTGGATTGAGGTCAGGACTTCGAGCTGGCCAAACTAAACTACGGATCTCAACTTCTTGCATGTACGCTTCCACATCGCCAGAACGATGTGGGCAAGAATTTTCGTCCATGAAATAGAATCTCCCTGTAATGCAGTCAATGCGGGTTTTGCATATGAAATTAAGACATTCGTTATGTACCGGTGTACATTTAATGTTCAATTTTCTATGAAAACTAAAACATAACGGAGCCTCCGCCATAAGAAGTAATTTCTTCGAAACACACTTCCGCATAGCGTTCCCGTGGTCTTCGCAGCACTCATCGGCGTCGGTCTTCTCCACACCAAGAGATCCTAGCTTCATCAGAAAACAATACTTTATTTCAGTCCTCCAGAGTCCATGAAACACAATTTCGAGCAAACTGAAGTCGAGCAACATGGTGCTCACGAGGTAATTTAGGGCCCCGAGCCGGGCGATCACTCCTGATATAGGCAATCAAAGGCCTCCTCCTGATCTTCCACAAGCTAACATCTACTCCTCTTATTTCTTCAAGGCTCTTCTTTAGGTTCAAACTTGATGCCTTCCGATTCCGCAACGCCTGACTCACCAAAAGCCGTCATCTTTTGGTCCTCTTATTTCTTAAAGGCTCTTTCTTCTTTAGGTCCAAACTTGATGCCTTCCGATCCCGCAACGCCTGACTCGCCAAAAAGAGGTCATCTCATGGTCCTCTTATTTCTTAAAGGCTCCTCTTTAGGTCCAAAACTGATGCCTCCGTCCGCAACGCCTGACTCACCAAAAAGCCGTCATCTCTTGGTTCTGTGCACCGTTTTCTTTCCGAATTGACTCTTCCGTTGACCGAACCGGCTCTTGTACCTTTGCAAAGTCTTCTGGACAGTTGAACGACTCACATTTAGTCGCTAAGACATGTGGATTTGCAAAGAACCTTCTTCAAGTAGGGCCATAATTTTATCAGCCCTTATCACTTATATCAGAAAGTGGTGTTTAATGTAAAACACAATAAATTGTTTAATATGCAAAAACTCACCAAAGTGTTCAAATTTTAGTAATCAGTTAAAAATCGTTTCAGCAATTCGCGCCATTAGTAAAGAAATTTTATAATAATCATTATTTTTATTTTATTAAATGCAAAATTTAGGTTTGGATGCTTCAAATAACATGCCAATACATCTCAAATTAATAAGACCTTTTTTGTAATATTCATTTTGTAATTGAAGTAGAGAAAAAATATGGTGCCCCTTTTTTTATTGAGTTTATATCAGCAGCCAAAATAAAAGTAATAATATTTTTGGTACACTAACTATTGTATAGAGCAAAAAATAATTTTATTTTGACAAGATATTAAAAATTGTATTGATTGATAATAATTTGTTGCTTCACATTGTATAGTGTTATAGATGAAAATTTTCTTTTTTTGCTAGACCGAAGTTACAACATATAAGCGACTCAGGGGACTAATACTACGCAGTCAGCTGATAGTTTTACTACAGAACAAGCTGTATAACGAGAACGCTAACACCGCGTGGTCCAACTTCAATGTCAACATGAATATGTTTAGAAAGGAATACCCACGATATACATCAATCGACAAGGTTAGTTGAGTTAAACGATTTTGATTTGTTTATAGTTTATTAAGTTATCTCAAAAGGTATGTTCGTTAGTCTCGCTAAAACTCCAGAACGGCTGAACGGATTTATCTTCTCTTGGTCTTGAAATGTTCGTGGAGGTCTAGGGAAGGTTTAAAAGGTACGAAAATATGGAAAAATTACGAGGAAGATAGTAAAAACGTCAATTTTATTTTCCCATATAAATTGTTCTATGTTCTTTCCTGTCAAACATTTAACGTTCGTCCCTTTTGGTACGGTAGACTTGGGTCCGTCATTTCTTCCAAATTATTTTAACACGTACGAAGTACGCGGGGTCAACTAGTAGTACAATACAAATAGAAGTTAATTTAATTAATTGATGGTTATCAGTTAGCGAATAAAATACATTATTACGAAAAATGCTGATCAGCGATGTATATGATATAAATGTAGTGATTCACATATTATTGTAGTTCTAAAATGGAATGACGACCTGAGAACTTGAAAAGTGCACAAAGAAGCGTTATGAAATAGGTACTTAGAATGGCATTATTGAATGGATTTCTATGGAAGAAGTAAAAAAGGGTCCGTTTTATTATTTTCCCTATCACATCCTCGAAACACATTACTACAAAAAAATGAGGTGCTACAGTGGAATGTAACTGGTTTTTAATTCAAGGTATCACCTACTCTGAGGTCTTGGGTTTGAATCCCGGTATGGGCAAATGTTTGTATGACGAACATGAGCGTTTATACCGGAGTCGTGAAGGAAAGAAAAAGCTTTTATTGGCTATTGAAACACACACGTTAAAAAAAAACAAATATAGAAAATTAAGGCAACAGAATATAAAATGACTCTATTAATATAATTTTAAGTATTTTTATTTGTTACCCTGGTGTCCCATGACATAACCACAAGCCTTACAGTGCTTGTTTTGGAGCTAGATTAATTGGTGTAAGAAATCTTGATTTACAGTAGAATGCCGATTAACCGAATCGCCAATTATCCGAATCAGTGTGAAGCGTAATTAAAAAAAAAATTGTTTTGTTGTAACAAATCGAAACTCGCTGGAGTCCAGATATAATTTAACTATTAGGCGCTTAGCAGACGACGGGGCGGGGCGGGCATTTTGTCCGCGAAGCAATAAAGACCGCGTCTGCCCGTCAATGTCTGCGGCTACCCGCGCCGCGTACACAAAGCACACGACGGGCAGAGGCGGTCAGTTCAGGACGTTCGTTCTAGTGAATAGTCCATACTAAAAAGCGCGTGGCGCCCCGCGCCGACGTCTGCGTTACTGCATACAAACTGGTTTGTATGATCCACGGCCGACAGCCACGGACATGCGGCTGTCGGCCGTCGGTCTTTTTGCCCTCTGTGTGCGTTTGAAGTATAGGATTCACTTTGTGCTATTATTCGCGGCGAAATTGACCGGCCCGCCCCGCCCCGGCGTCTGCAAAGCGCCTTATGGTTGAAAGCTAGAGGCAAGACACTACATGTTTTGCGTGGCGCGGTTTTTTTCGGCTACTATATACGTCTATACTCTATTATTATATTTAGTATTGCAGAACTGTGTATGTTAAACTTTGTCCCCCTTATTAATAAACGAAGACTAAGCTAATTAGACTAGTTACTCCGTGATTTGTTCATATCACTCAAGTGCCATTTGTCATTCAATGAACGGAGACAAAATATAGAGTAACTAATCCAAGCTTAGTTCGTTTATTAATAAGGGGGATAAGGTTTATTCTGTGTGTGACAGTTCGTTTTTCTTTATTACCAGTCTATGTCCGATTATCCGAATCGACCCCGGTCCCAATTAATTCGGATAATCGGCGTTCTACTGTATTTACAAGACATTGCTCTTTAAAAGTTGGAGATATCAGAATGGGAAAAGACTTGCACCATCGACTTGAGGCCGTACATGAATCCGTCGCCATATACACTGCCACATCGGGCGTCACTGCCGCGCCTATTCAGGTTGTTCCGAGCACTGGGGTTACGTCACTTGCCCATTGTCAACGATGTTAATGAGGTTTGTATTTTTTACCTGATTTTAAAATTGGCTTTAATTATTTTTGGCTAAGGGTAGCTACACAGGGCTGGCAGTCATCGGCAACCGGCAGAAAAGGGGTAGAACCCAGTGCCGTAATACAAAAAAGATCATCGGCAAGTGTAGATTAATGTCCGGGAAACACAACCCACTCGGCTTAAATTTTAGTTCAGCTAAGATTGGGGGACGAAGATGTCGTGTTGTTAGTTTCTGCAAGTATTGTTGTTATTACCAGCTCTTTACTACGAAGACCTTGAAGATTTTGGGTGCAAAGTGGCCTCCAAAATCATGTCAATATGAAAACCGAGCGACGACAACCGTATGAATACGGAACCAATTGGAGCTGAACTCAAATATGTTTGTACATTCTGTAATTGATCTGTAGATGTGTATAGGTAATTAGATATAAATAATCTTGTATAGAAATCATAAATTAAAATAAATAAGTGATTTCCTGCTGCTTGGGTCCTGGGTTTAACCCTTGGAGGCACATTTATAAGTGTATTTATTGAGCACAAACATTTATTTCTCAGTCATATTTTTTTTCTATATGTTATTTAGTTTTCATAGCTCTAAGAATGCTGAGTTCCAGACTAAATAATTATGTATAGTGTGCTACAAAACATTATTAGTTTTTTTTTTTATTTATCTTAGGTACCTGCAAGTGCTACAATTTTAAAGTCATTAATTCTTTTTATTTTTACTAAGGTGGTTGGCATGGTGACCCGCAAGGATATTGCCAGATACCGTGTATGGCGGCATCGAGGCCACATGGGTATGGAGGAGTTGTTGCTTTCTAGTGAAATCTAATCTATGATTATTGCCATGATATTGAAATGAGTCTGAATAATCTTTAGAAGTGGTAGTTAATATTATAATGATGTTATTATGATATATTGTTTAGCATTTTTCATAAAACTAATAACTGTTAGACAAAATATTTGAAGAGGTAATGGCCAAATGTCACAATAATAATTTCATCACTCCAAATTACCCACATTCCACCAACGGGTTTTTATCCAGTGACTCCATCCAGATATAATAGGTATTATACAATTTAAGTTAAGATAGTTACATCCTTCTTGTTTATAAATATGTTAAGATAATTTAGTAACTCAAAAAATATTTTTTATTACTTGTGACAACAAATATCTTAAACATTTCATAGAATTTTTATAAATCAAGAATGTCTACAATTTTATTAAATCCATTTGCAACAAAGCTAGGTACTTACCTATATTTAATAGCTTGAGAATATTATTTATTTAATTATATAACGTGGAACCTATCTCATAGTCAATTAAGTGACATGTTATTTATATTTTTGTATGATAAATGAATGTGATAAAATAAATATTATTTAGATATTAAGAGAATTTAGTAAGACCAAAACAGATAGGTTAACTAACATCTAATTTGTGATATTTTTAGAATAGATTTGGAAGGTTAAAAAACCGCATTCCCTACTTGTTCCTATAATTTTGGCACAGCTTTTATTATTTTCATCAACATCAAATTCCATTATGAGGCAAAACAATTAAATATTATTATTATAAACTCGCACATTGTTATTGTTACAATGTTATTTACAATCAAAAAATAAAATATTATATCCATATTAATGACTTTTATTTATGTAATGTGAGATGTACTGTAATAACGGACTTTACATCAATTTCCACCAGATTTTGTTATTTTGGTACCTGAGGATTCTTCTTATATGTCCCTGGAGAGAAACAAACTATAAAGATATTAACTTTTAGTTATTCACAAACAATTTCCAACCAATTTCAGCCCACATGTTTATAAACAAAACAACAGGTAATAAAACCAGTATTAACAATATGTAATTGACGAATTCATCCATGTTTTGGCATACTCGATCACACGTAGGGTAAACTTTAGTTCTGTCAATTCGATTCTTCTTTGATCTTTCTTTGGCCGTGGCCCGTGTTATTGACAGTTGACATCAGGGGCCTGACAGCTTTAGTTCCATTTTCTTAGTTTTGGCGCTAGCGTCACTGATATTTTTTTATAGCTTGTGGAGAATACTACCCAAAGAGTAGTATTTAGATTCTAATTTATATTTTAACCTGTCGCCAAGTTGTCACTATTGACAGACAATCAACTTTTAAAGTAATCTGTGGTTGACATGCTTCATGCAAAAATCACGTTCACGCGTCGTATGGGCTGTTGAGTACAGATTACAGAGATGAGGTCTAAAAGTGAAGGTGTATTCCGTAATAAATACCAGAATACCGGCCAGTACTAATGATGTCGTGAATCGATGCTATACTGGTGAATTGTTCCGAAATATACTGGCCAATGCACTGACGTCATAAAGCGACGAAATATTAAAAATAGTGCGAATAAAGATTTTTTATTCACCTCATCAATTAAAAGAAATTCTTTTTGTTCGGATGCCATTATTATTCTTTAAATAAAAAAGAAATAAAATTCAAATGCATTTCACGCATGCTCGGTCATACGTCATATGCGTTTTCCCGGTAAAAATATGGTAGTAGGTGTACTGGTATTACAATATGGCGTCGGATTTGTGACGTCATTACCACCGGTCAGTATACTGATGTATATTTCGGAATACACCCTATGTCGGACCCTTAGTCTCACTGATGCCAGATTAGGGGGATTGCTCTCAAAATTGGGGGGTTTTTCAGTGGCGGACTAACAGGGGGGCGGAAGGGGCGGCCCGCCCCGGGCCTTCGATCTTGGGGGGCCCCCAAATGCCTCCGCGTTCCCCTGATCAAATCCTAAACAAGACTTTAAAAATGTGCTTGGTACCTACATAATTTCATCAAGACCAAAACACTACAGCCAACTAGACTTTTTACGCAATACTAATATTTTTTTAACTTTGCTGAACGCGTCCAATATGCTGGGGGGATTCCCGTCTTTGTAGTGGGTACTTTCTTAGGAATCCCTGAATGAACGAAGTGCAAATAATTCACTCTTGTACGCGATTTACATTCACTGGATTCTATTTACGTCGAAAAATAAACATCGGCCTCATTAAAAATATAGGTATAAAATTTCATAACGTTGATGTTTATTAATGTGTTCCGATATTTTCATGAACGGATAAGCCTTTTTTCGAATTGTAAAGTAATAAACGCGATCTTATCCATTCAAAGTAATTTAATTAAAAAGTGTTATAGTGTTTTAGATTTTTGTTGCGGTATAAAAGTAATGAGTTCAGAGATCAGTTAGTGCATTTTCGAGTATTTGGAAAAATAAAAAAGTTCAAGATCCAACAAAAGCAAATCTAGATACAAGATCAGGAACAAGCCTGCTCTTGCCGGCTATTTGTGATTTTACCTTTCTAACCTGTATACAATTCTGGCTTTCTTTACTGGAGGAAGTAAATTTAATTCAACAATATTTGTAGTCTCCAAAAATGACTGGATTCAGAAATCACCACACCAAACGCCGTGAATGAGTATTTAGTGACCGAACGAACCACGATTGTAGACAATTCGGTAACTTTAGAAATATAAAAATGCAACGACATGGACATCAACATCGAGAAACGAACAAGCAGGAAGGTAAAAAGAACGATGCTGGGTGAATCAGCTCATGATGCTGGATTAGCAATTGGAGAAGAAATACGTCGGTCAATGTATGAATGCATAGACCGATTCATACAAGAATTATCGACACTATACAGGGCCATGAAACAAATTAATAATGTTTTCCAAATTATTGAAACAAAGTTTATGCTAGAAGCTTCAGATGACGCTCTGGCTGTAGCATTTGATAATTTGATACATAGTTATGATGAATTTGACAAGGAGCAAGTTTCCCAATAAATAAAAAGGTACCGCAGGCATGTAAAAGCCTGATATGTATACTAGTATGGATGTTGCTGCCAAATGGAGCGCCAAAGAAATCCTTCAATTTATAATAAAATGGGACTTCAGTGAATCGTTACCCTTTATATCACTTATACTTCAATACTTCTTTACCATTTGCATCTCGGTTGCATCATGCGAGAGGAGTTTTTCGAAACTTAAACTAATTAAAAATTATCTTCGATCTACATTAGGTCTGTAGCAATATAATTTTATAATATTAAGTTATAGTAATATTATTAATCAAAGCGCCATCTATCACCATACGTATTCATCATCGAATAATGTAATTTGTTTTAAAGAAGCACGGAATATATTCTGAATGAAAAATTTGATAGTTGCGTTTGAAAGTTGAGGTAGATGGAGTTGTATGTAATAGTGTGAAATAAAATTACACGCGTAGATTGCGTGATAGCTAATGTTCTAGAAGGAGTTTCTTGGTGGGAGATGGGCGGAGCCGGCCTAACCGGTCCTGTCATTTCCTCGCACCAAATATGGTGATTTGAGAGAAATTTGCTAGTAGGCACACGTGACCCTATGCCATTATAAATAGCTTTGCGCAGACGGTTTCATTCTCTTTTGTCTGCTAACCGAACTCTGGAACATCTAGTAAATTGCACAGTGACTGGCAGTTATAGTCAGTGCATAATTAATTAATATATTTTCCCCGGATTAACGGGTAAGTCCAATATATCTAACTAGTTAGGTTGTAGGTCAATTTAGGTTTTTTTATTGAACTATAGGAAATGTGTGTAATTGTTTCTAGGTCCTTTGAGGTGGCTAATTAAAAACAGTATACGATAATTTCAATTAATTAATCCTGCTTGGAATTTCTTTGGATATATATATACAAAGAAGTACGCTATATATATATAAATGAGCCTGTGAATGCAATCTTGATCGAAAACGAGTACATGTGATGACAGCAGATTTTGTTACAACCCACGTGGATACCTGAATCGCTTGATGGTACCAAGATCTTGAAAGCTAAGTAAACTCTGAACATATTTAATCTTTAACCAGTGCATTCTCCGAAGTACGAAGTTTCTGATTGTTAGAACATAATAAAGGAATTGTAGTAGTAAACTGTAAATCCATTAATGTAAGTAGCTTGATATTTGCTAAACAAATTGTTTATTTAGAATCTTAACATAAATATATCTGTATGTACGATACTTGCTAAAACAAATTGTTTCCTTAGAATATTAACATAAATATATCTGTTTGTACACCTGTTTTGACGATATGTTCGTCACTTATTCTCAATACTTGAATTTATAAAAGCCATCTTCAAAGATATCTGTTATATGTAAAAATTGTATCACTGTATGTTGAAAATTTCATCTGAATAGTGAAAATATAAAAGGTCTTGTTCACTGCGGTTATTGATTTTTTATTTTATCTCCCTCAAATATCAGTAATACGGCGCCCTGATTATAGATTAATTAATTTCGAGTCTCATACAAAGCCCTGTGTTTAGTCGGTGATAACAAAAATTGTTAAAGGTCAAGAGACTGACTAACCAGTCAGTATAGCCGTGCTTTTTAAGCACGAAAAAGGAAAATTTCCTAAGAAATCGCTTTCACAGAAGTTATTGAGAAGTTCCGTAAATTAAAGGCACGAAAACACATATAACATGCTACAAAAAATAAAATACTATCTTTAATTTATTTTGCCTTTTGTTTTTTTTAAGATAAGATAAGATAAGATAAGATAAAAACTCTTTATTGCACAACACAGTAACAAAACAAGCAGATACAAAACAAGTAGAAAAATACAACATTGCACAAAGGGCGGTTTCTTCCAGACAACCCAATGAGCTGGAAATAAAATAAGGTAAGCGAGTAAGGGAGGTTGTGCGGAACACAAGGCAAAAGTTTTCCTGATAATTAGATTGGAAGAAGACGAAAAGGGGGAAAAAAAATTAAAAGGAAAATACAATACAATAAGATAAATTTAAATATATAGGTAAACATAAAATACTCAGATACTTCACAACGCTACCGAAACCGGTAAGTTCTAATGCAAGATTTATGAAAAATTAAGTTCCTCCGACAAAAAGTGTTCCCTAACTAGAGACTTAAAACAGTCTAAAGTTTGGGCACGCCTTATCTTTTCGGGCAGGGAATTCCAGAGTTGGATAGCATGTACTGTAAAAGAATGGCTATACGCCTTGGAAAAGTTAGGAGGAGTGAAAAGAAGAAGATTGTTAGATGAACGAAGTGGAAGATTATGGGAAGATGAAAGAAACTGAAAACGTTCTTTGAGGTAAAC